ATGGCGCCGACGGGAGACGTGAAAACGGTCCGACCCTGACAGCGTAGACGTATCATTTGCCGTCGAGGGCCCGCCGCGCCATATCATCGCACACCCGACCCAGGGCGAAAAGCGCCCCGGGCCCGCGCCATAGGACGCCCTTCCTCGCGCTTCACTGCGCATCGCGGTCTGAAGGACCGCGATAACAACAAACTTCGTCTTCCCCACCCACCACGAAAAACGCGGTTGGCAAGGAACGCCGAAGATGTAGCAAGCCATACAGAGCAATATACAATATTGCAGAGTATCGCCCGCCTCCCAGTTAGCGACCACCGAGTATGCAGGATACGCACCGGTCATCACAAAGTTAACAAACTTTGCCATAGCCGATACCACCCTAACTCAGATGGCCGGGCCCCCCGGCAACGACAAGCCCTGGGGCTGCACGAGATACTCAAAGTGCAGTGGGGGGGTCGACTCCGGAACCTTTTTTTTTTTTTTTTTTTTTTTTTTTTTTTTTTTACTTGGAGGAATCGAGTCTTTACCGACCCCCCCGCCGGGCAGTGCAATGGCGGGGGGAGTGTGGGGGTCAACCGCGAGTCGGCCACTACCCACTAAACCATCCAAGAGCCCATCAACGCACTGTTTGGCAAGGGGTTGGCGATCAGTTGAAACCTTGTCCAGACCCCCTTTTTGCCAAGTGCTTTGCCGCAGCGCATAGCGCGCAGCTCACCTTCTTGACCTACTTACTACGAATATATTTACAAAAATGTACAAATGAGATATGTACAATTTAATCAAACTATTTACAATAAGGAACACAAACTTACGAAGCACGCACGAAGTCGCGCCTGCGCCTGCCCGTTCTTCTTTTTCTTATCTGAGGGGCCCCAGGATCTATTTCCCGAGCCCGCTCTGCCTCTTCTTTTGAACCTAAAACAAACTGACAGAATACCTGGATAGCCTGCCATTTCGCTTCATCAGAGAGCATACTCCTGACGAATAGGGACAAATTGAGGGCGCCACTTCCGTGATTGTCAAGTCCGGTAAGCCGCAGCATGGTATCCCTATGGTCATTCCACGCCGGGCAGTCGAATAGGGTGTGCTGTGGTGTGTCGTTGGCACATCCGCAGTGATGACAGGTGGGGGTGGGCTCTCTGCGGGCAATCTTGTGGAGATAGGAGCCGAAGCATCCGTGCCCGGTGAGCCCTTGCGTCAGATGGTAAGACAGAGTCCCCCACCGCCTTTCAGTCCATTCTTTGAACACTGGCATAATAGCATCTAATGTCCATCTTCCATAGCGAGCGCCAGCGAGATCTTCGCGCCATCTGTTTAGTATGGCCTCACGGCCTTCTATGCGCCACGATTCCATCTCTTCATAGGTCGGCTCGTGTCCCGATTTTCTGGAACGATCCCTCTTCCAGTAGATGTCCGCCAGAGCAGCCGCCTCAATATGCCACGGTGGTGTATTCGCTAAAAGACACACCGCGTCTAGTGACGCTGTTCTATAGGCCCGCGCGACACCAATACCGACAATGCGCTGTGACCTCCGAAGTACTGCTCTATTGAGATTGCAGAGGTCCCCTGACCATATTGGACAACCATATAGGGCCTGAGACCTTACAACGCCAGCAAACAACTTGCGACTGCTAGACTTAGGTCCTCCGACGTTGGGCATAAGTCTGCTGAGCGCCGCAGCAGTCATAGTCAGCTTCGAAGATAGAGCCGAAAAATGTGCTTTGAAGCTCCACCGAGAGTCCAAGATAAGGCCCAGATACTTGATCCTATTCCCGACCCCGATAGAAACTCCTCCGACCACAATTTGAGAGCCAGATGGTGGGGCTCTCCTCGAGCCGTGAAACATGATGGCTTCGGACTTCTCCAAGGCCACTTCAAGGCCTAATCTTCTTATTTTGGCCACAACTTGGGCCACACCGGCCGTAGCCTTCACCAACACGTCACGGTAATCGCGACCCTTCGTCACCACCAGCGTATCATCCGCGTAACAAATAACGCTCACTCCATGCAACAACGCACCTCTCAGTACGACGTCATATCCGAGGTTCCAAAGAAGTGGCCCTAGAACCGACCCCTGAGGAACCCCCTTTTCCACGGTGTGTTCTTGCCATCCGTCTCTTGAAGGGTAGACTATAGTCCTGTTTTGAAGATAGGATGCAATCGTCGTCGTCAAGTAAAAGGGCACTTGGTGTTGTTCAAGCCCTTTCATAATGGCGTTCCAGGGCAGAGTGTTGAACGCATTCTTAATATCTAGTGACACCGCCAATACAACTCCACCCTGTGACGTTGTCTCCTCCGAGATGTCCCTGAGACGAGCAATTGCGTCGACTGTTGACCGTCTCTGCCGGAAACCAAACTGATTGTCCGACAGATCCGGCCCGACTGTTGTTAAATGTCGTACCACCCTACTAGCGACAACGCGTTCGAACAGCTTGCCCGCCTCGTTAAGTAAGACAATTGGCCTATATGCAGAAGGCGACTCCACTGGCTTTCCCGGTTTCCGCAAGAGAACCAATTTCCCCTTTTTCCAAGCTTCAGGGAAGCAAGTATTCCGTAGACAAGATGTCAGTAGTCTGCGGAAGCGCTCTTTTAGGCCGAATTGCAATGCAAGGGCCCAGGCCTTTCCATGGAGGCCATCGGGTCCCGGAGCAGTTCTTTTGCACTGCATTTTCTGAACGGCTGCTTCTAGCTCCGCCTCCGTCACGTCTGGAATAGTCAAATCCGAAGAATGATGTTCCACTCGATATTGTTCTTCGTTTGGGCTGCTAGATGGAAATAAGGCCGCCACAACTGTTCTCAAAAGTGACGGTTCCATTCCGCTGGTGATAGGAGGTGCCCAGGGACGCAACCTGTTCATAACAAGTTTATAAGGACGTCCCCAGGGATCTTGTTCGAGCGAATCGAGTAGCTCCTCCCACGCCCTTTGCTTCGACTCTGCAATTCTCAGGCGCAGCACATTCTTGGCCTCTTGATACGCCGCGTATATTTGAGCCTCTTCAGCCGAGTTTCCGTTGCCTCGACGCCTTCTTCTAAAACGAGTGTAGTGTCGACGTTTTTTCACACACTCACTTCGCAAACGCGCGATTTCAGCCGACCACCAGTATACCTGGTCTTTACCGGGTTGAAATCTGACCCGAGGCATAGCTGAGTCCGAAATATGTGCCAACTCCTGACCGAACCATTCAGCTCCCTCTTCCGGATGTTCTTCGTCTGGCATGGGACACCAGCTAGAAATCAAGGCAGCCAACTCCAAGTCATCCCTATTCAGGGCTTTGATAGCCCATTTTGGGCTGATTTCAATTAAAGACGAGCGTTGTCTAAGGGGAGCCGACGGGGTGGAAACACTGAATCGGATGTACCGATGATCAGACAGGGTCTCCTCCCCCGCCAACACCCTCCAGTCTTGAATGCGTCGAACAATAGAGAGGCTCGCGAAAGACAAATCTATTATCGAGCCACCCTGCATTCTCACACATGTCTGCACCGTTCCACTATTCAGTAGTACCAGGTCATGTTCCGCTGCCCACTCCATGACAATTTCTCCTCGCGCATCAGTGGACGGAGAACCCCAAGCCGTTGACTTTGCGTTGAAGTCCCCCGCGACGATAATATTGCACGGTCTGCTACTCCGAATGAGGGCACCAACTTCCGCCAAGTGTACCTCGAACTCTGCCACTGAACGATTTGGCGAAAAGTAGGACGCCACGACCACGATTCTACCTACTTTAAGGGCGACACATCCGTCTTTCTTCTTCGAGGGACCGATTGGGGGCAGGTCGCTGGTGTTTCTCACGACGATAGCTACTGTGCCATCGTTGCTGCCGACCCAATCTTCCCTATCTAGAACCCTGTACGGTTCGCAGACGACTCCTATGTTGATAGACCACTGCGCCAGACTCTGAGCTAAAAGATCTTGGGCTCTGACGCAGTGATTTATGTTCGCCTGTAATATCCTAAGAGCCGAACTAATTGTTGACGGCCTCGCTTGTCTCCATGGCCTCCCCGCTCGGTTGGGTGTCATCCCTGATGTTCGGGACTCTTCTCTTCATCTTCTTAGCGGGGGCCGAGCATTTAACACTACCCACCTGATGATTGGCGTCCTTGTTCGCTGACGCACAGACAAGGCAGTGCGGTTTGGCCGAACAAGAGGCCGCGACATGTCCAGACTGGCCGCAACGATAGCACGTCCCTCTACGATCGCTCTCGGCATCGCATCGACTTGCTACGTGGCCTTCTTGCAAGCACTTGAAGCAGCGAAGCACTCGAGCTTTGGCTATCGCCACTTTCGCCACCACCCAACCAACCAAGAACCTTCCCACCATTAGCTTCTTAGCCGCCGTTATCGGTACATGGGCCCAGATTGTGCAGAGCCCTGACCTATCCTCTCGTAGCTGTCCTGCTTTTACTTGGGCTGCAGGACACTCTCCTTTCTTGGCAATGGCCTCGATCACCTCTTCTGGTGTTACTGAGTCATCGAGGCCTGTGATTTTGATGTCCACGGTCTTTACCGGCCGGGACACTTTGATGCCATCTTCCTTAAAGACTTCCTTCAGCTTTTCTGCTAGGGCATCGGCCTTCGGCCCACTATTTGCCCCAGGGAGTTGAAGGATTGTCGCTCCCGTTACAGCTTTGCGAAAACGAATCGCCTCAAAGCCTGTAATTTCTTTTAAATCCAGCTTGGTCTTCGCCGTTCTTATAACGTCACTGTAGGTTAGCCCCTTTTTGGAGGCCTCTTCAGTGACCGTAACCACCACCGCTGAAGTTCTTGGCGTCTTCAGCTTCGGTATAGCCCGTGCCGGAATTGGTGTTTGTGCCTTTCTCGGCTGCGACTGTTTATTCACCTGTTTTGCCGAAGATGTATTCGGCAGAGCGCTACGGGCTTCCGTCTCTCGGAGCGGGCGTCCCTTCCTAACCACCGTGACCCAGTTCTCTTCTAGCGAATCTGGATTGGGCGGGCGGGATAGGGCCCGACTTTGAGACTTGGCAACGGGAACGGACGAGTGCGCGGGGGCGGTGGGTACCGATTCTCCCGTGTTCTCAACTTTTTCCGACGCCTTTGCCTTCTTCTTCTTCGACTTCTTCTTCTTCCCTGTTTCAGGACCGGGAACTGTTGTCGGAGCCGAAACTGCCATAGGAATAGGTAAACTTTCCTCTATTCTCTCTCCTCCTTTCTTCTTATCCGCCGATAAGGGGGGCCTGATCCGTGGCGCAGGATTAAGTCGGGGTTCAAGCCCCTCAATTCGAGCATTGATCTTGTCCCCCAGCTTACGCATGAGACCAGCCTCGAACTCCTCTAAACTGCCTGGCAGCTGTGGGGCCTTCTGTATCCCCTCCACCTTTTTGCTCAGCTCTTCCAACTCCTTGCGAAGACGCTCATTTTCAGCTCTTAGAGCCTTAGTCTCGTCCGATATGGTGCGTCTCACCAGCACTCCGGTACTCTCCCGAACTGTGGCGACGGCGTCTTTCAGGGCGCGAACAAATGTCCCCTTAAGGCTCGAGGAACGTTTCGCCACGTCTTCTATTATGCCTAGGCTGACATCTATTGACTTCTGCATCTCAAGTGCAGAGCGTGGGCCGGAGTCTTGGGTCTCCATCATGTCCGCGCTGTCCCACTCCAAGGAGGCTGGTGTTGTACTCCTCGTCAGTCTCGCTTCAGTTATTGATGCCATAAGCTCGGCCTCCGCCCTAGCTTGCATCTCCTCCCGTTGCGCTTTCGCCAGCTCTTTTTTGGCTGCAGCCAAGCCGATATAGTCGCCCGTTGTTGGTGGGCGACCTCTCCCTTTTCTTTGGACTGAGGTCGGGGTGTCCGTAGAACTACCCTCCTCGTCCATCTCCTTCTTTCGCTTGCGGCTTCGTTCACGCCAAAAACGGCCAGGCCCCGAAACGGGCGAGGACGCCTTCGAACGAGCCTGACTACTCGATGCAGCGGATGATACGCTGCACATAGAGTCCGAGTCCGAATCAGACAGCCTCGAAGCCATCGACTGGACCCGTGAGCCGCGAACTTCTCCTTCTGTCACGGGCAGTGGCGTTACAGTCCTCTCGACTCCGGAACCTAACCTTTTTTTTTTTTTTTTTTTTTTACTTGGAGGAATCGAGTCTTTACCGACGCCCCCGCCGGGCCAAGTGCAATGGCGGGGGGAGTGTGGGGGTCAACCGCGAGTCGGCCACTACCCACTAAACCATCCAAGAGCCCATTCGTCACTGCACTGTTCGGACAAGGGGCTGGTATCAGCTAGGCCTTAAAACCCAGCCCCGTGCCGAGGGCAGCCGTCACGCAGCTTTCGCGCGTCTCGCCTTCTTGGCTCTCTCCTGCCTATGTTTCCATAGGGGCCCCTGTTGGAGGGGCCTTGGCCCCTTTCTTGGGGTCCATTCTCCGTGCCCTTTTGGGTGGAGCTCTGCACTTCGCACCGCCCAACTTGTGCTTCGCATCCTTTCCGGCTGCCGCGCATATAGCGCAATGTGGCTCAGCCGTGCACGACGCGGCGACATGATCCGGCTGGCTACATCGGTAGCACAGCCGACTTCGGTCACACTCTGTGACGCAGCGGCTCGCAACATGGCCGCTCTCCAGGCATTTGTAGCAGCGGAGGCCGCGGGGTTTACCCACCATCACTCGCGCCACCACCCATCCGACGAGGAACCTTCCTGTGGCCAGCTTCTTGGCCGCCTCGATAGGGACCCGAGCCCAGTATGAGAACAGGCCCGATCGTTCTTCCCTCTTCTTGCTGACCCGAACTTCATTCGGGCGGCACTCTCCTTTTTCTGCGATTGCGGCCATGAGCTCGCACTCGCCAACCGACTCGTCAATGCCGGAGATGCGGATGTCAGCGGTCTTCTTTGGCCGCGTCACCCGTATGCAATTCTCGCCGATGACCGACCTAAGCTTCTCAGCTAGGGCGTCGGCCTTGGGACCACTGCTTGCTCCAGGGAGCTCTAAGACAGCGGCCCCCGTTGCCGCCTTGCGGAACTTGATGGCATCAATGTCCGCCACCTCCTTCAGGTTGATCTTCGCCCTCGCGATCATCAGAACCTTGCTGTAGGTCATCTTCTCCTTGCCCTCATCGGTGAGGGTGATCACAACGGCCGACGACCGAGGCATCCTAAGCTTCGGCTTCGGCTTCGACTTAGCCTGGGGACTCTTCTTCGGCTTTGGAGCCGGCCCCGTTCTTGGCTGCGTCCTATCCTCCTTCTTCTTTGTCTTCTTTGCCACCGTGACCCAGTTCTCCTCCAGAGTATCCGGGTTGAGTGGCCGAGAAGGTCCGTCCGTCTTCTTCTCCTTTCCTCGCCTTGTGACCTTTTCAGGTCTAGAATCGACGGCAGTCACCACGGGAGCTACGGGGGTGACAACCGCCGGTAGGACAGGTGGGTTTCTTACCGCCCTCTCCTTTCCTTTCTTCGCCTTGTCCGCTGCCAAGGGAGGCCTCAGAAGCGGCGCAGGATTAAGCCGAGGCTCCAGCCCTTCTATGCGGGCATTAATCCTATCTCCAAGTTTGAGCAAGAGGCTCGCCTCCAACTCTTGCATGTTTGGGAGCCCCGAAGACTTCTGCAGCTCATCCACCTTCTTCGTGAGCTCCTCTAACCTCTCTCTCAGTTGCTGGTTCTCGGCGCTCAGGACCCTCGTCTCCTCACTAATGGTTCTCTGGATGAGAACCTGCGAGTTGTCCCTAATCGCCGAGACCGCTTTCTTCAGTGCATAGACGAAGGTTCCTTTCAAATTGCCGGATCTCTTCGCCACGCCTTCAATCACCTGCAAGCTGGCCTCAATGCCCCTGCGAGCATCCAAAGCCGAGCGACCAGCCGGATCACCAGTGTCCACGATGTCCGCCTCGTCCCATTGCATCGAAGACACTGACGATGCACGCGTAGATCTCAGCTCCGATGCGGATGCCGCAAGATCGACCTCAGCCTGGAGCCTTATCTCCTCTCTTCTGGCCTTCACTAAGGCCTGCTTCGCCGCAGCCAGTCCGACGTACTCGCCGGTTGTCGGTGGGCGACCTCTCCCTCTCGGCTTCGACGATTCTGGCGCCTCACTTCCACTCCCACTGGAAGCACCAGACCGACTTCGCTTCCGCGCCGACCGCGGTCCGCGGTAGCGCTTAACTCCTCTGGTGTCACAACTCGACACCGTCTCCATGGACCCTTCGGACGAGTCCGAGAGCCCTTCAAACTCCTCCTCTATGGCCGCATAAGATCGAGCGGCGGCCGCGACAGAGGGACTTGGTGAAGCGCATAAACGCTCCAACACCACTCTTGCATCCATCACCTTCCTTCCTCTACTACTATGGGGGTTGCCGGCCTCCAGAATACGTTCCGGCTCAACCGCGGCACCTTCACCATTGCTGGATCCAGTACGGCGGGTGGGATTTGACCCACCTGGAGTAGTTTTATACTTCGTAGGTACCTCCATATTTGATTTTTGTTTGGTGCCTTAGGGGCTGGACTCCCACCAGCCATTCATCCCCTCGCCAGGCACCACAGACTTAGGATTGGGGGTGCGCTGCCTATGTCAGCGCACCTCGCGGACAACGAGCCCGCCATCCTCCGTGCCGAAGCACCACTTTCGGTTCGCAACCGCCTAACAGCGGCAGAGAACCGATCTCCGCCTTAAACTATATAAAATATTTACAGAGAAATAAAAATATATACAGGGGTGAGAAGCACCCACTCCAAAAAACACAATATACAAAAATAAATGTGCAAAAACTTACCATTCCTGCAAGCTCCTTCCTCCCTGCTCGACCGGTCCCGAAGCAATGTCCAGGGGTCGAGTCCCGCCGCAGGCCCAGGCTCCCGTCCCATAACAGGCACAGGCTCCCGTTCCGCAGCAGGCCATCCTCTTCATCGGCTGTGCCGACTTGTGGGCGTAAAAGCCGACTTCTCGGTGCGGCGACGGGGGGTAACAACCCCTAACCGGAGGCTACAAGCCATTCCCGGCCCGCCGCCGCTGTGTGCATGGCGCAGACGGGAGACGTGAAACGGTCCGACCCTGACGGCGTAGACGTATCATTTGCCGTCGAGGGCCCGCCGCGCCATATCTTCGCACACCCGACCCAGGGCGAAAAGCGCCCCGGGCCCGCGCCATAGGACGCCCTTCCTCGCGCTTCACTGCGCATCGCGGTCTGAAGGACCGCGATAAACAAAACTTCGTCTTCCCCACCCACCACGAAAAACGCGGTTGGCAAGGAACGCCGAAGATGTAGCAAGCCATACAGAGCAATATACAATATTGCAGAGTATCGCCCGCCTCCCAGTTAGCGACCACCGAGTCTGCAGGATACGCACCGGTCATCACAAAGTTAACAAACTTTGCCATAGCCGATACCACCCTAACTCAGATGGCCGGGCCCCCCCGGCAACGACAAGCCCTGGGGCTGCACGAGATACTCAAAGTGCAGTGGGGGGGGAACCTAACCTAACCTAACCTAACCTAACCTAACCTAACCTAACCTAACCTAACCTAACCTAACCTAACCTTTTTTTTTTTTTTTTTTTTTTTTTTTACTTGGAGGAATCGAGTCTTTACCGACGCCCCCGCCGGGCCAAGTGCAATGGCGGGGGGAGTGTGGGGGTCGACCCGAATGGCCACTACCCACTAAACCATCCAAGAGCCCTTCTGCCACTGCTCTGTTCGGTCAAGGGGCTGGTATCAGCTAAGCCTTTGCCCAGCCCCGAGCCGAGGGCAGATGTCGCACAGCTTGCGCGCGCGTATCGCCGTCTTGGCCTTCTTCTGCCTATGTTTCCATAGGAGCCCCTGTTGGAGGGGCCTTGGCCCCATTCGTGGGGTCCTTTTTGCGCGCCCTTTTGGGAGGCGCTTTACACTTAGCGCCACCCAACTTATGCTTCGCGTCCTTGCCGGCTGCAGCGCATATGGCGCAATGTGGCTCGGCCGTGCAGGACGCGGCGACATGGTCGGGCTGGCTACATCGGTAGCACAGCCGACTACGGTCACATTCTGTGACACAGCGGCCCGCGATGTGTCCGCTCTCTAAGCACTTGTAGCAGCGGAGTGCCCGGGGTTTTGCCACAGTCACTTTTGCCACCACCCATCCGACGAGGAGCTTGCCTTCTGCAAGCTTCTTTGCGACTTCGATAGAAGCCCGTACCCAGACTGAATACAGACCCCACCTGCCGACCCTCTTTTGGCCAATCTTTACTTCATTAAATTGGCATCCTCCTTTCTTGGCTATTGCATCTTGCAATTCCAACTCGCCGACCGACTCGTCGATTCCCGAGATCCTCACATCTACGGTTTTCACGGGCCGCGTCACCTTCATCTTCTCGCCGAACAAAGTCCCCAGCTTCTCAGCCAGAGCGTCGGCTTTGGAGCCGCTGTTCGCCCCAGGGAGCTCCAGCACTGTGGCCCCCGTTGCCGCCTTGCGGACTCTGAGGGTCTCCAGACCCGTTATCTCCGAAAGATCTATCTTGGATCTTGCGATGAGGAGGGCTTTGCTGTAAGTCAACATCGCCTTTTCCTTTCCTACGTCTGTGAGTGTGAGGACTATCGCCGACGACCGGGGAGTCCTAAGCTTAGGCTTTGGTTTAGCCTTGGGACTCTTCTTGGCGTTGGGAGCCTTCCCCGGCTGCGCTTGTGGCTTGTCCTTCTTCTTAGCCTTCTTTTTCACTACCGTGGCCCAGGTTTCCTCCAGAGAGTCTGGGTTTGGCGGCCTTGGATCCTCTTTGTCCTTTGTCTTCTTACTTTTCTTTTCCTTTCCAGGTTTAGGTGCCACAACAGTCGCCACCGGAGTAGCAGGTGCCACCGTCTCCTTTTCTTTTCTCCTTCTGTCTGCCGCCAACGGGGGCCGAAGCAACGGCGCTGGGTTGAGCCGGGGCTCTAATCCCTCGATGCGGGCATTCATCCTGTCCCCTAACTTTCGCAGGAGACTTGCCTCCAACTCCTCCATGCTTGGGGATCCAGAAGACTTCTGTAGGTTTTCTACCTTCCTAGTAAGCTCTTCTAGCTTCTCTCTTAGGCGCTGGTTCTCGGCGCTCAGGACCCTCGTCTCCTCGCAGACAGTTCTCTGAATGAGAACCATCGTGTTGTCCCTAATCGCCGAGACCGCATCCTTCAGGGCGCGGACGAAGGTGCCCTTCAGGTTTCCGGACCCCTTTGCCACGCTCTCAATTACTCCGAGGCTGGCTTCAATGCCTCTCTTGGCGTCCAAAGCAGAACGGGGCATCGAGCCACTGAGGCCCGCAATGTCTCCCTCGTCCCACTGCATCGACGACACGGATGATGCGCGCGTCGATCTCATCTCCGATGTTGAGGCTAAGAGCTCCGCTTCCGCCTGAAGCTTCATCTCCTCCCTTTTAGCCTTCACCAAGGCCTGTTTCGCCGCTGCCAATCCGACGTATTCGCCGGTTGTCGGTGGGCGACCTCTTCCTCTGGGCTTCGACGGTTCTGGCGCCTCACTTCCACTCCCACTGGAAGCACCAGACCGACTTCGCTTCCGCGCCGACCGCGGTCCGCGGTAGCGCTTCTTTCCTCCTGTGTCACAACTTGACACCGTCTCCATGGACTCCACGGACGAGTCCGAGAGCCCACCAAACTCTTCTTCTAAGGCCGCGTAGGATTGTGCGGCGGCCGCTACAGATGGACTTGGAGAATCGCATAAGCGCTCCAACATCACTCTCGCATTAGTAAATCTCCACTCTCTACCATGGGGGTTGCCGGCCTCCAGAATACGATCCGGCTTAACCGCCGCCCCTTCACCATTGCTGGATCCAGAGCGACGGGTGGGATTTGACCCACCTGGAGTAGTTTTACTTGTCGTAGTTGCCTCCATGTTTTGTTTTTTAGTTGGTGCCTTAGGGGCTGGACTCCCACCAGCCATTCATCCCCTCGCCAGGCACCACAGACTTAGGATTGGGGGTGCGCTGCCTATGTCAGCGCACCTCGCGGACAACGAGCCCGCCATCCTCCGTGCCGAAGCACCACTTTCGGTTCGCAACCGCTAACAGCGGCAGAGAACCGATCTCCGCCTTAAACTATATATAATATATTTACAAAGAAATAAAAATATATACAGGGGTGAGAAGCACCCTCTCCAAAAACACTATTTACAAAAATAAATAAATGTGCAAAAACTTACCATTCCTGCAAGCTCCTTCCTCCCTGCTCGACCAGTCCCGAAGCAATGTCCAGGGGTCGAGTCCCGCCGCAGGCCCAGGCTCCCGTCCCGTTACAGGCTCAGGCTCCCGTTCCGCAGCAGGCCATCCTCTTCATCGGCTGTGCCGACTTGTGGGCGTAAAAGCCGACTTCTCGGTGCGACGACGGGGGGTAACAACCCCTAACCGGAGGCTATGAGCCATTCCCGGCCCGCCGCCGCTGTGTGCATGGCGCCGACGGGAGACGTGAAACGGTCCGACCCTGACGGCGTAGACGTATCATTTGCCATCGAGGGCCCGCCGCGCCATATACCCGCACACCCGACCCAGGGCGAAAAGCGCCCCGGGCCCGCGCCATAGGACGCCCTTCCTCGCGCTTCACTGCGCATCGCGGTCTGAAGGACCGCGATAAACAAAACTTCGTCTTCCCCACCCACCACGAAAACGCGGTTGGCAAGGAACGCCGAAGATGTAGCAAGCCATACAGAGCAATATACAATATTGCAGAGTATCGCCCGCCTCCCAGTTAGCGACCACCGAGTCTGCAGGATACGCACCGGTCATCACAAAGTTAACAAACTTTGCCATAGCCGATACCACCCTAACTCAGATGGCCGGGCCCTTCCGGCACGACAAGCCCTGGGGCTGCACGAGATACTCAAAGTGCAGTGGAAGGGAAAGTGCAGTGGAAGGGAACCTAACCTAACCTAACCTAACCTTTTTTTTTTTTTTTTTTTTTTTTTTTTTTTTTTTACTTGGAGGAATCGAGTCTTTACCGACGCCCCCGCCGGGCCAAGTGCAATGGCGGGGGGAGTGTGGGGGTCAACCGCTAGTCGGCCACTACCCACTAAACCATCCAAGAGCCCTTCTGCCACTGCTCTGTTCGGTCAAGGGGCTGGTATCAGCTAAGCCTTTGCCCAGCCCCGAGCCGAGGGCAGATGTCGCACAGCTTGCGCGCGCGTATCGCCGTCTTGGCCTTCTTCTGCCTATGTTTCCATAGGAGCCCCTGTTGGAGGGGCCTTGGCCCCATTCGTGGGGTCCTTTTTGCGCGCCCTTTTGGGAGGCGCTTTACACTTAGCGCCACCCAATTTATGCTTCGCGTCCTTGCCGGCTGCAGCGCATATTGCGCAATGTGGCTCGGCCGTGCAGGACGCGGCGACGTGGTCGGGCTGGCTACATCGGTAGCACAGCCGACTACGGTCACATTCTGTGACACAGCGGTCCGCGATGTGTCCGCTCTCCAAACATTTGTAGCAGCGGAGTGCCCGGGGTTTTGCCACAGTCACTTTTGCCACCACCCATCCGACGAGGAGCTTGCCTTCTGCAAGCTTCTTTGCGACTTCGATAGAAGCCCGTACCCAGACTGAATACAGACCCCACCTGCCGACCCTCTTTTGGCCAATCTTTACTTCATTAAATTGGCATCCTCCTTTCTTGGCTATTGCATCTTGCAATTCCAACTCGCCGACCGACTCGTCGATTCCCGAGATCCTCACATCTACGGTTTTCACGGGCCGCGTCACCTTCATCTTCTCGCCGAACAAAGTCCCCAGCTTTTCAGCCAGAGCGTCGGCTTTGGAGCCGCTGTTCGCCCCAGGGAGCTCCAGCACTGTGGCCCCCGTTGCCGCCTTGCGGACTCTGAGGGTCTCCAGACCCGTGATCTCCTTCAGATCTATCTTAGACCTCGCGATGAGCAGGGTTTTCTGATAGTTCAGCATCGCCTTCTCCTTTCCCACGTCCGTGAGGGTGAGGACTATTGCCGACGACCGGGGAGTCTTGAGTTTAGGCTTCGCCTTAGCCTTGGGACTCTTCTTGGCTTTGGTTGCCTTTCCCGGTGCCGGTTGCGGATGCGACTTTTCCTTCTTCTTCTTCTTCTTTTTGACCACCGTGGCCCAGGTTTCCTCCAGAGAGTCTGGGTTCGGCGGCCTTGGATCCTCCTTGTTACTCTTCGCCTTAGTAATCTTCTTCATTTCCTTTTCAGGCTGAGGGTCAGTCTTCTTTTCCCTTCTCTTCTTGTCAGCCGCCAGCGGAGGCCGAAGCAACGGCGCAGGGTTGAGCCTCGGCTCGAGCCCCTCAATGCGGGCATTCACCCTGTCTCCCAGCTTACGTAGGATGCTCGCCTCTAACTCCTCCATGTTTGGAGGTCCGGAAGACTTCTGCAGCTTCTCTACTTTCTGCGTGAGCTCTTCTAGCTTCTCCCTCAGTTGCTGGTTCTCGGCGCTCAGGACCCTCGTCTCCTCACTAATGGTTCTCTGGATGAGAACCTGCGAGTTGTCCCTAATCGCCGAGACCGCTTTCTTCAATGCGTAGACGAAAGTTCCTTTGAGATTTCCAGATCTCTTCGCTACGCCTTCTATCACCTGTAAGCTCGCCTCGATGCCTCTGCGAGCATCCAAGGCCGAGCGACTAGCCGGTTCACCGGTGTCCACGATGTCCGCTTCATCCCATTGCATCGAAGACACCGACGATGCACGCGTTGACCTCAGCTCCGATGCGGAAGCCGCAAGTTCGGCCTCAGCCTGGAGCCTTATCTCTTCTCTTCTAGCCTTCACTAAGGCCTGCTTCGCCGCAGCCAGTCCGACGTACTCGCCGGTTGTCGGTGGGCGACCTCTCCCTCTCGGCTTCGACGATTCTGGCGCCTCGCTCCCACTACCACTCGATGCACCAGATCGACTCCGCTTTCGCGCTGACCTCGGTCCGAAGTAGCGCCTCTTCCCCGCAGTGTCGCAACTCGACACCGTCTCCATAGACCCTTCGGACGAGTCCGAGAGCCTACCATACTCCTCCTCAATGGCCGCACAAGATCGAGCGGCGGCCGCTACGGATGGACTTGGTGAAGAGCAAAGACGCTCCAACACCACTTTCGCATCCGAATATCTCCACTCTCTACCATGGGGGTTGCCGGCCTCCAGAATACGATCCGGCTTAACCGCCGCCCCTTCACCATTGCTGGATCCAGAGCGACGGGTGGGATTTGACCCACCTGGAGTAGTTTTGTACTTCGTAGAATCCTCCATGTTTTGTTTTTTGTTGGTGCCTTAGGGGCTGGACTCCCACCAGCCATTCATCCCCTCGCCAGGCACCACAGACTTAGGATTGGGGGTGCGCTGCCTATGTCAGCGCACCTCGCGGACAACGAGCCCGCCATCCTCCGTGCCGAAGCACCACTTTCGGTTCGCAACCGCCTAACAGCGGCAGAGAACCGATCTCCGCCTTAAAACTATATACAGTATTTACAAAAATAAATAAAAATATATAGAGGGGTGAGACGCACCCTCTCCAAAACACTAACTACAAAAATAATATGTGCAAAAAACTTACCCTACCAGCAAGCTCCTTCCACCCTGCTCGACCGGTCCCAGAGCAATGTCCAGGGGGTCGAGTCCCGCCGCAGGCCCAGGCTCCCGTCCCGTAACAGGCTCGGGCTCCCGCTCCGCAGCAGGCCATCCTCTTCGTCGGCTGAGCCGACTTGTGGGCGTAAAAGCCGACATCTCGGTGCGACGGCGGGGGGTAACAACCCCTAACCGGAGGCTATGAGCCATTCCCGGCCCGCCGCCGCTGTGTGCATGGCGCAGACGGGAGACGTGAAACGGTCCGACCCTGACGGCGTAGACGTATCATTTGCCATCGAGGGCCCGCCGCGCCATATACTCGCACACCCGACCCAGGGCGAAAAGCGCCCCGGGCCCGCGCCATAGGACGCCCTTCCTCGCGCTTCACTGCGCATCGCGATCTGAAGGATCACGATAAACAAAAACTTCGTCTTCCCCACCCACCACGAAAAACGCGGTTGGCAAGGAACGCCGAAGATGTAGCAAGCCATACAGAGCAATATACAATATTGCAGAGTATCGCCCGCCTCCCAGTTAGCGACCACCGAGTATGCAGGATACGCACCGGTCATCACAAAGTTAACAAACTTTGCCATAGCCGATACCACCCTAACTCAGATGGCCGGGCCCCCCCGGCAACGACAAGCCCTGGGGCTGCACGAGATACTCAAAGTGCAGTGGGGGGGGAACCTAACCTAACCTAACCTAACCTAACCTAACCTAACCTAACCTAACCTAACCTAACCTAACCTAACCTAACCTAACCTAACCTAACCTAACCTAACCTAACCTTTTTTTTTTTTTTTTTTTTACTTGGAGGAATCGAGTCTTTACCGACCCCCCCGCCGGGCAGTGCAATGGCGGGGGGAGTGTGGGGGTCAACCGCGAGTCGGCCACTACCCACTAAACCATCCAAGAGCCCATCAACGCACTGTTTGGCAAGGGGTTGGCGATCAGTTGAAACCTTGTCCAGACCCCCTTTTGCCAAGTGCTTTGCCGCAGCGCATAGCGCGCAGCTCACCTTCTTGACCTACTTACTACGAATATATTTACAAAATGTACAAATGAGATATGTACAATTAAACTATTTACAATAAGAATACAAACTTACGGAGCACGCACGAAGTCGCGCCTGCGCCTGCCTGTTCTTCTTCTTCTCATCTGAGGGGCCCCAGGTTCTATTTCCCGAGCCCGCTCTGCCTCTTCTTTTGAACCTAAAACAAACTGACAGAATACCTGGATAGCCTGCCATTTCGCTTCATCAGAGAGCATGCTCCTGACGAATAGGGACAAATTGAGGGCGCCACTTCCGTGATTGTCAAGTCCGGTAAGCCGCAGCATGGTATCTCTATGGTCATTCCATGCCGGGCAGTCGAATAGGGTGTGCTGTGGTGTGTCGTTGGCACATCCGCAGTGATGGCAGGTGGGGGTGGGCTCTCTGCGGGCAATCTTGTGAAGATAGGAGCCGAAGCATCCGTGCCCGGTGAGCCCTTGCGTCAGATGGTAGGACAAAGTCCCCCACCGCCTTTCAGTCCATTCCTTGAACACTGGCATGATAGCATCCAGTGTCCGTCTCCCGTAGCGCGCGCTGGCGAGTTCTTCACGCCACTTTGTTAGTACGGTCTCACGACCTCCTCTTCTCCACGCCTCCATTTCCTCATGGGTCGGCTCGTTTCCCGATCTTCTGGAACGAGCCCGCTTCCAATAAATGTCCGCCAGAGCGCCCGCCTCTATATGCCATGGTGGAGTGTTTGCTAGTATGCACACCACATCAAATGACACTGTTCTATACGCTCGCGCAGCACCAATAGCAACAATGCGCTGTGACCGCCTAAGGACGGCCTTGTTAAAGTTGCAAAGATCCCCGGCCCATATGGGTGAGCCATACATAGCTTGAGATCTGACGACACCCGAAAACAATTTACGACATCCGTGATTAGGCCCGCCGACATTGGCCATTAATCTACTGAGTGCCATTGCAGTGGCCGACAGCTTTGCCGAAAGAGCCGAAAAATGGGCCTTAAAGCTCCACCGAGAATCCAAGACTAGGCCTAAGTATTTGAGCGTCTTTCCTACTCCTATTGACACTCCACCAACGACAAGTTGCGAGCCAGCTGGTGGTGCTTTTCGTGAGCCATGAAATAAAATGGCCTCAGACTTCTCTAGAGCCACTTCAAGGCCCAACCTCCTTATCCTAGCTACTACTTGAGCCACTCCAGCAGTAGCCTTCACTGATGCATCTCTGTAATCTCGTCCTCTAGTCACCACCAGTGTATCATCAGCGTAGCAAATCAAGCTGACGCCATGCAACAGCGCACCTCTCAAGACAACATCATAACCCAGATTCCACAGCAGTGGCCCTAGGACTGACCCTTGGGGTACACCTCTTTCCACTTTATGTTCTCCCCATCCCTCTCTTACAGGGTAGATGATACTCCGGTTATGAAGGTAGGAGGCAATCGTCCTTGATAGATATAGGGGCATCTGATGGTATTCAAGCCCTTTCATGATAGCGCTCCAGGGCAGAGTGTTAAAAGCGTTTTTTATGTCTAATGACACCGCCAGTACCACCCCGCCCTGTGACGTTGTCTCCTCCGAAATGTCCCTGAGACGAGCAATTGCGTCGACTGTTGACCGTCTCTGTCGGAAGCCAAACTGGTTATCCGACAGATCCGGACCGACTGTTCTTAAATGTCGGATCACCCTGTTTGCGACGATTCGTTCGAATATCTTGCCAGTCTCGTTCAGAAGCACAATTGGTCTGTATGCAGAAGGGGACTCCGCCGGCTTTCCCGGTTTTCGCAGCAGTACCAATTTTCCCGTTTTCCAGGCTTCAGGAAAGCACGAATTCCGCAGACAAGATGTAAGCAGCCTGCGGAAGCGATCATCCAAGCCAAATTGCAGCGCAAGGGCTAAGGCCTTTCCGTGAATGCCATCAGGCCCAGGAGCAGTCCTTTTCCTCTGCATTTTTTCAACAGCGATTTCTACTTCCGCCATAGTCACTTCCGAGATGTCCAATTCCGAATGTTGTTGCCGGTTCCAAAATTGTTCTTCGCCAGGGGCGCGGGGTGGAAATAGGGCCGCCACAACAGTCCTTAGCAGTGACGGTTCCATCCCGGTGGTAATGGGAGGTGCCCAGGGACGCAACTTGTTCATGACAAGTTTGTAAGGACGTCCCCAGGGATCTTGTTCGAGCGAATCGAGTAGCTCCTCCCACGCCCTTTGCTTAGATTCCGCTATTTCACGACGCAAAGCATTCTTGGCCTGTTGGTAAGCTGCATAGATAGTAGCCTCCTCGGCTAGATCACCGTTGCCTCGATGTCTTCTTCTATAGCGAGTGTAATACCGACGCTTTTCTGCACAGGCACTTCTTAAACGACTAAGTTCCGCCGACCACCAATACACCTGGTCTTTAATTGGTGGTGCTCTAACTCTCGGCATTGCGGCATCCGATATGTGAACCAGTTCCCGTCCGAACCATTCCGCTCCCTCTTCCGGAAGTTCCTCCTGTGGAATGGGATTCCAACTAGCAACCACAGCAGCCATCTCCAGGTCGTCTCTATCTAGAGCTTTGATAGCCCACTTTGGACCAATTTCTCCTGGTGACGAACGTCTTCTGATGGGGTTTGACAGGGGAGTGAAGCTGAATCGGATGTACCGATGATCAGCCAGGGTCTCTTCTCCCGCCAACACCCTCCAGTCTTGAATGCGCCGAGCAATAGAGAGGCTCGCGAAAGACAAATCTACTATCGAGCCACCCTGCATCCTCACACATGTCTGCACCGTTCCGCTATTCAGTAGTACCAGGTCATGTTCAACTGCCCACTCCACGACAATTTCTCCTCGCGCATCAGTAGACGGAGAACCCCAAGCTGTTGACTTTGCGTTGAAGTCCCCCGCGACAATGATATTGCACGGTCTGCTACTCCGAATGAGGGCACTCACTTCCGCCAAGTGTACCTCGAACTCTGCCACTGAACGATTTGGCGAAAAGTAGGACGCCACGACCACGATATTACCCACTTTAAGGGCGACACATCCGTCTTTCTTCTTCGAGGGACCGATTGGGGGCAGGTCGTTGGTGTTTCTCACGACGATAGCTACTGTGCCATCATTGCTGCCAACCCAATCTTCCCTGTCTAGAACGCTGTACGGTTCGCAGACGACTCCTATGTTGATAGACCACTGCGCCAGACTCTGAACTAAAAGATCTTGGGCTCTGACGCAGTGATTTATGTTCGCCTGTAATATCTTGAGGGCCGAACTAATTGTTGACGACCTCGCTTGTCTCCATGGCCTCCCCGCTCGGTTGGGTGTCATCCCTGATGTTCGGGACTCTTCTCCTCATCTTTTTAGCGGGGGCCGAGCATTTAGCACTACCCACTTGATGATTAGCGTCTTTGTTCGCTGACGCACAGACAAGGCAGTGCGGTTTGGCCGAACAAGAGGCCGCGACATGTCCAGACTGGCCGCAACGATAGCACGTCCCCCTGCGATCACTCTCGGCGTCGCACCGACTTGCTACGTGGCCTTCTTGCAAACACTTGAAGCAGCGAAGCACTCGAGCTTTAGCTATCGCCACTTTCGCCACCACCCAACCAACCAAGAACCTTCCCACCATTAGCTTCTTAGCCGCCGTTATCGGTACATGGGCCCAGATTGTGCAGAGCCCTGACCTATCCTCTCGTAGCTGTCCTGCTTTTACTTGGGCTGCAGGGCACTCTCCTTTCTTAGCAATGGCCTCGATCACCTCTTCTGGTGTTACTGAGTCGTCGAGGCCTGTGATTTTTATGTCCACGGTCTTTATCGGCCGGGACACTTTGATGCCATCTTCCTTAAAGACTTCCTTCAACTTTTCTGCTAGGGCATCGGCCTTCGGCCCACTATTTGCCCCAGGGAGTTGAAGGATCGTCGCTCCCGTTACAGCTTTGCGAAAACGAATCGCCTCAAAGCCTGTAATTTCTTTCAAATCTAACTTTGTCTTCGCTGTTCTTATAACGTCGCTGTAAGTAAGCCCCTTTTTGGAGGCCTCTTCAGTGACTGTCACCACTACCGCTGAGGTTCTTGGCGTCTTCAGTTTTGGTATAGCCCGTGCCGAAATAGGTGTTTGTGCCTTTCCTGGCTGCGACTGTTTGTTGGCCCGTTTTGCCGGTGAACTTTTCGGCGGGGCACTACGAGATTCCGTCTCTCGGAGCGGGCGTCCCTTCCTTACTACCGTGACCCAGTTCTCTTCTAGCGAATCTGGGTTGGGCGGACGAGATGGGGCCCGACTTTGAGACTTGGCAACGGGGGCGGACGAGTGCGCGGGAGCGGTGGGTGCCGATTCTCCCGTGTTCTCAACTCTCTCCGACGCCTTTCCCTTCTTCTTCTTCGACTTACTCTTTTTCTTCTCAGTTTCAGGACCGGGAACTGTTTCCGGAGCCGAAACCGCCGTAGGAATAGGTAAGTCTTTCCCTATTTTTTCCCCTTCTTTCTTCTTATCTGCCGATAAGGGGGGCCTAATTCTTGGCGCTGGATTAAGCCGGGGTTCAAGCCCTTCGATACGAGCATTGATTTTTTCTCCCAGCTTACGAAGTAGACCAGCCTCAAACTCCTCTAAGCTGCCTGGCAGCTGTGGGGCCTTCTGTATCCCCTCCACCTTTTTGCTAAGCTCCTCCAACTCCTTGCGAAGGCGCTCATTTTCGGCTCTAAGAGCTTTAGTCTCATCCGAGATTGTGCGTCTCATAAGCACTCCAGTATTTTCTCTTACCGTGGCCACGGCCTCCTTCAGGGCTCGGACAAATGTTCCCTTGAGACTCGAGGAACGTTTTGCCACGTCTTCTATGATGCCCAGGCTGGCATCAATAGTCTTCTGCATCTCAAGTGCAGAGCATGGGCCGGAATCTTGTGTTTCCATTATGTCCCCGCTGTCCCATTCCAAGGAGGCAGGTGTTGTGCTCCTCGTCACTCTTGCCTCTGCAATTGATGCCATAAGCTCGGCCTCCGCCCTAGCTTGCATCTCCTCTCTTTGTGCCTTGGCCAGTTCTTTTTTGGCTGCAGCCAAGCCGATATAGTCGCCCGTTGTTGGTGGGCGACCTCTCCCTTTTCTTTGGACTGAGGTCGGGGTGTCCGTAGAACTACCCTCCTCGTCCATCTCCTTCTTTCGCTTGCGGCTTCGTTCACGCCAAAAACGACCAGGCCCCGAAACGGGCGAGGACGCCTTCGAACGAGCCTGACTACTCGATGCAGCGGATGATACGCTGCACATAGAGTCCGAGTCCGAATCAGACAGCCTCGAAGCCATCGACTGGACCCGTGAGCCGCGAACTTCTCCTTCTGTCACGGGCAGTGGCGTTACAGTCCTCTGCAATACTACCCGCAACTCTTTCTCACCTCCTTCCTTATCTCTTATACTCCTACTTTCATCTCTAACTCCCTTTCTAACTTCATCATGGGGGTTGCCGGCCTCCAGAATACGTTCCGGCTCAACCGCGGCACCTTCACCATTGCTGGATCCAGTGCGGCGGGTGGGATTTGACCCACCTGGAGTAGTTTTATTTAACGTAATTGCCTCCATGTTTTTGTTATGTTTTTTGTTTGGTGCCTTAGGGACTGGACTCCCACCAGCCATTCATCCTATCGCCAGGCACCACAAACTTAGGATTGGGGGCACACAAAGTGTGCCTCGCGAACTACGAGTCCGCCATCCACCGTGCCGAAGCACCACTGGAGAAACGATCTCCAACGTCCAATATATACATGCCCATAAGGGGCAATCGACTAAACACATTATTTACAAAACACAATACAATATACAATAAAAACAGTAAAAGTAAAATGAAAGAAAATAAAATATGTACATGGGTGAGAAGCACCCTCTCCAAAAAACACTATTTACAAAAATAAATGTGCAAACACTTACCCTAAAGCTCCTTCCACCCTGCTCGACCGGTCCCGAAGCAATGTCCAGGGGTCGAGTCCCGCCGCATGCCCAGGCTCCCGTCCCATTAAGGGCTCAGGCTCCCGTTCCGCAGCAGGCCATCCTCTTCATCGGCTGTGCCGACTTGTGGGCGTAAAAGCCGACTTCTCGGTGCGACGACGGGGGGTAACGACCCCTAACCGGAGGCAACAAGCCATTCCCGGCCCGCCGCCGCTGTGTGCATGGCGCCGACGGGAGACGTGAAACGGTCCGACCCTGACAGCGTAGACGTATCATTTGCCGTCGAGGGCCCGCCGCGCCATATCCTCGCACACCCGACCCAGGGCGAAAAGCGCCCCGGGCCCGCGCCATAGGACGCCCTTCCTCGCGCTTCACTGCGCATCGCGGTCTGAAGGACCGCGATAAACAAAACTTCGTCTTCCCCACCCACCACGAAAACGTGGTTGGCAAGGAACGCCGAAGATGTAGCAAGCCATACAGAGCAATATACTATATTGCAGAGTATCGCCCGCCTCCCAGTTAGCGACCACCGAGTCTGCAGGATACGCACCGGTCATCACAAAGTTAACAAACTTTGCCATAGCCGATACCACCCTAACTCAGATGGCCGGGCCCTTCCGGCACGACAAGCCCTGGGGCTGCACGAGATACTCAAAGTGCAGTGGAAGGGAACCTAACCTTTTTTTTTTTTTTTTTTTTTTTTTTACTTGGAGGAATCGCAATCTTTACCGACGCCCCCGCCGGGCAGTGCAATGGCGGGGGGAGTGTGGGGGTCAACCGCGAGTCGGCCACTACCCACTAAACCATCCAAGAGCCCATCAACGCACTGTTTGGCAAGGGGTTGGCGATCAGTTGAAACCTTGTCCAGACCCCCTTTTGCCAAGTGCTTTGCCGCAGCGCATAGCGCGCAGCTCACCTTCTTGACCTACTTCTACTATTTACAAATGTACATTTTTAAGCTTTGTACTCTAAGATCTAACCTATTTAAATATTTACAGATACCTACGACGCATTCGCAAAGTTGCGTCTGCGTCTCCCTGTTCTCCTTCTTCTCTGGAGCGGAGCCCCCGGTTCTATTTCCCGAGCGCGCTCATTGTCCTCCTTAGCCTTGAGTACCTCCTCGCAGAACGCCTGGACAGCCTTCCACTTGGATTCGTCAGAGACTATGCTCTGAACCAGGTCCTGTAAACTAAGAGGGTTACTACTCATACTGTCTAATCCGGTTATTCTCAACATGGTTCCCCGCTGGGAGTCCCATGCCGAGCAGTCAAAAATCGTGTGCTGCGGGGTATCATTATGACACCCGCAGTGATGGCAAATGGGGGTGGGTTCTCTTCGGGCAACTTTGTGAAGATAGCTGCCGAAGCAACCGTGCCCGGTGAGACCCTGAGTCAGATGATAGGACAACGTCCCCCATTGCCTGTCAATCCATTGATGGAACACTGGCAGTATAGCCTCCAGTGTCCATTTTCCAAATCTAGCATTGGCCAGTTCTTCATGCCATAAGTTCACTATGGATTCGCGGCCTTGTTTCCGCCATGCTTCCATCTGTTCATGAGTCGGTTCCACTCCTGATCTCCTGCACCGATCTCTACTCCAGTAAACGTCCGCCAACACTTTAGCTTCGACGTACCATGGCGGCGTTGCTGCTAATAGGCACACCGCGTCGAAAGATGTGGTTCGATAGGCCCGTGCTACTCGGATAGCTACGGACCGCTGCGATCGCCTAAGTATTGCCTTATTGGCGTTATCCAGATCACCAGCCCATATTGGCGCACCATATAGGGCTTGGGATCTGACAACTCCCGCGAAGAGCTTGCGGTGACTCGATTTCGGCCCGCCGACGTTGGGCATGAGTCTGCTTAAAGCCGCCGCTGTAGCCGTAAGTTTAGGTGCTAACGCCAAGAAGTGGGATCTGAAGTTCCACCGGGAGTCTAGTACGAGGCCCAAATATTTGAGAGTCGTCCCGACTCCGATGGAAACTCCGCCGACGACTATTTGAGAGCCAGATGATGGGGCTCTTCTTGGACCGTGAAACAAGATGGCTTCGGATTTCTCCAAAGCCACCTCGAGGCCCAATCTCCTAATTTTTGCCACGACCTGTGCAACTCCAGCCGTGGCCTTCACCATTACGTCTCTGACGTCTCGACCTTTTGTTACGACTAGGGTGTCATCAGCGTAGCATATTACACTGACCCCCGGCAGCAACACACCTCTCAGAACGACGTCATACCCGAGATTCCAAAGAAGCGGGCCAAGCACCGACCCCTGAGGAACCCCCCGCTGCACTTGGTGTTCGCCCCATCCATCCCTAGAAGGGAACATAATGCTTCTCTCTTGTAAGTATGAAGCAATCGTCCTTACTATGTACGCAGGAACCCGGTGATGTTCGAGGCCCTGCATTATCGCGTCCCAAGGAAGGGAGTTGAAGGCGTTTTTAATGTCTAAGGACACCGCTAACACCATCCCTCCTTGAGTCGTGGCTTCGTCCGAGATATCGCGGAGGCGGGCGATTGCGTCGACGGTGGATCGTCTCTGCCGGAAACCAAACTGATTGTCCGACAGATCCGGCCCGACTGATGTTAAGTGTCGGACTATTTTGTTTGCGATGACGCGTTCGAAAAGTTTACCCGCCTCGTTGAGTAAAACTATTGGCCTGTAGGCAGACGGAGACTCCGCCGGCTTTCCTGACTTGCGCAACAGGACCAACTTTCCCTTCTTCCAGGCTTCCGGGAAGCAAGCACTCCGCAGGCAAGATGACAGTAGTCTGCGGAATCTGTCTTCTAAGCCGTATTCCAAAACTAGGGCCCAGACTTTCCCGTGTATTCCGTCCGGACCCGGGGCAGTTCTTTTGCCCTGCATCTTCTCCACGGCAACCTCCAGTTCGGCTTCGGTTACATCCGGAACTTCTGAATCTTCGGACACTTCTCTCACCACATGTGATCCCAGTCCAGGGGCGTGGGGTGGGAATAGAGCCGACACAACAGATGTTAACAGTGACGGCTCCATTGCAGCTGTAAGGGGAGGAACCCAGGGACGCAACCTGTTCATGACCAGTTTGTAGGGGCGCCCCCAGGGGTCCAATTCAAGAGACTCGAGCAATTCCTCCCACGCTCTCTGTTTTGCCTCTCCTATCTTTTGGCGCAAGATGTTTTTCGCCTCGACGTATACCGCGTATATACGGTTCTCTTCCACTGGGTCACCATTTCCTCTGTGTCGTCGCCTATAACGCGAATAATGACGACGCGCAGCTGAACATGCAGCCCGAAGACGCGCAAGTTCCGGAGACCACCAATAGACCTGGTCTTTGTTTGGCGGAGCCCGGACTTTTGGCATAGCAACGTTCGAAATGTGCGCCATTTCTTGAGAAAACCACTGCGCTTCCTCCTCTACCGTTCTGGTTTCGGAAACTGGGCACCAACTGCTGACGATTGTGGCCAGTTCCAGCTTCTCCTTGTCCAACGCCTTGATAGCCCATTTCGGGCCAACGGCTGCAGGATCCGATGATGGACTGGGCCTGGTCGATGCCGCCAGAGGGGCGACACTGAACCGTATGTATCGGTGATCTGACAAGGTCTCCACCTCTGTCAGCACCTCCCAGTCCCGGATGCGACGTGCCACGGAGGGGCTCGCAAACGACAAGTCGATAATTGAACCCCCCTGCATTCTAATACAAGTCTCCTCCGATCCGCGATTTAGAAGAGTAAGGTCGTGTTCAGCGGCCCACTCCACTAAGAGGTCACCTCTGATGTTAGAGGCTGGAGACCCCCACGCCGTAGATTTTGCGTTGAAGTCCCCGACCACAACGATGTTTTGTGGTCTGCTTCCTCTAACAAGAGAGCTGACCTCCTCCAAGAATCCTTCGAATTCGACCAACGGGCGATTCGGAGAAAAGTAACACCCTATCACGACCGTGTCTCCCATCTTTAAGGGAGACACAATTGACCTTCCTTGTGACAGTTCCGATTGGGGGTGTGCCGAGGTTGTTGCGCACGACTATTGCGACCGATTTATCGCTGTCCCCGACCCAATCGTCCCTCGCTGGAACCAAGTATGGCTCTGCGATAACGCCGATATCTATTGACCACTGTGCCAGAGTCTGCACGAACAGGTTTTGAGCTCCGGCACAATGGTTAAGATTAGCTTGTAGGAATCGCAGAGACATACTAGGGTTCCGTGGTTTCTACAATCTCCATGTTTTGAGCCCCGCTCGGTGGGACAGTGTCCTTTACTGGGGCCTTTCTCCTTCCACTCTCCTGGTGGGGGCCGAGCATTTGGCACCTCCCACTCTATGGTTGGCGTTTCGATTTGCCGCTGCACATACCGCACAGTGCGGTTTGGCTGAGCAAACAGACGCGACATGTCCTGGTTGGCCACATCTGTAACAAAGGCCGCTGCGATCACTTTCGCAGTTGCACCGACCAGCTACGTGACCACTTTCGAGGCACCGGAAGCATCGAAGTGCTCTTGGCTTCCCCAGAGACACCTTGGCCGAAACCCAGCCCACCAAGAATCGCCCTTCCATCATTTTCTTGGCAGCCGTGTTCGGAACGTGTGCCCAGACCGAGCACAAACCCGATCGATCCGGTCTTATGGGTCCCACCCTCAGTTGGGAAGCAAGGCACCCTCCTTTGTTGACAATCGCGTCCCTCACCTCGTCCGACGTGACCGATTCATCCAGTCCACTGATCCTGATGTCAACGGCTCTAACTGGCCGCGACACCCGAACCGAATCTCCATCAAAAATCTCCCTTAGTTTCTCCGCGAGCTTGTCAGCTTTTGGGTCGCTGGTAGCACCAGGGAGTTGCAGAATTGTCGCTCCCGTCACTGCCTTCCTAAATTTAATGGCCTCAAAGCCAGTCAATTCCTTGAGGTCCAGCTTCTCCTTTGCCTCTTTTAGGACTCCACTGTAGGTGAGCCCTTTTCTTGAGGCTTCTTCTGTCAGCGTGACCACGACGGCCGAAGATCGCGGAACTTTGAGTTTCGGTATCGACGCCTTGGGGCCAGATGTGCTAGAGGCCTTGGTCTTATTAGGCTTCGCTGCCTTTTTCGGCTGTCCTTTCGCCGCATCCTTTTGTGCCGGGCGTCCCCTCTTGACCACCGTGACCCAGTTCTCTTCAAGAGAGTCTGGGTTCGGTGGACGAGATGGGGCCCGACTTTGAGTCTTGGCAACGGGGACGGACGAGTGCGCGGGAGCGGCGGGAGCCGATTCACCCGCACACTCAACCCTCTCCGGTGCTTTTCCCTTTTTCTTCTTTGACTTACTCTTCTTCTTTTTTGTTTCAGGACCAGAGGTTGCTGCCGGAACTGAAACTGCCGGAGGAATAGGTAAGTCTTCTATTCTCTCTCTTTCTTTCTTCTTGTCTCCCGCTAAGGGTGGTCTAAGCCGCGGCGCTGGATTGAGCCGAGGTTCAAGCCCATCAATACGAGCATTGATCCTATCCCCCAGCTTAAGCAGGAGACCAGCTTCAAACTCTTCCAAATTACTTGGCAACTGGGGTGCCTTTTGAATTCCCTCAACCTTTTTGCTGAGTTCTTCCAACTCCTTCCGAAGGCGCTCATTTTCAGCCCTGAGAGCCCTGGTTTCATCCGATATTGTGCGTGTCATAAGCACTCCGGTGTTCTCCCTAACTGTAGCCACGGCCTCTTTCAGGGCACGGACAAATGTTCCTTTGAGACTGGAGGAACGTTTGGCTACGTCCTCTATGATACCCAGACTGGCATCTATCGTCTTCTGCATCTCTCGTGCAGAGCGTGGGCCGGAGTCTTGGGTCTCCATCATGTCCGCGCTGTCCCATTCCAAGGAGGCTGGTGTTGTGCTCCTTGTCAGTCTCGCTTCAGTTATTGATGCCATAAGCTCGGCCTCCGCCCTAGCTTGCATCTCCTCCCGTTGAGCTTTCGCCAGCTCTTTTTTGGCTGCAGCCAAGCCAATATACTCGCCCGTTGTTGGTGGGCGACCTCTCCCTTTTCTCTGAATCGAGGAAGGGGTGTCCGTGGAGCTCCCTTCCTCGTCTGTCTCCTTTCTTCGTTTCCGGCTTCGTTCACGCCAGAATCGACTAGGTTCCGACTTGGGCTCCGACGCCTTTGAACGAGCCAAATTTGTCGATGCACCAGACGACACGCTGCACAATGATTCCGAGTCTGAATCAGACAATCTCGAAACCGTTGGGCGGACGCGCAAACCACGATCTTCTCCTTCCGTTACGGGCAGTGGCGTTACAGACCTCTGCAACATCACCCGCAACTCTTTCCCAACTCCTTCCTTTACTCTGCCACTCCTACTTCCATCACTCTCTCCCTTTCTAACTTCATCATGGGGGTTGCCGGCCTCCAGAATACGTTCCGGCTCAACCGCGGCACCTTCACCATTGCTGGATCCAGTGCGGCGGGTGGGATTTGACCCACCTGGAGTAGTTTTTTCATACGTAGATACCTCCATGTTTTATGTTTCTGTTTTTGTTTGGTGCCTTAGGGACTGGACTCCCACCAGCCATTCATCCTATCGCCAGGCACCACAGACTTAGGATTGGGGACACACCGAGTGTGCCTCGCGAACTACGAGTCCGCCATCCACCGTGCCGAAGCACCACTGGAGAAGCGATCTCCAACGTCAAATATATACATGCCCATAGGGGGCAATCGACTAAACACATTATTTACAAACACAATACAATAAACAATAAAATAAAGTAAAAAGTAAAATGAAAGAAAATAAAATATGTACAGGGGTAAGAAGTACCCTCTCCAAAAACACTATTTACAAATATACAATGTTCAAAAACTTACCCTTACCAGCAGTCTTCTCACCCTGCTCGACCGGTTCCGGAGCAATCTCCAGGGGTCGAGTCCCGCCGCAGGCCCAGGCTCCCGTCCCGTAATAGGCTCAGGCTCCCGTTCCGCAGCAGGCCATCCTCTTCATCGGCTGTGCCGACTTGTGGGCGTAAAAGCCGACTTCTCGGTGCGACGACGGGGGGTAACAACCCCTAACCGGAGGCAACAAGCCATTCCCGGCCCGCCGCCGCTGTGTGCATGGCGCCGACGGGAGACGTGAAACGGTCCGACCCTGACGGCGTAGACGTATCATTTGCCGTCGAGGGCCCGCCGCGCCATATCCTCGCACACCCGACCCAGGGCGAAAAGCGCCCCGGGCCCGCGCCATAGGACGCCCTTCCTCGCGCTTCACTGCGCATCGCGGTCTGAAGGACCGCGATAAACAAAACTTCGTCTTCCCCACCCACCACGAAAAACGCGGTTGGCAAGGAACGCCGAAGATGTAGCAAGCCATACAGAGCAATATACAATATTGCAGAGTATCGCCCGCCTCCCAGTTAGCGACCACCGAGTCTGCAGGATACGCACCGGTCATCACAAAGTTAACAAACTTTGCCATAGCCGATACCACCCTAACTCAGATGGCCGGGCCCCTCCGGCAACGACAAGCCCTGGGGCTGCACGAGATACTCAAAGTGCAGTGGAAGGGGGGGGGGAACCTAACCTAACCTAACTCTTTTTTTTTTTTTTTTTTTTTTTTTTTTTTTAACCTGGAGGAATCCGTTTACGGACCCCGCGCCTGGGCAGTGCAATGGCGCGGGAGTGTGGGACTCGACCCTAGAAGAGGGCCAATACCGCACTAAACCATCCAGGACCCACGTCCACTCCACTATTGGCAAGGGTAAGGTATCAGTAAAACCATATTTTCCTTGAACCCTCGCCGAGTGGCTCGCCGCGCAAGCGCGACTCTCCCTACAAAAGTACGTAAGCTATACTTACGTACGCCCTTGCCTTCGTCTGGTGAGGATCACTGGGGGTGACGGAGGAAGTCCCGCCGCCGCCTTCCAGGTCTCCTTCGGCGTTGCTGGTCTGCATCAGGAGCTATCTCCCGCAGCCGCTCCGCCTCCTCCTTCTGTGATAGGACGACTTCGCAGAAGGCAGCGAACGCCCTCCATTTTCCGTCGTCTGTCTGTAAAATCTTTACAATAATATCATTTAAGTGCGTATCACCTCTGGTGATGTCTAAGCCGAGTTGTATCGACAGGGTGTCTCTCTCGACGACCCATGCCGAACATTCTGTCAATGTGTGGCGGACAGTGTCCACCGCAGCGCCACAGTGATGGCAAGCGGGGGTCCGTTCCCTACCTATCTTGTACAAATAACTACCAAAACAGCCGTGTCCCGACAGCATCTGCACTAGACGGTAGGACAGATGTCCCCGCCGCCGACTCACCCATTCCTTCAGGACTGGCTGAATCGCCTCCAACGTCCATCTTCCATTCCTTGAGGTCACGAGGCCATCGGACCACTCCTGGGTGACCCAATCTCCGGCGCTCCTTCTCCACTCGTTCACTGTTTCGTAGGCAGGTTCCTCTCCTCTCGCCCTAGAACGAAACCTACGCCAGTGAACGTCTGCTAAGGCAGAGGCTTCGAGGTGCCAAGGTGCCGAAGCGGCTAGTACGCACACGGCATCGAAAGACACCGTGCGGTACGCCCTTGCGACCCTTATGGCGATCACTCTCTGCGACTGCCTTAGCATCGCCCTATTCTGGGATGCCAATCCGTACGCCCAGATTGGGCACCCGTAGAGGGCCATCGACCGCATGACCCCTGCAAAAAGCCGGCGACGCCCCGCGCTCGGTCCGCCAACGTTCGGCATAATACGGCAAAGCGCCGATGCCGTGGCGGCCAACTTGGGGGCCAGTGCCTTGAAGTGCGGCTTGAAAGTCCATCGGGAGTCGAGGACCAGGCCCAAGTACTTGAGCGTGGACCCGACTTCGATCGACTGACCGCCCACCGTAATCTTTCCACCTTGAGGTGGTGCTCTCCGCGGGCCATGGAAACATATCGCCTCCGATTTGTGAAGTGCGACTTCCAGGCCGATGTTTTTGATGCGCGCGACCACCTGAGCCACTCCCGCCGTCGCACGCAAGCTCGCCTCTCTGTAATCTCGCCCTTTGGCTACGACAAGTGTGTCGTCCGCGTAACAGATGACTTGTACGCTCCTGATCAAGACACCCCGTAGAACCTTGTCGTAGCCAATGTTCCACAAGAGAGGCCCCAGCACCGACCCTTGTGGGACTCCGCACGATACTCTATGGGTACCTATACCGTCACGAGTGGGGTAAGTAATTACTCTACCCGTGAGGTAGTCCGCAACAATGTTGACCAGGTACTGCGGCAGGTTATGATACCGCATTCCCTGCAGTATACTGTCCCAGGGCAAGGTGTTAAACGCGTTCGCGATATCTAGAGACACCGCGATAACGACACCACCCTGTGACACCGTCTCGTCGCACAGGTCCCTTAGACGTCCGATGGCGTCAATGGTCGAGCGATGTTTGCGAAACCCGAACTGTGTCTCCGCTAAGTCCGGTCCTTCCGACAACAGGTGTCGCTGGATGCGACCGGCCAGGATGCGCTCGAAGAGCTTGCCAGCCTCATCCAGCAACACGATCGGACGGTAAGCCGATGGTGACGTTTCCGGCTTGCCGGGCTTCCTGAGGAGGACCAATTTCCCCCTTTTCCACTTCTCCGGAAACTTCCCTGCCCTTAGGCACCGGGTTAATAGGTTCCGGTACCGTTCTCCCATTTCATTTTTAAGGGCAATCGAGAGCAATCTCCCATGAATGCCGTCTGGGCCAGGAGCTGTTCTTCTGCCCGTCATTCTATCCAATGCCGCGTCCATTTCCGCAGGAGACACTTCAGGAGGATCCGTCGGTGTTGCACCCGCAGAAAGTCGCGGCTGATGGTTGGCCAAGAGAGGAGAGTTCACCGCCGGGAACAGAGTCATCACCACCGAACCAAGCAGCGACGGCTCCATACCAGATGTTAGCGGCGGGGCCCAGGGGCGGAGTTTACTCATGACGAGCTTGTACGGCCGCCCCCAGGGATCCGACTCCAGCGTGTCCAGGAGCTCTGTCCACGCTCTCTCTTTTTCCTCTCCTATCTTGATGCGTAAGGTCATCTTGGCGTCTTGGTACGCGCCGTAAAGTCTTCGCTCCACCAGTGGGTCGCGAGTCCTTCGTCTTCTCCGGTAATGGGTGTACTGGCGGCGGGCCCTCACGCAGGCCAACCGGAGTTGCGCAAGCTCCTCCGACCACCAATACACCTGTTTACGAGGGGCTGCCGGTCGGGATCTGGCCATGGAGCTATCTGAAATATCAGCCATGACCTCTCCAAACCGAGCAACCTCGCTCTCTAACGTCGATCCGTCCAAAGTTGGACACCAGGCCCCGACAACCGAAGCCGTCTCCGCTGCCTCCCTGTCCAGGGTTTTTAAGGCCCATTTGGGGCCGGTCCCCAACGAAATGCGATTGGGATTCGCTGAAATTGCCAACGGGGGAAGAGAAAACTCGATGTACCGATGATCGGATAGAGTCTCGACCCCCGTCAGCACCCGCCAATCCTGGATTCTCCGTGACAGAGTGGGACTTGCGAAAGTCACATCTATCACGGAGCCTCCTTGCATCCGAACACACGTAAACTCGTTCCCTTGGTTCAGAGGGACGAGGTCGTGTTCCGCCAACCATTCTAGGAGCATATCTCCCCGAGCATCCGAGACCGAGGACCCCCATACGATAGATTTCGCATTGAAGTCCCCGGCCACGACTACTCCAAGAGGTCTGCTCCACTCCATTAGGGCACTGACGCCCGCCAGGTATGACTCGAAATCGGCCAGTGACCTGTTGGGCGAACAGTATGCCCCAATGACGACTATATTGCCTACCCGACACGCAATACAGCCGCCTCCGGCAATTGACGAGGCAACGGTGGTAGAGTCGCTGGTGTTAAGTGCGACTATAGCGACTGATTTGTCGCAGGACCCGTACCAGTTGCCCCTCTCAGGAACCATATATGGTTCAGCGACGATACCTATGTTTATCCTCCGCTGTGTCAAGCTCTGCAGGAGAAGATCCTGAGCCCTGGCACAGTGGTTGATATTTGATTGGAGAAAACGTAGGGACATTCTATGATTCTGCGGTTTCTACTATCTCCATGCTTTGGGCCCCGCTCGGTGGGGCAGTGTCCTTTTTCGGGGCGTTCCTCCTTATTCTTTTGGTGGGGGCCGAGCATTTTTCACCTCCCACTCTATGATTGGCGCTACGATTCGCCGCTGCACATACCGCACAGTGCGGTTTTGCCGAACACGAAGCCGCGACGTGTCCTGGCTGGCCACATCTGTAACAAAGGCCGCTGCGGTCGCTCTCGCAATTGCAACGGCCCGCTACGTGACCCCTTTCGAGGCACCGGAAGCACCTAAGCACTCTCGGCTTCCCCAAAGACACCTTGGCCGAAACCCAGCCCACCAAGAATCGCCCTTCCATAATTTTCTTGGCAGCCGTGGTCGGAACGTGTGCCCAGACCGAGCACAAACCGGATCGATCCGGTCTTATGGGTCCCACCCTCAGTTGGGAGAGCAAGGCACTCTCCTTTTTTGACGATCGCGTCCCTCACCTCGTCCGACGTGACCGATTCGTCCAGTCCACTGATCCTGATGTCAACAGCTCTAACTGGCCGCGACACCCGAACCGAATCCCCATCGAAAATCTCCCTCAGTTTCTCAGCGAGCTTATCTGCGTTAGGGTCGCTGGTAGCACCGGGGAGTTGCAAGATTGTCGCTCCCGTCACTGCCTTCCTAAACTTAATGGCCTCAAAGCCAGTCACTTCCTTGAGGTCCAATTTCTTCTTCGCCTCTTTTAGAACTTCACTGTAGGTGAGCCCTTTTCTTGAGGCTTCTTCTGTCAGCGTGACCACTACGGCCGAAGATCGCGGAGCTTTAAGCTTCGGCATCGACGCCTTGGGGCCAGATGTATTTGAAGCCTTGGTCTTGTTAGGCTTCGTTGCCTTTTTCGGCTGTCCTTTTGCCGCATCCTTTTGTGCCGGGCGTCCCCTCTTGACCACCGTGACCCAGTTCTCTTCAAGAGAGTCTGGGTTTGGCGGACGAGATGGGGCCCGACTTTGAGTCTTGGCAACGGGGACGGAAGAGTGCGCGGGGGCGGCGGGAGCCGATTCGCCCGCACACTCAACCCTCTCCGGTGCCTTTCCCTTTTTCTTCTTTGACTTAATCTTCTTCTTTTTTGTTTCAGGACCAGAGGTTGTTGCCGGAACTGAAACCGTCAGAGGAATAGGTAAGTCTTCTTCTATTCCCTGTCTTCCTTTCGTCTTGTCTCCCGCTAAGGGTGGTCTAAGCCGCGGCGCTGGATTCAGCCGAGGTTCAAGCCCTTCAATGCGGGCATTGATCCTATCCCCCAACTTAAGCAGGAGACCAGCTTCAAACTCTTCCAAATTGCTTGGCAACTGAGGTGCCCTTTGGATTTTTTCGACCTTCTTGCTGAGTTCTTCTAACTCCTTCCGAAGGCGCTCATTTTCAGCCCTGAGAGCCCTGGTCTCATCAGATATTGTGCGTGTCATAAGCACTCCGGTGTTCTCCCTAACTGTCGCCACAGCCTCCTTCAGGGCACGGACAAATGTTCCCTTGAGGCTCGACGAACGTTTGGCTACATCCTCAATGATACCCAGGCTGGCGTCTATCGTCTTCTGCATCTCCCGTGCAGAGCGTGGGCCGGAGTCTTGGGTCTCCATCATGTCCGCGCTGTCCCATTCCAAGGAGGCTGGTGTTGTACTCCTCGTCAGCCTCGCTTCGGTTATAGATGCCATAAGCTCGGCCTCCGCCCTAGCTTGCATCTCCTCCCGTTGAGCTTTCGCCAGCTCTTTTTTGGCAGCAGCCAAACCGATATACTCGCCCGTTGTTGGTGGGCGACCTCTCCCTTTTCTCTGAATCGAGGAAGGGGTGTCCGTGGAGCTCCCTTCCTCGTCTGTCTCCTTTCTTCGTTTCCGGCTTCTTTCGCGCCAGAATCGACTAGGTTCCGATCTGGGCTCCGACGCCTTTGAACGAGCCAGATTTGTCGATGCACCAGACGACACGCTGCACAATGATTCCGAGTCTGAATCAGACAATCTCAAAACCGTTGGGCGGACGCGCAAACCACGATCTTCTTCTTCCGTTACGGGCAGTGGCGTTACAGTTCGCTGCAACATCACCCGCAACTCCTTCCCAACTCCTTCCTTTACTCTTCCGCTCCTACTTTCATCACTCTCTCCCTTTCTAACTTCGTCATGGGGGTTGCCGGCCTCCAGAATACGTTCCGGCTCAACCGCGGCACCTTCACCATTGCTGGGTCCAGTACGGCGGGTGGGATTTGACCCACCTGGAGTAGTTTTTTTGTACGTAGATACCTCCATGTTTTTGTTTTGGTTTTTGTTTAGTGCCTTAGGGCACTGGACTCCCACCAGCCATTCATCCTATCGCCCAGGGTGTCACCACATAACTTAGGATTGGGGACACACAGAGTGTAACGCCCCCGATGTGTGTCCACAGGAGTGGACCTAACACCGACCCCTGCGGCACACCGCAGCTGACGGGGTGGGAACCCCATCCTTGTCTTCTGGGGAACGTGATGCGTCTCGCCGTGAGATACGACGCAATCACGTCGCGAAGATAGACAGGCACGCCATGATAGCGAAGCCCATCCATAATCGCGTCCCAGGGCAGGGTGTTGAACGCGTTGGCAATGTCCAACGAAACCGCCAGAACAACCCCGCCCTCCGCCACAGTCCCGTCCGACACATCGCGTAATCTCGCGATCGCGTCGATTGTAGACCGCCCCTTTCTAAAACCAAACTGGCAATCGGAAAGATCTGGCCCCTCCAGAGCCAAGTGCTGCTGGATGCGGGTCGCTATTATACGCTCGAAGAGCTTGCCCGCTTCGTCCAGCAGCACGATCGGCCGATACGCCGAAGGCGAGTCCGGCGGTTTGCCAGGCTTCTGGAGAAGAACCAGCCTTCCCTCCTTCCACAAGTCCGGAAAGACGCGGTTCCGCAGACACGCCGACAACAGCTTGCGGAACCGGTCGTCGAGGCCGAATTGCAAGGCAAGAGACAGCACCTTCCCGTGCACCCCATCAGGGCCGGGAGCCGTCCTCTTGCCTCGCGTCCTATCCAAGGCCGAGCTGAGCTCGGTCGATGTCACGTCCGGGACCCCCGCGTCCGGGGGAGGGGACGTCGACTGGGAGGGAAGCGAAGCATCCGCCTGGGGAAACAAGGCCGACACGACTGAGTTCAGAAGTGCCGGTTCCATGCTGGATGTCAGGGGTGGGGCCCAGGGGCGCAGCTTGCTCATTACAAGCTTGTACGGCCGCCCCCATGGATCGAGCTCCAAGGTGTTCAGGAGCTCCTCCCACGCCCTTTCCTTCGCCTCCGCGATCTTCATCCTCAGGGCCTTCTTTGCCTCCTGATAGAGGCAATAGAGGCGCCCTTCCTCTTCGGTGTTCCGCGAGGCACGCCGTCTCCTCCTGTACCTGGTGTACTGGCGTCGGGCCACCACACAAGTCGCCCGAAGTGCGGCCAACTCCCCCGACCACCAGTACACCTGCCTACGCGGCGGAAGTGGACGGGAACGAGCCATTGAAGCGTCACAGATACGCTCCAAGGCCGCCCCGAACCACTCCGCCTCCTCCCTCACCGAAGAGGACTCCGGTTCTGGACACCAGGTGGCCACTATCGAGGCCACCTCCACCATCTCCCTGTCCAGAGACTTCAGGGCCCAACGAGGGCCCCTCTGCGCCGGAGGGGCGCCAGGCCCGATCGCCGTGGATTGAGAGGAGACACTGAACCGTATGTAACGGTGATCAGACAGCGTCTCCTCCCCGTCCAACACCTCCCAGTCGACGATGCGGCGCGCAAGCCCGGGGCTGGCAAAGGTAAGGTCCACTATGGACCCCCCCTGCATGCGGACGCACGTCTGCGTCGAGCCCCGGTTCACGAGCGCCAGGTTGTGCGCGGCCATCCACTCCACAAGGACGTCGCCACGAACATCTGAGGTTGGGGAACCCCACACTGCCGATTTGGCATTGAAGTCCCCCGCCACTACCACCTCATTCGGGCGACCCCACTGCACAAGGGCATCCACTTCCGCCAGGAACCCCTCGAACTCCGAGAGAGTCCTGTTGGGCGAGAAGTAGACCCCCACAACCGTCACGTGGCCGCACTTCACTGCAGCACAACCCTGGCCTCTCCGTGAAGAGACAATTGGGGGAGAGCCACCGGCTCCGGTGACGACAATGGCGACAGTTTCGCCAATGTCCCCGACCCAATTGTCCCCTTGCTGCACCGCGTATGGCTCCGCAATCACCGCGATGTTTATGGACCACTGCGCCAGGCCCTGGAATAGAAGATCCTGGGCCCTGGCGCAATGATTCAGGTTCGCCTGGAGGAACCGTAGGGCCATACTAGGCCCCTACGGTCTCGGCAACCTCCATCGCGGTCCCGCTCGGAGGGACGGCGGCCCGCTTCTCCGGGACTCTCCGCCGCATCTTTTTGGTGGGGGCCGAGCACTTGGCACCACCCACCCGATGGTTTGCCTCTTTGCCAGCCGCTGCGCAAACCGCGCAATGCGGGCTGGCCGAACACGAGGCCGCCAAGTGCCCAGGCTGACCGCACCTGTAGCAAAGACCGCTACGATCGCTCGCGCAATCGCAACGGCTCGCCACATGGCCAGCCTCCAGGCAACGGTAGCAGCGAAGCGCCCTGGGTTTTCCCAGAGTCACTCTCGCCGCCACCCAACCCACCAAAAGTCTGCCCTCCAGCAGCTTCTTTGCGGAGCCAACGGGGACATGCGCCCAAAGGGCGCCAAGCCCCGTGCGATCCCGCCGGATGTCGCCGACTCGCACCTGCCAGGGAGAACACTCTCCCTTTTTGGCGACAGCAGCCGCCACCTCCTCCTTTGTGACGGAGTCATCCAGGCCCGAGAGCCTGACGTCGACCGCTTTCTGCGGCCGCGTCACCTTGACGACTCCGCCGTCGAAGATCTCCCCGAGCTTACTCGCGAGAGCATCCGCCTTTGAGCTACTCGCGGCTCCGGGGAGCTGGAGAATGGTGGCTCCAGTCGCCGCCTTCCTGACCTTTAGACCCTCAAGGCCTGTGATAGCCTTGAGGTCCAACTTCTCCCTGGCCTTCCGGAGGACGTCACTGTAGGAGAGTCCCTCCTTGGACCCCCTCTCAGTGACCGTCAGGACGACAGCCGACGACCGAGGAACCCGAAGTTTCGGCTTTTTAGCCGGTTGAGGGCCGGATGCCTTCCCGGCCCTCCTCCTCGGACGCGACTGTCCCTCCTTTTCCTTAGCTCCAGGAGCTTGCCGAGCTCGTGGACGCGTCGGCAACTCCCGGGGCTTCTCCTTGCGAGCCGGCCGACTCTTCCTGGCCACCGTGACCCAGCCTCCCTCCAGGGAGTCCGGATTCGGCAGCCTCGGCCGGGGATCGCCCTCGGACGGGGCATCGGGGACGGAAGAGCGGGTCGTGGCAGAGGCAGACGGAACCACCCTACCAGGACCCTCTTGGTCCCTTCTTCTTCTGCCCCCTCGCTGTAGCGGCCGCAGGAAGGTCCCTGCTTCTTCCGTCGGCCGCCAATGGCGGCCTGAGTCTGGGCGCGGGGTTCAACCGAGGCTCGAGTCCCTCGAACCTCGCGTTGATACGCTCCCCGATCTTCCGCAGAAGCCCCGCCTCGAACTCCTCCATGTTGTTGTTGGGGAGCCGAGAGGACTTCTGCAGGTCCTCCACCTGGCGCGCCAATTGCTCCAGCTGCTCCCGGAGCCGCTGGTTTTCGGCGCGCAGAGCCCTCGTCTCCTCACTAACTGTCCTCTGGATGAGGACGGACGAGTTCTCCCTGATGGACGCCACTGCATCCCCCAGAGCGCGGACAAAGGTCCCCTTGAGGTTCCGGGACCCCTTTGCCACGCTCTGAATCACGCCCAGACTCTCCTCGATGCCCCTTAGTGCGTCCGAGGCGGAACGAGGCGCGGAGACACAGGTGCCTGCCATGTCTCCCTCGTCCCACGCGAGCGACGCCACAGAAGAAGGCCGCGTCGATCGGGCCTCCGAGACAGAAGCCATAAGTTCAGCCTCTGCCTGGAGCCGGACCTCCTCCCTACGGGCCTCATTGAGGGCCTTTTTAGCGGCCGCCAACCCGACGTACTCGCCAGTGGTTGGCGGACGCCCCCTCGGCCGCTTTCCTGCGGCCTTCTTTGCGACAGAGACAGGGGTGTCTGTGGAAGACCCCTGCGAATTCGCTTCCTCCTCTGGTCGTTTCCGCTTCTGGCGCCAGAAGCGGCTCGACTCCGACTCTCCGACCGGACCGACCGAGGCAGCGGACGACACGCTGACAAGGTCGGAGTCCGACTCGGATAAATTGAGCGAGGCCCTGGAGGACCCCGCACTACGGCTAGCCCTTGACAGGGATGACGCCGACAATCGTGTCACCGCCACCCTGAGCTCCCGCCTATCTTCTTCCTCTCCTCTCTTCTCCTCTTCCATCTCCTTCCTTACACTATAATTTTTTGTTTTTGATTTTTCTCCTTCCATTACTTCTTTTTCATTAAAACAAATGTTGCGCCTCGCTACAAGGCGCAACGGCATTTCTTTTGTTTTGAGGGAAATGCATAGTCCACCCGGGCAGAGCCCTGTACCCGGGTAACCCTAATACAACTGGCGGTCGGGCGGTCGCCAGAGGTTGGCCGCTAGCTGGCCCGGTTACTGCCGGACCACCCACTCACCCTGCGGGCAAGCGGGGGCGCGGTGCCGCGCAGAGGTCCGAAGACGCCCCAACACCACGCAAAATTCAGGGTTTTTTGTGAGGTTTTCCTTCCTCTTGGGCCGGCCGATTAAGGCAAGCCCCCTGGTCCCAGGTGCGCCGCGAGACATGATCCACGACACGCACCCGGGGAAACAGGTTTGCCCGACGGAGGGCCGAAACCCCTAACCAGGCGCAGCACATCGCCACGCCCGGCCCGCCGCGCCGCGGTCCACCACCACCGCCGTCCGTGGTGACTCCACCACCATACTGCGCCATGAAGGCCACTGGTCTCAACAGACCCCAACAACCGTGCTCGGAGGCACGCTCGCAGCGCTCTGAGGTGAGCGCTGCGTCTCCGTGATCGGTCTCCGCGTCGTCTTCGGAGACCGACCGATGGATCCAATTAGCTTCGTCGTGCAATAGTGGCCAGAATCGGCAGACCCACAGACAGTCTGTTGCCGATTAGGCACCTGGCCACTATAATAAGCACCGACTACTGAGCCCCCCCGCCGCGACAAGGCCTGGATCATGGGGGGGAACCTTTTTTTTTTTTTTTTTTTTTTTACTTGGAGGAATCGAGTCTTTACCGACGCCCCCGCCGGGCCAAGTGCAATGGCGGGGGGAGTGTGGGGGTCAACCGCGAGTCGGCCACTACCCACTAAACCATCCAAGAGCCCATTCGTCACTGCACTGTTCGGACAAGGGGCTGGTATCAGCTAGGCCTTAAAACCCAGCCCCGTGCCGAGGGCAGCCGTCACGCAGCTTTCGCGCGTCTCGCCTTCTTGGCTCTCTCCTGCCTATGTTTCCATAGGGGCCCCTGTTGGAGGGGCCTTGGCCCCTTTCTTGGGGTCCATTCTCCGTGCCCTTTTGGGTGGAGCTCTACACTTCGCACCGCCCAACTTGTGCTTCGCATCCTTTCCGGCTGCCGCGCATATAGCGCAATGTGGCTCAGCCGTGCACGACGCGGCGACATGATCCGGCTGGCTACATCGGTAGCACAGCCGACTTCGGTCACACTCTGTGACGCAGCGGCTCGCAACATGGCCGCTCTCCAGGCATTTGTAGCAGCGGAGGCCGCGGGGTTTACCCACCATCACTCGCGCCACCACCCATCCGACGAGGAACCTTCCTGTGGCCAGCTTCTTGGCCGCCTCGATAGGGACCCGAGCCCAGTATGAGAACAGGCCCGATCGTTCTTCCCTCTTCTTGCTGACCCGAACTTCATTCGGGCGGCACTCTCCTTTTTCTGCGATTGCGGCCATGAGCTCGCACTCGCCGACTGACTCGTCTATGCCGGAGATGCGGATGTCAGCGGTCTTCTTTGGCCGCGTTACCCGTATGTTTCCCTCGCCGATGACCGACTTTAACTTTTCAGCTAAGGCGTCGGCCTTGGGACCACTGTTTGCTCCGGGGAGCTCTAAGACAGCGGCCCCCGTTGCCGCCTTGCGGAACTTGATGGCATCAATGTCCGCCACCTCCTTCAGGTTGATCTTCGCCCTCGCGATCATCAGAACCTTGCTGTAGGTCATCTTCTCCTTGCCCTCATCGGTGAGGGTGATCACAACGGCCGACGACCGAGGCATCCTAAGCTTCGGCTTCGGCTTCGACTTAGCCTGGGGACTCTTCTTCGGCTTTGGAGCCGGCCCCGTTCTTGGCTGTGTCCTATCCTCCTTCTTCTTTGTCTTCTTTGCCACCGTGACCCAGTTCTCCTCCAGAGTATCCGGGTTGAGTGGCCGAGAAGGTCCGTCCGTCTTCTTCTCCTTTCCTCGCCTTGTGACCTTTTCAGGTCTAGAATCGACGGCAGTCACCACGGGAGCTACGGGGGTGACAACCGCCGGTAGGACAGGTGGGTTTCTTACCGCCCTCTCCTTTCCTTTCTTCGCCTTGTCCGCTGCCAAGGGAGGCCTCAGAAGCGGCGCAGGATTAAGCCGAGGCTCCAGCCCTTCTATGCGGGCATTAATCCTATCTCCTAGTTTCAGCAAGAGGCTCGCCTCCAACTCTTGCATGTTTGGGAGCCCCGAAGACTTCTGCAGCTCATCCACCTTCTTCGTGAGCTCCTCTAACCTCTCTCTCAGTTGCTGGTTCTCGGCGCTCAGGACCCTCGTCTCCTCACTAATGGTTCTCTGGATGAGAACCTGCGAGTTGTCCCTAATCGCCGAGACCGCTTTCTTCAGTGCATAGACGAAGGTTCCTTTCAAATTGCCGGATCTCTTCGCCACGCCTTCAATCACCTGCAAGCTGGCCTCAATGCCCCTGCGAGCATCCAAAGCCGAGCGACCAGCCGGATCACCAGTGTCCACGATGTCCGCCTCGTCCCATTGCATCGAAGACACTGACGATGCACGCGTAGACCTCAGCTCCGATGCGGATGCCGCAAGATCGGCCTCAGCCTGGAGCCTTATCTCCTCTCTTCTAGCCTTCACTAAGGCCTGCTTCGCCGCAGCCAGTCCGACGTACTCGCCGGTTGTCGGTGGGCGACCTCTCCCTCTCGGCTTCGACGATTCTGGCGCCTCACTTCCACTCCCACTGGAAGCACCAGACCGACTTCGCTTCCGCGCCGACCGCGGTCCGCGGTAGCGCTTAACTCCTCTGGTGTCACAACTCGACACCGTCTCCATGGACCCAGCGGACGAGTCCGAGAGCCCTTCAAACTCCTCCTCTATGGCCGCATAAGATCGAGCGGCGGCCGCGACAGAGGGACTTGGTGAAGCGCATAAACGCTCCAACACCACTCTTGCATCCATCACCTTCCTTCCTCTACTACTATGGGGGTTGCCGGCCTCCAGAATACGTTCCGGCTCAACCGCGGCACCTTCACCATTGCTGGATCCAGTACGGCGGGTGGGATTTGACCCACCTGGAGTAGTTTTGTTTGACGTAGGTACCTCCATATTTGATTTTTTGTTTGGTGCCTTAGGGGCTGGACTCCCACCAGCCATTCATCCCCTCGCCAGGCACCACAGACTTAGGATTGGGGGTGCGCTGCCTATGTCAGCGCACCTCGCGGACAACTAGCCCGCCATCCTCCGTGCCGAAGCACCACTTTCGGTTCGCAACCGCTAACAGCGGCAGAGAACCGATCTCCGCCTTACACTATATAAAAATATTTACAAGAAAATAAAATATATATAGGGGTGAGAAGCACCCTCTCCAAAAACACTATTTACAAAAATAAATAAATGTGCAAAAACTTACCATTCCTGCAAGCTCCTTCCTCCCTGCTCGACCGGTCCCGAAGCAATGTCCAGGGGTCGAGTCCCGCCGCAGGCCCAGGCTCCCGTCCCATTACAGGCTCAGGCTCCCGTTCCGCAGCAGGCCATCCTCTTCGTCGGCTGTGCCGACTTGTGGGCGTAAAAGCCGACTTCTCGGTGCGGCGACGGGGGGTAACAACCCCTAACCGGAGGCTACAAGCCATTCCCGGCCCGCCGCCGCTGTGTGCATGGCGCCGACGGGAGACGTGAAACGGTCCGACCCTGACGGCGTAGACGTATCGTTTGCCGTCGAGGGCCCGCCGCGCCATATCGTCGCACACACGACCCAGGGCGAAAAGCGCCCCGGGCCCGCGCCATAGGACGCCCTTCCTCGCGCTTCACTGCGCATCGCGGTCTGAAGGACCGCGATAAACAAAACTTCGTCTTCCCCACCCACCACGAAAACGCGGTTGGCAAGGAACGCCGAAGATGTAGCAAGCCATACAGAGCAATATACAATATTGCAGAGTATCGCCCGCCTCCCAGTTAGCGACCACCGAGTCTGCAGGATACGCACCGGTCATCACAAAGTTAACAAACTTTGCCATAGCCGATACCACCCTAACTCAGATGGCCGGGCCCCCCCGGCAACGACAAGCCCTGGGGCTGCACGAGATACTCAAAGTGCAGTGGGGGGGGGATGGGGGGGAACCTAACCTAACCTAACCTAACCTAACCTAACCTAACCTAACCTAACCTAACCTAACCTAACCTAACCTAACCTAACCTAACCTTTTTTTTTTTTTTTTTTTTTTTTTTTTTACTTGGAGGAATCGACTCTTTACCGACGCCCCCGCCTGGCCACATCGAGTGGCGGGGGGAGTGTGGGGGTCGGCCAGCTTGACCACTACCCACTAAACCTCCAAGAGCCCACGGGAGACTTGCCGGACGCGAGCGAGCGGTTAGTTGCCCTTGACCCGCATGCCCGCGCCCGTGTGTCCTGCCGCGCGTGTTTCCCGCGCGCGGCTCGCCCTACGTGGCCGGTTGATGGCCACGTCTCCTGGCTCGGTCCTAAGACCGAGGTCACGGCTGGCGCCGGGCGTAATCGCGCCGGCGCCGCCCAAGTCTCCTCCGTCGGAGTGCGGGGGCGTCGGGAGCAATCTCCCTCGCCCTCTCCGCTTCCTCCTTTTGCGAGAGGACGTCGGCGCAGAAGGCCTCAAAGGCCCGCCACGGAGCGTCGTCCGCGCTCCTAACTATCCCTGCCACAATGGCTGGCAGGGACAGATCCGCGCCGAATGCTCCGGCCAGGGCAGTCCTCTGACTCGCCCAGGCCGGGCATGCCTCCAAGGTGTGTTGCGCCGTGTCTGAGGCGCATCCGCAGTGATGGCAGGAGACTGTTTCCTCCCGCCGGATCCCGTGCAGGTATTTGCCGAAGCACCCGTGCCCCGACAAAATCTGCACCGCGTGGTAGGACAGGGATCCCCACCGCTTCGTCCTCAGCCACTCGGGCAGGACGGGCGCGATCGCTCGAAGCGTATGCGCGCCTACCCGGGAGGTGGCAAGATGCTCTTGCCACCGCGCAACAACAGCCCTTTGGCCGTCCTCCCTCCAATCCTTGAGGAGCTCGTAAGTGAGCTCCTCGCCTCGACTCCGGACTTCAGCCCGGCGCCAGTAAATGTCGGCTAAGGCAGCCGCCTCCAGGTGCCAGGGTGCGAGCCCGGCTATTGCGCACACCGCGTCATAGGACACGGTGCGGTACGCCCTCGCCACCCTGAGCGCCATCACCCGTTGCGACTGCCTCAGCAGCGCAAGGTTCTGCGCCGACAAATCCTGGGCCCATATGGGGCAGCCATAGAGCGCCTTGGAGCGCACGACGCCGGCGTACAAGCGGCGACACCCCTCGCTCGAGCCGCCAAGATTCGGCATTATTCGGCACAAAGCCGATGCCGTGGCGGCGAGCTTCGGGGCAAGTGCCGCGAAGTGCGCCTTGAAGGACCACCGAGAGTCGAGGACCAACCCCAAATACTTTAGGGTGGACCCTATCCCGATGGCCTCTCCGCCGACGATGATGTGCGCCCCGCTCGGCGGCGCTCTCCTGGGACCGTGGAATGCGATCGCCTCTGATTTGTTCAGGGCGACTCGCAGGCCAATCCTCTGGATCCGCGCCACGACCTGTGCCACCCCGGCCGTGGCGCGAAGCTTGGCCTCGCGGAAATCGTCGCCCCTCGCAACCACCAGGGTGTCATCCGCGTAGCAGATGACGCTGACACCCCGGATGAGAGAGCAACGCAGGACCCCGTCATAGCCGATGTTCCACAGGAGTGGACCTAACACCGACCCCTGCGGCACACCGCAGCTGACGGGGTGGGAACCCCATCCTTGCCTCCTGGGGAACGTGATGCGTCTCGCCGTGAGATACGACGCAATCACGTCGCGAAGATAGACAGGCACGCCATGATAGCGAAGCCCATCCATAATCGCTTCCCAGGGCAGGGTGTTGAACGCGTTGGCTATGTCCAACGACACCGCCAAAACAACCCCGCCCTCCGCCACAGTCCCGTCCGACACATCGCGCAATCTCGCGATCGCGTCGATTGTCGACCGCCCCTTCCGAAAGCCAAACTGGCAATCGGACAGGTCTGGCCCCTCCAGAGCCAAGTGCTGCTGGATGCGGGTCGCTACTATACGCTCAAAGAGCTTGCCCGCTTCGTCCAGCAGCACGATCGGCCGATACGCCGAAGGCAAGTCCGGCGGTTTGCCAGGCTTCTGGAGAAGAACCAGCCTTCCCTCCTTCCACAAGTCCGGGAAGACGCGGTTCCGCAGACAAGCCGACAACAGCTTGCGGAACCGCTCGTCGAGGCCGGATTGCAAGGCAAGAGACAGAACCTTCCCGTGCACCCCATCAGGGCCGGGGGCCGTCCTCTTGCCTCGCGTCCTATCCAAGGCCGAGCTGAGCTCGGCCGATGTCACGTCCGGGACCCCCGCGTCCGGGGGAGGGGACGTCGACTGGGAGGGAAGCGAAGCATCCGCATGGGGAAACAAGGCCGACACGACTGAGTTCAGAAGTGCCGGCTCCATGCTGGATGTAAGGGGTGGGGCCCAGGGGCGCAGCTTGCTCATTACGAGCTTGTACGGCCGCCCCCATGGGTCGAGCTCCAAGGTGTTCAGGAGCTCCTCCCACGCCCTTTCCTTCGCCTCCGCGATCTTCATCCTGAGGGCCTTCTTTGCCTCCTGATAGAGGCAATAGAGGCGCCTTTCCTCTTCGGTGTTCCGCGAGGCACGCCGTCTCCTCCTGTACCTGGTGTACTGGCGTCGGGTCACCACACAAGTTGACCGAAGAGCGGCCAACTCCTCCGACCACCAGTACACCTGCCTACGCGGCGGAAGAGGTCGGGACCGAGCCATTGAAGCGTCACAGAACGCTCCAGGCCCCCGGCCCCGAAACACTCCACCTCCTCCCTCACCGAAGAGGACTCCGGCTCTGGTCCCAGGTGGCCACTATCGAGGCCACCTCCACCATCTCCCTGTCCAGGGACCCCTGGGGCGGGGGCCCCGGGGGGGCCTTCTGCGCCGGAGGGGCGCCAGGCCCGATCGCCGTGGACTCTGAGCGGAGACACTGAACCCCGTATGTAACGGTGATCAGACAGCGTCTCCTCCCCGTCCAACACCTCCCAGTCGACGATGCGGCGCGCAAGCCCGGGGCTGGCAAAGGTAAGGTCCACTATGGACCCCCCTGCATTCGGACGCACGTCTGCGTCGAGCCCCGGTAACCTTACCTTTCCTTTTTTTTTTTTTTTTTTTTTTTTTTTTTTTTACTTGGAGGAATCGACTCTTTACCGACGCCCCCGCCTGGCCACTTAAGTGGCGGGGGGAGTGTGGGGGTCGGCCAGCTTGACCACTACCCACTAAACCTCCAAGAGCCCACGGGAGACTTGCCGGACGCGAGCGAGCGGTTAGTTGCCCTTGACCCGCATGCCCGCGCCCGTGTGTCCTGCCGCGCGTGTTTCCCGCGCGCGGCTCGCCCTACGTGGCCGGTTGATGGCCACGTCTCCTGGCTCGGTCCTAAGACCGAGGTCACGGCTGGCGCCGGGCGTAATCGCGCCGGCGCCGCCCAAGTCTCCTCCGTCGGAGTGCGGGGGCGTCGGGAGCAATCTCCCTCGCCCTCTCCGCTTCCTCCTTTTGCGAGAGGACGTCGGCGCAGAAGGCCTCAAAGGCCCGCCACGGAGCGTCATCCGCGCTCCTAACTATCCCTGCCACAATGGCTGGCAGGGACAGATCCGCGCCGAATGCTCCGGCCAGGGCAGTCCTCTGACTCGCCCAGGCCGGGCATGCCTCCAAGGTGTGTTGCGCCGTGTCTGAGGCGCATCCGCAGTGATGGCAGGAGACTGTTTCCTCCCGCCGGATCCCGTGCAGGTATTTGCCGAAGCACCCGTGCCCCGACAAAATCTGCACCGCGTGGTAGGACAGGGATCCCCACCGCTTCGTCCTCAGCCACTCGGGCAGGACGGGCGCGATCGCTCGAAGCGTATGCGCGCCTACCCGGGAGGTGGCAAGATGCTCTTGCCACCGCGCAACAACAGCCCTTTGGCCGTCCTCCCTCCAATCCTTGAGGAGCTCGTAAGTGAGCTCCTCGCCTCGACTCCGGACTTCAGCCCGGCGCCAGTAAATGTCGGCTAAGGCAGCCGCCTCCAGGTGCCAGGGTGCGAGCCCGGCTATTGCGCACACCGCGTCATAGGACACGGTGCGGTACGCCCTCGCCACCCTGAGCGCCATCACCCGTTGCGACTGCCTCAGCAGCGCAAGGTTCTGCGCCGACAAATCCTGGGCCCATATGGGGCAGCCATAGAGCGCCTTGGAGCGCACGACGCCGGCGTACAAGCGGCGACACCCCTCGCTCGAGCCGCCAAGATTCGGCATTATTCGGCACAAAGCCGATGCCGTGGCGGCGAGCTTCGGGGCAAGTGCCGCGAAGTGCGCCTTGAAGGACCACCGAGAGTCGAGGACCAACCCCAAATACTTTAGGGTGGACCCTATCCCGATGGCCTCCCCGCCGACGATGATGTGCGCCCCGCTCGGCGGCGCTCTCCTGGGACCGTGGAATGCGATCGCCTCTGATTTGTTCAGGGCGACTCGCAGGCCAATCCTCTGGATCCGCGCCACGACCTGTGCCACCCCGGCCGTGGCGCGAAGCTTGGCCTCGCGGAAATCGTCGCCCCTCGCAACCACCAGGGTGTCATCCGCGTAGCAGATGACGCTGACACCCCGGATGAGAGAGCAACGCAGGACCCCGTCATAGCCGATGTTCCACAGGAGTGGACCTAACACCGACCCCTGCGGCACACCGCAGCTGACGGGGTGGGAACCCCATCCTTGCCTCCTGGGGAACGTGATGCGTCTCGCCGTGAGATACGACGCAATCACGTCGCGAAGATAGACAGGCACGCCATGATAGCGAAGCCCATCCATAATCGCTTCCCAGGGCAGGGTGTTGAACGCGTTGGCAATGTCCAACGACACCGCCAAAACAACCCCGCCCTCCGCCACAGTCCCGTCCGACACATCGCGCAATCTCGCGATCGCGTCGATTGTCGACCGCCCCTTCCGAAAGCCAAACTGGCAATCGGACAGGTCTGGCCCCTCCAGAGCCAAGTGCTGCTGGATGCGGGTCGCTACTATACGCTCAAAGAGCTTGCCCGCTTCGTCCAGCAGCACGATCGGCCGATACGCCGAAGGCAAGTCCGGCGGTTTGCCAGGCTTCTGGAGAAGAACCAGCCTTCCCTCCTTCCACAAGTCCGGGAAGACACGGCTCCGCAGACAAGCCGACAACAGCTTGCGGAACCGCTCGTCGAGGCCGGATTGCAAGGCAAGAGACAGAACCTTCCCGTGCACCCCATCAGGGCCGGGGGCCGTCCTCCTGCCTCGCGTCCTATCCAAGGCCGAGCTGAGCTCGGCCGATGTCACGTCCGGGACCCCCGCGTCCGGGGGAGGGGACGTCGACTGGGAGGGAAGCGAAGCATCCGCATGGGGAAACAAGGCCGACACGACTGAGTTCAGAAGTGCCGGCTCCATGCTGGATGTAAGGGGTGGGGCCCAGGGGCGCAGCTTGCTCATTACGAGCTTGTACGGCCGCCCCCATGGGTCGAGCTCCAAGGTGTTCAGGAGCTCCTCCCACGCCCTTTCCTTCGCCTCCGCGATCTTCATCCTGAGGGCCTTCTTTGCCTCCTGATAGAGGCAATAGAGGCGCCTTTCCTCTTCGGTGTTCCGCGAGGCACGCCGTCTCCTCCTGTACCTGGTGTACTGGCGTCGGGTCACCACACAAGTTGACCGAAGAGCGGCCAACTCCTCCGACCACCAGTACACCTGCCTACGCGGCGGAAGAGGTCGGGACCGAGCCATTGAAGCGTCACAGATACGCTCCAAGGCCGCCCCGAACCACTCCACCTCCTCCCTCACCGAAGAGGACTCCGGCTCTGGACACCAGGTGGCCACTATCGAGGCCACCTCCACCATCTCCCTGTCCAGGGACTTCAGGGCCCAACGAGGGCCCTTCTGCGCCGGAGGGGCGCCAGGCCCGATCGCCGTGGATTGAGAGGAGACACTGAACCGTATGTAACGGTGATCAGACAGCGTCTCCTCCCCGTCCAACACCTCCCAGTCGACGATGCGGCGCGCAAGCCCGGGGCTGGCAAAGGTAAGGTCCACTATGGACCCCCCCTGCATTCGGACGCACGTCTGCGTCGAGCCCCGGTTCACGAGCGCCAGGTTGTGCGCGGCCATCCACTCGACGAGGACGTCGCCACGAATATCTGAGGTTGGGGAACCCCAAACTGCCGACTTGGCATTGAAGTCCCCCGCCACTACCACCTCATTCGGGCGACCCCACGACACGAGGGCGTCTACTTCCGCCAGGAACTCCTCGAACTCCGACAGAGTCCTGTTGGGCGAGAAGTAGACCCCGACAACCACCACGTTGCCGCACTTCGCCGCGACACAACCCTGGCCTCTCCGTGAAGAGACAATTGGGGGAGAGCCAACGGCTCCGGTGACGACTATGGCGACAGTCTCGCCAAAGTCCCCGACCCAATTGTCCCCTTGCTGCACCGCATACGGCTCCGCAAGCACCGCAATGTTAATGGACCACTGCGCCAGGCCCTGGAATAGGAGATCCTGGGCCCTGGCGCAATGGTTCAGGTTCGCCTGGAGGAACCGTAGGGCCATACTAGGCCCCTACGGTCTCGGCAACCTCCATTGCGGTCCCGCTCGGAGGGACGGCGGCCCGCTTCTCCGGGACTCTCCGCCGCATCTTTTTGGTGGGGGCCGAGCACTTGGCACCACCCACCCGATGGGTTGCCTCCTTGCCGGCCGCTGCGCAAACCGCGCAATGCGGACTGGCCGTACAAGAGGCCGCCAAGTGCCCGGGCTGACCGCATCTGTAGCAGAGACCGCTACGATCGCTCGCGCAATCGCAACGGCTTGCCACGTGGCCAGCCTCCAGGCATCGGTAGCAACGCAGTGCCCGGGGTTTACCCAGAGTCACCCGCGCCGCCACCCATCCCACCAAAAATCGACCCTCCAGGAGCCGTTTCGCAGAGACCACAGGGACATGCGCCCAAACTGCGCCAAGTCCCGTGCGGTCCCGCCTCAAACCTAACCTAACCTTTTTTTTTTTTTTTTTTTTTTTTTGGAGGAATCGAGTCTTTACCGACGCCCCCGCCGGGCCAAGTGCAATGGCGGGGGGTGTGGGGGGTCGACCCTAATGGCCACTACCCACTAAACCATCCAAGAGCCCATTCGTCACTGCACTGTTCGGACAAGGGGCTGGTATCAGCTAGGCCTTAAAACCCAGCCCCGTGCCGAGGGCAGCCGTCACGCAGCTTTCGCGCGTCTCGCCTTCTTGGCTCTCTCCTGCCTATGTTTCCATAGGGGCCCCTGTTGGAGGGGCCTTGGCCCCTTTCTTGGGGTCCATTCTCCGTGCCCTTTTGGGTGGAGCTCTGCACTTCGCACCGCCCAACTTGTGCTTCGCATCCTTTCCGGCTGCCGCGCATATAGCGCAATGTGGCTCAGCCGTGCACGACGCGGCGACATGATCCGGCTGGCTACATCGGTAGCACAGCCGACTTCGGTCACACTCTGTGACGCAGCGGCTCGCAACATGGCCGCTCTCCAGGCATTTGTAGCAGCGGAGGCCGCGGGGTTTTCCCACCATCACTCGCGCCACCACCCATCCGACGAGGAACCTTCCTGTGGCCAGCTTCTTGGCCGCCTCGATAGGGACCCGAGACCAGTAAGAGAACAGGCCCGATCTTTCTTCCCTCTTTTTGCCGACCCAAACTTCCTTTGGGTGGCACTCTCCTTTTTCTGCGATTGCGGCCATGAGCTCGCACTCGCCGACCGACTCGTCTATGCCGGAGATGCGGATGTCGGCGGTCTTCTTTGGCCGCGTCACCCGTATGCAATTCTCGCCGATGACTGACCTAAGCTTTTCAGCTAGGGCGTCGGCCTTGGGACCACTGCTTGCTCCAGGGAGCTCTAAGACAGCGGCCCCCGTTGCCGCCTTGCGGAACTTGATAGCATCAATGTCCGCCACCTCCTTCAGGTTGATCTTCGCCCTCGCGATCATCAGAACCTTGCTGTAGGTCATCTTCTCCTTGCCCTCATCGGTGAGGGTGATCACAACGGCCGACGACCGAGGCATCCTAAGCTTCGGCTTCGGCTTCGACTTAGCCTGGGGACTCTTCTTCGGCTTTGGAGCCGGCCCCGTTCTTGGCTGCGTCCTATCCTCCTTCTTCTTTGTCTTCTTTGCCACCGTGACCCAGTTCTCCTCCAGAGTATCCGGGTTGAGTGGCCGAGAAGGTCCGTCCGTCTTCTTCTCCTTTCCTCGCCTTGTGACCTTTTCAGGTCTTGAATCGACGGCAGTCACCACGGGAGCTACGGGGGTGACAACCGCCGGTAGGACAGGTGGGTTTCTTGCCGCCCTCTCCTTTCCTTTCCTCGCCTTGTCCGCTGCCAGGGGAGGCCTAAGCAGTGGCGCAGGATTAAGCCGAGGTTCCAGTCCATCTATTCGGGCATTAATCCTGTCTCCTAGTTTGAGCAAGAGACTCGCCTCCAACTCTTGCATGTTGGGGAGTCCCGAAGACTTCTGTAGCTCATCCACCTTCTTCGTGAGCTCCTCCAACCTCTCTCTCAGTTGCTGGTTCTCGGCGCTCAGGACCCTCGTCTCCTCACTAATGGTTCTCTGGATGAGAACCTGCGAGTTGTCCCTAATCGCCGAGACCGCTTTCTTCAGTGCATAGACGAAGGTTCCTTTCAAATTGCCGGATCTCTTCGCCACGCCTTCAATCACCTGCAAGCTCGCCTCAATACCCCTGCGAGCATCCAAGGCCGAGCGACTAGCCGGGTCACCGGTGTCCACGATGTCCGCCTCATCCCATTGCATCGAAGACACCGACGATGCACGCGTTGACCTCAGCTCCGATGCGGAAGCCGCAAGTTCGGCCTCAGCCTGGAGCCTTATCTCATCTCTTCTAGCCTTCACTAAGGCCTGCTTCGCCGCAGCCAGACCGACGTACTCGCCGGTTGTCGGTGGGCGACCTCTCCCTCTCGGCTTAGACGATTCTGGCGCCTCACTTCCACTCCCGCTGGAAGCACCAGACCGACTTCGCTTTCGCGCCCTCTGCGGACCGCGGTAGCGCTTCACTCCTCTTGTGTCACTACTCGACACCGTCTCCATAGACCCTACGGACGAGTCCGAGAGCCCTTCATACTCCTCCTCTATGGCCGCATAAGATCTTGCGGCGGCCGCTACAGAGGGACTTGGTGAAGCGCATAAGCGCTCCAACACCACTCTTGCGTCTGACATTCTCCTCTCTCTACCATGGGGGTTGCCGGCCTCCAGAGTACGATCCGGCTTAACCGCCGCCCCTTCACCATTGCTGGATCCAAAGCGACGGGTGGGATTTGACCCACCTGGAGTAGGTTTACTATTCGTAGGTGCCTCCATGTTGTTTTTTTGTTTGGTGCCTTAGGGGCTGGACTCCCACCAGCCATTCATCCCCTCGCCAGGCACCACAGACTTAGGATTGGGGGTGCGCTGCCTATGTCAGCGCACCTCGCGGACAACTAGTCCGCCATCCTCCGTGCCGAAGCACCGCTCTCGGTTCACAACCGCCTAACAGCGGCAGAGAACCGATCTCCGCCTTACACTATATAAAATATTTACACAAGAAATAAAATATATACAGAGGTGAGAAGCACCCTCTTCAAAAACACTATTTACAAAAATAAATAAATGTGCAAAAACTTACCATTCCTGCAAGCTCCTTCCTCCCTGCTCGACCAGTCCCGAAGCAATGTCCAGGGGTCGAGTCCCGCCGCAGGCCCAGGCTCCTGTCCCATAACAGGCTCAGGCTCCCGTTCCGCAGCAGGTCATCCTCTTCATCGGCTGTGCCGACTTGTGGGCGTAAAAGCCGACTTCTCGGTGCGACGACGGGGGGTAACAACCCCTAACCGGAGGCTATGAGCCATTCCCGGCCCGCCGCCGCTGTGTGCATGGCGCAGACGGGAGACGTGAAACGGTCCGACCCTGACGGCGTAGACGTATCATTTGCCGTCAAGGGCCCGCCGCGCCATATCTTCGCACACCCGACCCAGGGCGAAAAGCGCCCCGGGCCCGCGCCATAGGACGCCCTTCCTCGCGCTTCACTGCGCATCGCGGTCTGAAGGACCGCGATAAACAAAACTTCGTCTTCCCCACCCACCACGAAAAACGCGATTGGCAAGGAACGCCGAAGATGTAGCAAGCCATACAGAGCAATATACCATATTGCAGAGTATCGCCCGCCTCCCAGTTAGCGACCACCGAGTCTGCAGGATACGCACCGGTCATCACAAAGTTAACAAACTTTGCCATAGCCGATACCACCCTAACTCAGATGGCCGGGCCCCCCCGGCAACGACAAGCCCTGGGGCTGCACGAGATACTCAAAATGCAGTGGGGGGGAACCTAACCTAACCTAACCTAACCTAACCTAACCAGTCGCAACTCACCCGCCGTCCGGAGCGCACGCACTCAGAGCAGCTCTACGCGTAGCAATAATTCGAAATTAATTTAGAATTTTTTCCTTCCCGGTATACAAGTATTATATATTATTAGTTGCGCGCTTCAAAGGGCTACACAGTGGTGATAAAAGTTCTTTTCTATGACCTCCGAGTCAGAAGAAATATAGTGAAATTTGTGAGTGAAAAACCTGGAAGTGAATGCGGCCCGAAATTTAAATTTTTAAAGTGACGACCAATATTTATTATTTGTGATTCCAAAAGAGCTTTCAATGATACAACTAAAAATATTAAGTACTAAATTTTCGACCATATAGTTTCCGTGATATCAACTTTTTCACATTTTTTATTCAGTGTTTTTGTTTATGATTACGATATCAATATTCACACCTCATATTCTTTAACTACGTAAGTGATAAGTGATAACGAACGTAACAATATTCATTCAACGAGATTAGTAGTGTAATAATAATTTAATAATTTTTTTAACAATTACAAATTAAAAATCTTATCAGTGATTAAATAAATAAATACATCACACAAACTAAGAACTAAACCGAGACCTGCTGCGCCCTACGTCACTACGAGGGCTAGCAACAATCATCATCACCACTACATCATCATCTAGAGGACCTCATCTTGCGAACATCTTCAAGAAAAAACATAAGCCCTGTGACGTAGGTGAGACGCAGATAGGCCATCGCCGAACAATCCTACAATCCTACAGTGATCTAGTTATTATGGACCTTAAAAAAGAGGAATATTAGGTAAATAAAATAATATATATATTCACTACTGCTCTAACAATTAATGTACTATGCTTACTCGCCCAAACAAATAATTCTTTATCCCCTAAATATAGGAATAAAACACAGAAAACATAATTTTAATTAGCTTATCAAATATTTAAATAACCTTGAAATATTAAAACTTGTTAAAAAGAGTACAAGGCTACGACGCTAGACGAAGTCTCCGCACACCTGCGCGACGACGCGCGGGACGGACTCAGCAACCTAAATTTTTATTTTATTTCTTTCACAATTAAAGGCTGAAATCCGATTAATAGTTACTAAAAAGACCTCATAATATATTCACGCGAATCATTATATTAGTTGAAGTTATAAAAACAGTCTTTTTATAATAAATTTACAAATTACAATTTAATTGATTACAAAATATCTGCAGAAATATATACTCTAATAGCTAATAAAACCTGTGTACTCTTTTTATTTAATTAATAGCCATAGTTTAGACGAACAAGATAACTCTTAGATCATTTTTATACTGTAATCGGAAGATTAAATTTTCCAGTAATTTGCCTACGATCCGTCCCTGTATCGCACTCACACTAACGTAAGAGCGCATGCGCGACGACTCGCGGGACGGACTCAGCGACCTAAATTTTTATTTTATTTTCTTTCACAATTAAAGGCTGAAATCCGATTAATAGTTACTAAAAGACCTCATAATATATTCACGCGAATCATTATATTAGTTGAAGTTATAAAAAAAAAAACAGTCTTTTTATAATAAATTTACAAATTACAATTTAATTGATCACAAAATATCTGCAGAAATATATACTCTTACAGCCATTAAAAACTGTGTACTCTTTTTATTTAATTAATAGCCATAGATTAGACGAACAAGATTACTCTTAGATCATTTTATACTGTAATCAGAAGATTAAATTTCTTTGTAATTTGTTTAAGATCCGTCCCTGTATCGCACTCACACTAACGTAAGAGCGAACCGCATTCCTTTAGTTATTACCACTAACATTCTCTCATATAATCTTGGAATTTTATTTTTATTTACTGGGTTTGATTCCTAATCTTTTAGCAATTAGAGTTAAAACAATAACTTACTTCTGGGACTTGGTATTATTTTAAGGCATTATCTGTAAGAGAAAATAGATGACTTAACTATTAATTATATTATAGCATACACTTTATTAAAATAATCGATTTAAGCTATAAATTCACACTTTAGTTAAATACATTACCTTTATTGTGCTATAAAAACAATCGCTAATAAACTAATTGTATAATTTCTAGCCAGTCATTGTATTCCTGTAAACTTACTTAACTTAGAGTACATAACATCGAATTTTGCTCGGCACTAACATCATTATATTTTAATTTTAAATAAATCCTGATATATTCTTTCACATAGATAATTACGAAATAAAATAAAATTACATACTTACTCAAACCACTGAAGATAAATCACAACTATTTGTTTATTTCATAAATCGAAATACTTTAATTGTTTGGTAAGTTTATAGCTTTGCTGCCTAGAATTCAGCTATTTAATAGGTACCTATATTATTGTTAAAGTAACCGGCCTGAGTAACAATGTCATTTTCTATACATGTTTAAGAATTGTCCCGACCTGTCAAACAACATTATATAATATTAATTAAAACTAAAATTATTCAGGTATTAAGCACTCAAATTCTCTAGCACGGTAATAATTTATTTCTCTTAGAACAGTCGAATTTCAACAATTAAATTTAGTTAACTCTAAAGAAAAACTATTCAAAATTCAAATACAAAATAGAGATATCTTTCAATATAATTCAGCTTAAGCATTAATTTCAACTTAAATACAATTATACCATAACAGCATTTCATTAATATTTAAGTACACAAATTAACAGCCAAACTTTTATTAAATATTCATATTCATAACATCATGTTCGGAGTTGCAATTAGAACACCTGTTAAACCCTCAGGCGCGCCTCTCTCTAGGACCCCGGAAGTCGATAGCCCTAATACCAGCTCAAAATCATTACGCTTGATCAATTCTAATCAAACTACACACACTGAGGCTAAAATGTGGTTAGACCAAGGGCTGGAAGCCCTAGGGAATTCACGTAATCTGAAAACAGAAATTAAAATAACTATTGATAAATGCTTAAATAACCTTTACAAAATAATAACAACACTCTCACCAGATAAAACCCCTTCAGACACTCTACTCGCCAGCTTACCGTCATTCTCTTCAACAACTCTCCAAAATTCTACTGCCCCATGTGCGCCGGTCGACCCATATACCCAAATTCCCTCCACGTCTGCTTCTACCGCCACCCAGGATCTGTGGAATAAAAAGATAGATGAACATACTAAATTACTAATACAAAATACCAATACCATGCATAAATTTATAAATAAAATAAATATCATTAACAATAACAAAATACACGGCGGCGAAACTCATTTCACCAGCCCTGCAAATATGCCGCGCTCGTACTCGGATATAGTATCCACGCCTAAACAAACTTCGGGACCTTCCCTGGTGGTCAGCGGCGAACCAAATTCATCTGCCCAGACTCTCATAGACAACATACGTAAAGATATAAACTTCCGTGAGGGGGGTTATGCTCCACTTCAAATATCACCTCTTTCTAAAGGCAAAATACGAGTAACATTTGAAACTGAAGACAACAAGAAAAACGCTCTTCAACAACTCACCAAGTCTAGTACCCTTAAGGCAGAAGAGGAGAGACGATACGACCCCCTCATCTGCCTTAAGGGGATCTCAAAAACCACACCTGAGGAAGAGGTGATCGATATGATTAGGGAGCAAAACCCCACGTTAAGAGAGGCCCAACTGAAAATAAAGTTTCTTCGCAATAATAAAAATGATAAATTATATAACCTCGTATTAACTGTCTCACCCACCGCGCACCGCGCTCTACTCGAGATGGGCCGAGTTGCTATATCATTTCAACGTGTACATTGTTGCAATTTTTCTCCTTTCATGCAATGCAGAAATTGTCTTGGATTCGGGCACACTAAAAACCGCTGCCCAGCCCGCACTCCCACCTGCGCCAAGTGTGCATCGGCCCATCTCACCCGGGACTGCGTGAAAGAACCCAGCGAAAAACCCACTTGCGCTAACTGTCTTGAACATAATTTACAATTTAAGAACTCCTCAGACGTTTCTCATCGCGCTGACAGCGAGACTTGCCCCAAAGTGAGAGCCATGCGTGCTCGAGTTGAAGCCAAGATTAACTACTCACTATGAACAAACAGAATCACACACTCACATTCACACAAGCGAACCTTGACAGGTCTCGTATTGCGTTTCACGAATTCAAATTACATTTCATAAATAATAATACTGATATTGCTCTCATCTCAGAGCCATACATAGGTAAACAAAAATCAGTCACACACATAACAGGTCTACGCGTTTTTCAATCTGATAAGAACGGACCGACTAAGGCATGTATAGTCACGAAAGATCACATCAATGCACATATAATATCACAATACACAACAAATAACATAGTAATTATTGCCATCACCACTCGCTCAGCTACACTCTATCTCGCCTCAGTTTATATTGAACCGGAAAATGACGCAAATCAAACTCTCTCACTATTAGAACATTTTCTCATACACAATCCGAATATAGATATTTTGATTGGTGGAGACTTCAATGCATGGCACCCACTTTGGGGCAGTGGCCCACACGCTCGATATAATAACAGGGGACACGAAGTAGTCGATTTGATTAATGCCACCGATCTTTTCTTATGTAACACAGGTAACGAGCCCACTTTTCAAACAGTCACACACGGCCGCGCACGCTCATCTATTATTGATCTCACTCTAGCCTCATCTTCTACACTCACCAATATTTTAGAATGGAAAGTACTACAGAACCTATTCCCACACTCACAACACAACCCTATTACTTTCAAATACAATCATTCAAAAAACCCAATCATCAAATCACAGACACACAGCACATTCAAATATAAAACACATAAAGCAAACTGGCACGCATTCAAAGAATCATTACACACACACATTATTAACACTGACATCCTTGACACAAATTTTTCAACTCTCACACCTCTTCAGCTAGACAATATTATTACAACACTTACAAAACTTATCAATCAAGCTGCTACGGACACATTTTCTTCACGTTCGCACACACACAAGCCCCGAGCCCCTTGGTGGAATAATCACTTAGAAGTCCTTGGAGCCAACTGTAAACGGTTACACCATCAACTCAGCCGTGCCTGTAGGGGTAACAACTCACCACCCACTATTCTCGTTGATGAATACCTCACAGCTAAAGAAGCATACTCCAACGCGATACACAAAGCATCCACCGAAAATTTCAAAGAATTTTGCAACACACAAGGTAAGGAGGATGTCTGGTCCGTCACGAACCGCCTTATTAAAACGTCATCACCCAACATACAACTAGGTACACTCAAAATCAACAACTCATACACAAAAACAGAGAAAGAGACTGCTCAAGCACTATTGAACCACTTTTATCCAGAAAACTTACCTGACACTGAACCTAGACATACCGACCTTTCATTAAGAACTAGTACTCCTCCTAACACTGAAAACGACCCTCCCTTTACCAACCAGGAAATATTAGACGCAGTTAGCTCCATAGGGCACAACAAGGCCCCTGGACACGACCACCTCACCAGCGACATCTGTCTGACCGTAACCAAGGCTTACCCCGATCTAATCAGAAACATACTTAACCGATGCCTGGAAATCGCGCACTTTCCAACCTCCTGGAAAGAAGCGATAGTAAAAATAATACCCAAACCCTCAAAAACGGATTACACTGAACTGACTTCCTACCGTCCCATAGGGCTTCTGCCTGTGTTTGGGAAAGTATTAGAAAAACTACTGACTAAACGACTAACCTACAATGCCCATAAACTTCACTTACTCAGTCAAAATCAATACGGATTTACTGAGCAAACGGGAACAACCCAGGCCATTCAGTCTGCTCTTGACGCTATAAACATGGCTAAACTAAACAAACAGTTAGTTATCGCAGTCTCATTGGACATAAAAGCGGCTTTCGATAACGCTTGGTGGCCCGCTGTCTTTGAAGGCCTCCGCCAAGTTCAATGCCCACGAAATATATTTAACACACTCTATAGTTACCTTTCACACCGAGCCGTTACTTTACACTTAGGAAACACAACACTCACACATTCCACAGAAAAGGGCTGCATACAAGGTTCCGCATGCGGCCCTATTCTGTGGAACATCATAATAAATGACCTCCTTACCAACATTGCCTTACCTTTAGGATGCACAATCCAGGCATATGCGGACGACGTCCTTCTAATAGTATCGGCGAAGGATTTATCGACCCTTGAACTTACAACCAACACAGCACTCGAGAACATTCGCCGGTGGGGTAATAGTGTCAAACTAAAATTCGGTCCGACCAAAACACAATGCACCTCATTCACACAGAAATCAAAACATGCAAAAATCATCTTTGACAACACACCCTTACAATTTTCTAACTCATTCAAATACTTAGGACTTATAATTGACAGTAAGCTAAAATTTAACGAACATATTACATACATTTCTAACAAAGCACATAAACTATTTCACAAATTACAGATTTACACTAGACCCACCTGGGGACCTCATCCCGAAAACATAAAAGCCATCTACAACAAAGTCATACAACCTATCATTACATATGCCGCAAGCATCTGGGGTCATGTAGCTAAAAAACAGGGAATAAAAAACAAACTTATTAGTTTGCAACGAAACTTCGCCATCAAAGCCATTCGCGGATTTCGGACAGTCTCGGCGAACGCAGCAATAGCACTGGCTAGATTCACCCCACTAGACCTAAAAATACTAGAAACACATGAAATAGAAAACATACGAATCAATCACACATCAGATAGAATTCCCAAAGATATTCCTATAGAAAGACCAGTTTGTTTTACAGAACTTCTTCACCCGTATGAACGCATTTCAATAGATACACTTTCAGCGGACACATACTCAAAAACCAACCATTCCATTTACAACCACATCTACACGGACGGTAGTAAACAAAAGAACGGTTCAACTGGCGCTTCTTTTGTTGATTACCGCCCAACAGAAAACAATCACATACACACTCACACAAAACAAATTAAGCTTCATCACACAAGTTCAGTATTCCAAGCTGAACTCAACGCCATCAAACATGCATGCGCATACATATATAATAAAAACATCACACACGCAATCATACATACTGACTCACTTTCATCAATCTTTGCATTAAAACAACAAAACAACACAAATCCCACTGTCTCCGAAATCCACAAAACACTACACATAATCAAGAACACTCATCCTCTTTCAAGCATTCTCTTCACTTGGGTAAAGGGACACTCAGGCGTTGAAGGAAATGAAGCGGCGGACAGGGCAGCCAACAAAGCTGCTAATGCACATAAAGCGCCGGAATTCATATCATGTCCCATTGCATACTTAAAGAAGATCATTAAAAATGAAACTGCAATCAAATCTGAAAATAGATATACTTGTGAAATCACAGGGGCACATACCAAAAACATTTTTCCAAATTTAAAAAGCATAGACTCCTTTTTCCAAGCCATACCAATATCTTTTCATATGACTCAATTTCTCACAGCCCATTCATTCGCCAAACAATACCTTCATCGATTTCATATAACTGACAACCCTCTTTGCCCTTGTGATAACACTTCTATACAAGACCTTAACCACCTCATCAAAAACTGCCCCCGTTTCAATATCTCCCGACAAACCCACGAAGAACTATGCTGGTTCCATAATACTGAACCCTATAACATCACAGAAATAATTAAAAAGGTACACACTGCGAAATCATTTGATACATTTATAAAACATATAATTAAAAATCTGAAATCATTCAATAGTTAATAACTATATCATCTTTCTTAATACTACATGGTTAATAATATAATATTGTTGTATTCGTTACTTCTAATGAAAATTTTTAGTGTAAGTTTAGTGTAAGAATTCGACTTCATAATACCTGAATAACAAGAGAAAAACAAGGGACTTAACAGACAGATTGTATCAAATAGCAACATCTGTTTAGTTCCCACACATTTATAAATATAAAAATTATATTGTTTCATTTCTTCTATCTCTCCACCACGGCCCCGGAGCAATGCTGCCGGGGATGGTAGGCCAGTAGGACCCAAATAAAGAAAAAAAAAAAAAAAAAAAAAAAAAAAAAAAAAAAAACCTAACCTAACCTAACCTAACCTAACCTAACCTAACCTAACCTAACCTAACCTAACCTAACCTAACCTAACCTAACCTAACCTAACCTAACCTAACCTAACCTAACCTAACCTAACCTAACCTAACCTAACCTAACCTAACCTAACCTAACCTAACCTAACCTAACCTAACCTAACCTAACCTAACCAGTCGCAACTCACCCGCCGTCCGGAGCGCACGCACTCGGAGCCGCTCTACGCGTAGCAATAACTCAAAATTAATTTTTTAGAATTTTTTCCCTCGGATTATTTAAGTGTCATATATCAAAAGTTGCGCGCTTCAAAGGCCTACGCGGTGGTGTAAAAAAGTTATTTTCTACGATTTCCGAGTCAAAAGCTAAAGTGAAAATTGTGAAAGTGAAAAACCAAAAAGTGAATATTACTCGGAATTTAAAGCGACGACCTATATTTTTTATTAAAGAATTCGAAAGTGCTTATTAAGAGCTAGCTAAAAACATAAAGCTTAAAATTTTTTGCCACATAGTTTTGGAATACCAACCTTATCAGTGATTACCAGCATCCTAATAATAAATAATAAAGTGAAATTTAATAAATAATAATAAATAATATAATAAATAACAACAACAAACTAAGACCTGCTGCGCCCTACGTCACTACAATCATCATCATCACCACTACATCACCTGGAGGACTTCACCTCGTGAACATCTTCGAGGAACATTCAAGCCCTGTGACGTAGGTTAGACGCAGATAGGCCATCGCCGAACGCATATGCAGCTCTACAGTGACCTAGTGATAATAGACTTTAAAAGAGGAATATTAGGTAACTAAATTAATATTAATATATACTACTACTCTAACAACTAACATATAGTGCTAACTTGCTTACACAAGTAATACTGTAACCCTAAGTATAGTAATAAAGTTAAAAAACGTAATTCTTATATAGCTTACTAAAAACTTTAAATAACCTTGAAATATTAAATTGTGTTAAAAGTGTACAAGGCTACGACGCTAGACGACGTCACCGCACACCTGCACGTTGTCTCGCGGGCCGGACTCAGCGAATTAAATTTAATTTTACTTAATTTTTATTTTTCTTAACACACTAAAGGTAGAATTTTGAATAATAATTAACAAAACTCTAAATAAATTGCTAGTGTTACCGATAGCAGACATATGTGTGAAATACTGTCTTAAAACAATACAATAATATAGATACATCAGTTAAAATAAATAACACCAAAGGTATTTATGTCCTTTAAAATCCGGGTATTCTGTTAATGCAAATTAATTGTTTTATATTACATAAGAAAGTAAATTTTACCACACTACAATACAACAATTCGGGTCATTAAATTCTTGGCAACTGCGTTACGATCCGTACCTGTATTCCACGCACACTAGCGAACATTCAATAATAGAGCTTCGCATTCCTTCACTTATTATTACCAACACTCTTTACTATTCCTTAAAACTTAAAACTTGGTACTTTTGAAAACGTTTTTAATACATATTCATTCTCTAGTTAAAAGGTTACAATTTAATTTTGCAATAATAATAGATAACTTAAGAAAACTTACTTTTGGTTTTTCAAAATTTATTTAAATAATAGGTAATAAATGGGTAGCTCTATTGGTATGCATGTAGTCTGCGGAAATTTAAATTTAAGTTAATCCTTCCAACCTAATTTAGGATTTAATGTAAATTAATTACAATATCTTTCTTTCTCTCTACAAAAATACATAAAGTTCCACTAACGAATAAAACTTTAAATAACCTTGGAAATCTAAATTGCGCTAAAAAGCGAACAAGACCAAGACGCTAGCTGACGTCACCGCACACCTGCGCGACGACTTGTGGGACGGACTCAGCAACCTAAAAATTTAATTTTATTCTCTCTCACATTAAAAGACCAAAATCTAAATAATAGCTACTAAAAGGCCTCATAACATCTTCACTAGAATTATTTTATTTTATTCGTTAGAGTTTCGTTATAAAACAGCTTTTAAATAACAAATTAAAACTGAATTAGTAACAAAAATATGTGCAGAAATATATATTTTTATAGCCACTAAAACCGCGTACCCTTTTTATTTTATTAATAGTATTAGATTATACGAACAAGTAAACTTCTACAACACTCTATACTATAATCGGAAGATTAAATTCCCCCGAAATTTGCTTACGATCCGTACCTGTATCGCACTCACACTAACGCATTCCTTTACTTATTACCACTAGCAGTCTCTCATATAATCTTGAAGTATAAATCCGTAAAGTAGCTAAAGGTTCTCTATTTAAAACGGTTTAAATTCAACAAAATATACCAAGAGCGAAACTTTTATAATAATATAAAATAATAATATAATATATTCATTTAACAACCGTACTTGAACAAATTATTCCTAGCAAACAAACATACAAAACAATATTTTCTTAAAAAACTACAACATAGCATAACTTCCTTTGTAATTAATTTAGATTAATAGTGTTTGGGCTCGTCGTGGTCGGCATTAGACGAGCTATACGTTCGTGCAATAAAAAATTTCCCCCCCCGCAAAAGTGAAACCCTTCACCCCCTCAGAACCGCAAACCACCCCGGTAGTCATAACACCCCCGAGTTTGGGCTTAAACTGCTCGTATCGAAGAGAGGAATACTTTGGCTCCTCTAGTTTCCCCCTCCCCCCACTTTTTCAAAATAATTTTTTTCATAATTCTTTAAATTTTAGTAAATCACGTCCTAGACCTATCGTGTTTGGGCTCGTTAAACTTGTTTTGACGAGAGGAACTCAATTAACTAAATAAATTACCACTCAACCACCCCCCATTTTTCGAAAAATAAAATTCTCTTCATTTCAAATTTAAATTTAAAAAATGGTTTTCGGCCACCGCACGCCCACTAAACGACAACTTCCAGTAAATAATAATATACCTGACAATACACCCGACAGTGACGCAACAGACGAAATACTTACAATGACAGAAAAACAGTGCACCGCAGGGCTGGAACCACCCGTCGCTAGCTTCTTTTCCCTTTCACCGTCGACATCAGCTGACACGGCCTCCTCTAATACAGGCACTGACGGTACCGAAAAACGAACTACGCCTATATCGGACACATCTGATTCTGAGGCTGTATTCGGGAAGACCTACAAGTCCAGAGAGACCGAAATTAGAGGCATCTTCCAGAAAATAAATATCAAACTAGACAGTGCAAAGAATTTAAGAACTGACATAAAGGTAGAAGTGAAGGCAGCAACCAAGAGACTCCAGGAAATAGTGAAGGACCTACTGAACGAAAGAAAGGATCAAACAAAGGATTATCCGAACCCCACTAGAAGGAAAGAAGAAGAAGAAAAGAAAGAAAAAGCAAAAGAACAAACAGAGATAGAAGGTAAAGAAGTAAGAAATATAATAAATAAAATAGAGGAACAGAAGAAGCTAATAGAAGAAGGAAATAGAGAGATTCAAGAAATAAAGAAGATAATCAAGGAACAGAGGAAGGAAGAGGAAACCACCAGAAGAGAATTAAAGGAAAGCATTGAAGAAAGCAGTAGAGTAACAAGCGAACTGAGATCCTATGCTAGCGTAGTGGCAACAGGAATCAGACCTGGAGATAGAGAACGTGCACCATCACAGAATAACCAGGCAGCAGCTAAACACGCTATTATAATCACCTCAAATGGAACGGAAACAAGTGGAGAGATAATAGAAAGGATAAGAACAACGGTAAATGCAAAGACTACAGGAGTAAGAGTGGACAGGATAAGAAAGGCAAGAGACCAGAAAGTAGTTCTAGGGTGCGAAACAGAGGAGGAACTGGAAAGGGTAAAGGAGAGACTAAAACTTGATAGTAAACTACGAGTGGAAAAGGCGGTGAACAAGGATCCTCTAGTTATTCTAAGGGATGTACTATGTGTTAATACGGATGAGGAGATTATAACAGCGTTAAAGCTACAAAATAAGAACCTTATGAGCGAAATGGAAAAAGAGGAAGAAGAAAGGATTAGCATAAGATACAGAAGGAAAACAAGAAACCCGCACACCAATCACATCATCTTACAGGTTCCACCAAAACTGTGGCAAAGGATGGTCGAAATAGGAAAGGTCCACATAGACCTACAGAAAATAAACGTGATGGATCAAACACCCCTCGTACAGTGCTCAAAATGTTTAGGATTTGGCCATGGAAGGAGACTCTGCAAGGAAGGAGCGGAAGTATGCTCGCATTGTGGTGGGTCCCACAAAAAAGAAAGTTGTCCGGAGTACCAAAATGGCACTAAGCCATCATGTGTAAACTGCACACGGGCAAACCTCGACAGGACCGACCACAACGCCTTCGACCAGGGTTGCCCGATAAGGTGCAGATGGGACGAACTGGCGAGAGCCTCAGTAGCGTACTGCTAAGGTTCTCTCTAAAGTTGTAACGGATGATCGCATCGGGCAGCACCTGATCGTACAAGCGAACTTGCAGAGAAAGGACGCCGCAACCAGCGAACTAATCATGGAGGGCCAGAGGAGAAAGGCTACGGCGGCGCTGGTTCAAGAGCCTTACATTGGCAAGGAAGGTAGAATGAAGGCGTACAGGGGCACCAGAATATTCCAGTGCGCGGGAAAAACCGAGAAGGTCGTCAAAGCGGCAATCGTGCTGTTTGACACAAACACCGACGCAACACTGTGTCCTGACCTCACCACACCCAACATCGTTGTGGTAAAGGTGAAAACCGACGCACGGGATGTGTTCCTGGTCTCATTCTACTTTGAGCCCGCGCCAACGCCGATAGATCCCTATCTCGATGACCTGAGGAAAGTAAGGCGAGCCGTAGGTCCAAGAGTGGTATTCGCTGGAGACGCAAATGCCAAAAACAATCTTTGGGGAGGAGAAATTACGGACAGGAGAGGGGAGGATCTGATGGCTACCTGCGCAGAGATGGGAGTGTATGTGTTAAACGAGGGAACAACTCCAACGTTCGACACATATAGAGGCGGAAGGAACTTCAGCAGCTTTGTCGATCTAACATTTTGTACGGCAGATCTTCTTGGATTCATAGAGGGATGGGAGGTCGATGAAGGCATAACCAGTTCGGACCATAATGGTATAGTGTTTAAACTAAGGAACACAAAACTGAGTGGGGTAGAAATAGAAAGAACAACAAGAGTATACAACACGAGGAAGGCTCACTGGACCAATTTTCGAGAAAAAATCAGCCAAATGCTAGAAGAAAGTGATATAAACAAAGAAAAGATGGACAGGATAAGAACAGAAGAAGAAATAGACAGAACAGTATATAAATATATAGAAATCATAAAACAAGCCAGTGATGAGAATATACCTAAAATAAGAAATAAATCTATACTTACCATTTCATGGTGGACGGAGGAACTGGCATCTCTAAAGAAAGAACTTAGAACCAAGAAACGAAGAATAAGATGCGCAGCGCAAACCCGGAGAGCGGAGGTTGTGAATGAATACCTGAAACTAAAAGAAAAATATGAGAAGGGAATAGAGGAAGCAAAGCTGGAAAGTTGGAAGGAATTCTGTGGGAAACAAAGCAGGGAAGGAATGTGGGAGGGAATATATAGGGTCATAAATAGAACAACAATAAGGAGGGAAGATATGCCTATGGTGAGAGAAGGGAGGGTGCTGGAAATGGAAGAATCCGCTGAGTATCTTGTGCAGACTTTCTTTCCCGACGATGTCGAAGAGGACGACAGTGAGGCGCACAGGGACATCAGGGCAAAAGCGGAAGCAATAAACGAGGGAGTAAAAGACACATACGACCCCCCTTTCACAGAGGGAGAGCTCAAACTAGTCCTGGAGTCCTTTAACCCAAAGAAAGCCCCAGGCCTGGATGGCCTGACCTTCGATATCTGCCGGGCCGCCATCTTTGTCGCTCCGCACGTATTTCTGGCACTCGTCAATAAGTGTTTGGAGATCGGATATTTTCCCACCACCTGGAAGGAAGCCACAGTGGTAGTACTTCGAAAGCCTGGCAGAACAGACTACACGACGCCAAAGTCCTACAGACCTATTGGCTTGCTTCCAGTGATGGGGAAAATAATGGAGAAAATGCTCGTGAAAAGGGCGAACTGGTACATAATACCAAGAATGAGTGCCAGACAGTACGGATTTATGCCACAGCGAGGGACCGAGGACGCCCTCTATGACTTGCTGAGACACATAAGAGAAAAATTGAATGAAAAGAAAATCGCAGTAATGGTCTCGCTAGACATAGAAGGCGCCTTCGACAGCGCGTGGTGGCCTGCAATCAGGTGTAGGTTGGCGGAAGTGGGATGCCCGGTAAACGTAAGGAGAGTGTTTGACAGCTATCTGAGAGACAGGAAGGTTAGGTTGCGATATGGAGGAAGGGAAGTGGAGAAGGTTAACACGAAAGGATGTATACAAGGATCTATAGGGGGACCAATATTGTGGAACCTCTTGTTGGACCCCCTATTGAAAGGTTTGGAAAGAAAGGGAATCTGCTGCCAAGCGTTTGCGGATGACGTTGTCCTGGTTTTTGACGGCCACACCGCGGGCGAGATTGAGAGGCAGGCCAATGCAACCCTAGCCTATGTTCAGGAATGGGGTGTCTTGAATAAGTTAAAATTTGCGCCACATAAAACCAAAGCTATGGTCGTAACAAGGAAGTTAAAACATGACACCCCACTACTGAGCATGGGCGGGACCAGAATTGAGGTCGTGAAGGAGGTGAAACTCCTCGGACTGATAATAGATGAGAGTCTCACCTTCAACACGCACGTCAAGACTGTATGTGCAAAGGCCTACCAGATCTACAGACAGCTGGCTAGGGCTGCGAAAATAGGTTGGGGCCTGGACACGTTAATCGTCAGGACGATCTACACTGCTGTGATAGAGCCGATCCTGATGTATGCCGCGAGCGCTTGGGAGCAGGCAGCGAGAAAGAAGTGTGTTAAAGTACAGTTAGACCGGATCCAGAGGCTCTTCCTCCAAAAAATTTGCAAAGCATACAGAACTGTTTCGCTTCACTCGGGATTAATTCTTACTGGGATACTCCCATTACATCTAAAGATTGAGGAAGCGGCAGTTCTATACAAGGTAAAGAGAGGACTGTCTCCCCCACTCAGCTTAGACGCGGTGATGGAGGGTAGAGAAAATCCGGCGGAGATGCCACACCCTGCGCACGAGCCACTGCTTACTTTTAAGACCTATGACTCAGAATTAGACCTAGAGACTCAGATTGACACCTCAAACTTTTTTACTGACGGCAGTAAATTTGACGAAGGCGTCGGTGCCGCGGTCGTTATCTTTAAAGAAAACGTTCTAAAGAAATTTGTAAAAATTAAATTAGCGTCCTACTGTACTGTCTTCCAGGCTGAAATGGTGGCGCTGCACAGAGCGTTTGAGCTGATAGAAAGGGAAAAAAGCCCGAATATAAACGTCTGTAGCGACTCCAGATCAGCACTGGAGGACATCACAAGCGGCCGCTCTCTTAATCCTCTCGCTGTCCAAATAAGACGGCAAATTTTTAAAATGCGCGAAAATAAAACAATTACCTTATTCTGGATCAAGGCCCACGCTGGACACGAGGGGAATGAGAGGGCAGACCTGCTGGCGAAGGAGGCCGCCCACAACAATAAAAAGAAACCAGACTATGACCTCTGCCCAATTTCTACTATAAAAAGACTTATTAGGACGGAATCGGTGCAGCGTTGGGAGGAGGATTATCAAAACGGAGAAACAGCCTCCATAACGAAAGTCTTCCTCCCAACAGCTGCAGCCGCTTTTAGGGTCATAAAGAGGGTGGGATTGGACGGCGAAGCAACACAGGTTCTAACGGGGCATGGTGGTTTCGCCGCATATCTCCACAGGTTCAAACGTAAGGATAGCCCCGTTTGCGCCTGCGGAGACGAGGATGAGACGGTGCCCCATTTGTTGATTCGCTGCCCAATCCACGCCCCCGAAAGACACAAACTGGAAAACCGACTTGACATTGACTTGACAGAAAGTAACTTAAAAATAATCATGATGGACGACGGGATGAGGCCTCCTTTGCTACAATTCTGTAAGCAAATAGTAAAAATAGTAAATAAACGAAACAAATAAAAAGGTTTAAATATGTATATAAATAAGTGCGCAAAACTAGTATTAGTAAATAGTAATAAGTAAAATTAAAGTTGATTGTATTGTATTGTATAGAATAAGAAATTTGTAAAGCAAAAAGCGGAATAAATAAAAAATAAAAATATGTATATAAATTAATATGGATATATATGTGTGTGGGAATTAGTAGAAATAATAGTAAATAGTAATAAGAATTGTAATGTTATCTCTAGAATAAGAAATTTGTAAACGAATGTTTTAATAAAGAAAATAATTAGCTTGTACAACTAGAATAAGAAATTTGAGAACAAATATACTAATAAAGAAATGATTAGCCTGTAAGTTAGAATAAGAAACATATGAGAAAACATTTTAAGAAAGAAAAATCATTAGCTTAATTATTCCACGGCCCGGAGATAACTTCGTCCGGGGGGTAGGCCTAGTAGGAAAAAAAAAAAAAAAAAAAAAAAAAAAAAAAAAAAAAAAAAAAAAAAAAAAAAAAAAAAAAAAAAAAAAAAAAAAAAAAAAAAAAAAAAAAAAAAAAAAAAAAAAAAAAAAAAAAAAAAAAAAAAAAAAAAAAAAAAAAAAAAACACAACCCCCACCAAACAAAAAAAAAACAAAAAAAAAAAAAAAAAAAAAAAAAAAAAAAAAAAAAAAAAAAAAAAAAAAAAAAAAAAAAAAAAAAAAACAAAAAAAAAAAAAAAAAAAAAAAAAAAAAGAACAACACCCCCCCCCCCCCCCCACACACACCCCCCCCCCCCTCCCCCCCCCCTGGGGGGGGTGGTTGTCCTTTCCCCCCCCCCCCCGGGGGTCCCCCCCCCCCCCCCCCCCCTTTTTCATAAAGGGGGGGTTTTGGGGTTCGGCCCAACCCAAAACCCCCGCCCCCGCGGGGGGTGCCCCCCCGGGGAAGGGGCCCAAAAACCCCCCCCCCCGAGAGTGCCCCAAGGAGGCTGCCGAAGTTCCCACCTGCGCCAACTGCCACGAACACAACCAGCAACACAAAACAACAAACCCCACAACCCACCGCGCTGACAGCGGACGCTGCCCCAAGGTCGTAGCAATGCAAGCCCGTGTCGAGGCTAAAATAAACTATGCCTAGAGTAATTAATAGATTACAGTTCTCCCAAGCGAACCTCGACAGGTCTCGCAACGCTTTGCATGAACTTCAGGTACACTTGCACAACACGGACACAGACATAGCATTAATTTCAGAACCATACATCGGTAACTCAAAACATGTCAAGAACATACAAGGCTTTAACGTTTTTCAGGCTGATGGCGCCACGAAAGTACGGGCCTGTATCTTGGCCAAAACACACATTCACGCGATCACGCTCACACAATTCACAACGGACGACCTTTGCATCATTTCCATTCCCGCGAAAAATTATAACATATACGTAGTCTCGATTTACATTGAACCGCGCACGGATACAAATAATATACTAAATAAACTAGACCAATTTTTACACACGCACAACGGCTCACACGTAATAATAGGCGGCGATTTTAACGGATGGCACAGCACTTGGGGCAGTTCCGCTGACAACCCACGAGGAGCAGAAGTAGCTGACTTCATATTAACCCATGACCTTCAGTTAGGAAACGTAGGCCAAACCCCCACATTTCAAACGATTACGCACGGACAGAAACGCAACTCTATTATAGACTTAACGCTCTATTCCCCCAATCTCATTAGCAAAATAAACGACTGGCGAGTACACCCGGGACACTTTCCATCCACACAACACAACCACATTACATTCGCAATTAATCTTACACAATCTCCTGCGCTCACTAAAAATACTTACAGCACATTCTTATACCAAACAAACAAAGGTAACTGGCATTCATTTAAAGAACACCTCCACACCAAAATCTTTAATTCAGGAATCCTAGACAAAAATATAGAGACATTAACGTCCACACAATTAGAGCAAACCATCATTACCCTCACCGAAATTATAAACGATGCCAGCACCCAAACTTTTCCCATAAGAAATAACAGAATCAAACCCAGGCCTCCGTGGTGGTCGGATGAATTACAGTCCTTGAAAGAGGAATGCATCCGACTCCACCGGCGCTTGCATAACTCACGCGGACGCCCTCCCGACCCAAACATCTTAGATGAATACAAAACCCTAAAAGAAAACTACGCAGACAAACTTAAACAGACCTCAACAGAAAGCTTTAGATCTTTTTTGCTCCCTCCAAACAAAAGAAAATGTCTGGTCACTGACAAACAGACTATTAAAATCACGAGGATTCAACCCACCACCTCAAACGTTACGCAGGAAAAATAACACGTACACCACCACGGCACAAGAAACCGCGCAGGAATTGCTTAAACACTTTTACCCAGACGACGGGCCCGACACCGATCCTACACATATTCAAACTCGCGTCACGTCGAACAATATACCCAACACCCAAGATGACCCAGAATTTAGCCAGGAAGAGGTTCTAGAGACCCTCCGTCAAATGAACCCTAATAAGGCTCCAGGCCACGACCACCTTACGAGCGACATATGCTCGATGGTTGCAAGCCAATATCCTGGATTAATCACTAACATACTGAACCGATGTCTTTCACTAGCATATTTCCCAAGTACATGGAAGAAAACCATTGTAAAAGTCATCCCTAAACCATCAAAAACTGACTACACCGATCTATCAGCCTATCGCCCAATTGGTCTTATACCAGTATTTGGAAAAACGCTAGAAAAACTCTTTACTAAACGGCTCGTATACTCGTCACAGCGGCAAAAAACACTCAACACTGAACAATACGGATTCACCCAACAAACAGGTACAACACAAGCCATTCTCTCGATAATTAATAAAGTCAAAGCAGCTAAGCAAAAACATCAAGAAGTATCAGTAGTTTCACTCGATATAAAGGCGGCATTCGATAACGCGTGGTGGCCAGCTATCCTTAGCGGTCTTAGGGACGTCGGATGCCCCCTAAATATATATAAACTTATTAATAATTATCTCTCGGACCGCACCGTCAATTTAACAATAGGCGAACACACTACCAGCAAAACCAATAACAAAGGCTGTATACAGGGTTCGGCATGTGGACCCGTTCTATGGAATATTCTGATCAATAAATTACTCAACACCAGATTTCCGCCCGGGTGCCACCTACAAGCTTTCGCAGACGACGTAGTGCTGCTGGCCACAGCATCAGACACAGACACTCTACAACGAATCACGAACACTTCACTAGATACCATCTTTCAATGGGGTAAAAGCGTAAAATTAGAATTCGGTCCAGAGAAAACACAATTAATTCACTTTTCAAATAAAGCCCAAAAAACCCAAATTAAAATAAACAATATTACGTTAAAACCGGTAGAAACAATAAAATACTTAGGTGTCATTATTGATCGCAGACTGACATTTAAAAATCACATAAACTACATCATTCAAAAATCACAAAACTTATTTAACAAACTTTGCAATTTTATAAGACCCACTTGGGGCATACATTCTGATAATATAAAAACAATATACCATATGGTCATAGTCCCAACCATCACATACGCCGCGGGAGTCTGGGGCGACTCCGTAAATATAAAAACCTACAAAAACAAAATCCTCTCATTACAGCGAATGTTTGCAATCAAAGCCATCCGCGGATTCCGTACCATCTCCCTAAACGCAGCCCTCGCGCTCGCAGAATTTCTTCCATTAGACATAAAAATAAATGAAATCCAATGCATCGAAAAAGCCCGCGTCGAGCACCAAACTCACTTAATTCCATCCGACATCCCCATCGAGACACCCACACACCCCTCACAACTCTTACACCCCTCGGTTCGCACAGGCATCAGACACACAACATATAAAAACAACCTACACAAACACATCAAACCCGCGCCCCACGACATATACACAGACGGAAGCAAACAAGAGAACGGAGAAACTGGAGCAGCATTCATTGTCCACTCGCCTAACACACACTTAACCATACACACATCAAAAATTAAACTCCACCCCACGAGTAGCATTTTTCAAGCCGAACTCCTCGCTATTAAAGAGGCATGCAAATGGGCAACTAAAAATAATACCAGCTGCATCATACATTCGGACTCACGATCGGCACTGACGGCATTAGAACAAATATCCAATACCCACCCATTAGTTAGCAGCATACACCGGATATTACACCAAAACAAGCACACACAGATACAGTTCAAATGGGTTCGAGCCCATACCGGTATTGTAGGTAACGAGAAAGCAGATGCCGCTGCTAAAGCAGCTTCCAAAGCCCATAAGGCCCCTAATTTCATTAGTTGCCCCTTATCACATATAAAACACATTGCACGATTAAAATCCTACACCACTTGGGAAAAGAGGTACTTGGAGGAGCCCACGGGGGCAAGAACCAGGTCTCTCCTACCATCACTTAAAGACATACACAAACTAAACACGACACTTCCGGTTTCTTTCCACCTCACTCAGTTCGTCACAGGGCACTCGTACACAAAACAATACTTACACAGATTTAATATCACCTCAGATGACAAATGCCCCTGTGACAACACTAGCATCCAAACATTTACACACCTTATAAATGACTGCTCCAGGTTCTCCTCCCAAAGGCACGATTGCCTACAGGCACAAGTTAGGAACAAAACACCAGACACCTTCACACTAAAAGACTCTCTCCTAAACAGAGCTGCGATCGACGCCATCGATAAATTTATTAAATATATAGTTAATAACTTAAAATTGTTCAATAAAACTTAAATGTAACCAATAAATTTCTCCCATTGTAAAAAGTTAAAATCCCTAACTGTAATAACCTCACAGCAAGCAACTTAGCATTGTATAACCTTATATATATATGTAAATACTTTGTTTGTATAAATATAAGAAAATTATGTATTAATGTCACAAATTGGATTGTATAATAAAGCTCTCAATTATATAAATATAGAATGTAAGTTAAACAATGTTAATGTATAGCTTGTAGACACTAAGGAAAACTTGATTTGTATAGCGACTCTAATTCTAAGAAACCACATTTTGTAAATACCCAGTGTAAAAGGAACTTTGTGGAAAGACTGTATCCAATAGCAGCATCCACAAAGTTTCTTCCCCTAAAATCTGTATATCACTCAAACACCAATACCAATGTACCAATAAGTTGAAAAAAAAAAAAAAAAAAAAAAAAAAAAAACCTAACCTAACCTAACCTAACCTAACCTAACCTAACAGTCGCAGTCCATCCTTGGTCGGATACACACCTAAACGTGTCGCTCCGCGGTTTAAAAATCCTAAAAATAGGATTTTTCACGCTTACAAAACAGTGACATACATCAAAAGACGCGTCTTAACGAGACAAATCCAGTGATATAAATTTCAAATCTTAATTCGTGAAAAATCAGTGAATTTTGGTGAAAAAAACAGAAAAAACTTCAAAAAATTGGTGAAAAAGTGCATGCGGCGCCGAAACAAGATCGGCGACCCCCCTGTCTTTAAGTGTAGTTAAATGCGCCTTGCAAAGGCGCATCTTTTGGTGCACATCTTGGATTTTTCCGCCTATGCTCCAGGGAGATACAACGTTTTGAAAATTTTTTCATAAAAACGTGGTCCTTGAAATCCTGAAGGAAGACAGCAGTGCTATATTTCACCAAAAAGCGCTCATCAAGCCCAGCACAGCGATGGTCTTCTCAGCGAGATTGGCTCAGTGGAAAAAATTTTAGAAGCAAAAAACGGGATAACCTAAAAAGTAACGTACAAAACATTTATTATCTCAAAAACCAAAGCGGTTACCCCCAAATTAAAAATCACCACCGTGTAGACCCCGACGAGACGCATCTTTTGAGTGGTCGTTCAAAATTTTTTGACCACGGGAAATATTTTTAATCCCGAGAAAAACAAAAACCACGTGGCACGTGGTCGAAGATCCCGTGGGAATTCTGCAAATTTTGAAAACGTTCCTGAATGCCGTCATCAAGCTGATTCAGAATATACCTTTAGATCTGAAATCCGACGGAAAACGGCTTAGATATCGGCCCGGGAACGCTGTCAGGAAAAAACCGGGATATCTCGGGAACGGTAGGAGATAGCTCAAAAATAAGCCCATTTTCAGTTTCTACCACCTTCGGTGGTATAAACGAGTTGTCCCATTATACCCTTGTACACCCTTTCCTATCATCCAAAAATTTTTTCCAAAATTTTCAAAATTTTAACTTTTCCTGAAATTTTTAAATTGATGTAGCTCCTAAACCGTTAGAGTTAGAGCAAAAATAACAGCAGTCGGGGGGGGGGGGGGAGGGGGGGGGGGGGGAAAGGGGGGGGGGGAGGGGGGCCCCCCCCCCCCCCCCCCCCCCCCCCCCCCCCCCCCCCACCCCCCCCCCCCCCCCCCCCCCCCCCTTTTTGGGGGGGGGAAAAAAAAAAAAAAGGGGGGGGGGAAGTGAAATAAAAAAAAAAAAAAAAAAATTTTTTTTTTTTTTTTTTTTTTTTTAAAAAAAAAAAATTTTATTAAAAAAAAAAAAAAAAAAAAAAAAAAAAAAAAATTTTTTTTTTTAAAAAAAAAAAAAAAAACGGGGAGAAAAAAAAAAAAAAAAGGAAAAAAAAAAAAAAAAAAAAAAAAAAAAAAAAAAATTAAACAAAAAAAAAAAAAAAAATTTTTTAAAAAAAAATTAAAAAAAAAAAAAAATAAAAATAAAATTAATTAACGGGCGGGGGGGGCAACTGGGAAAAAAAAATTAAATTTTTTACCTAATTTTTAAAATAAGTCGGACTGGTTGCCACTTTTTGGTGACAGCCCTTAGTATATAAGCTTTATACTGTATCGACCTAGGCCCTTATTGGCATTTAAGATAGAATGTAAGGACTCGCCCTATTGGCAATAAAAATTTTATATACTATTACTTTTAGACTTTTATACCTTTGACGCCACTACTGGCCAAATATTAATCAATTAAAATTCAGCATATTTCTTCCATTCCATAGCGTAGGAGCTAGTAAGCTCTGCCTGACGTCATGTTTGGTCTCAGAACCCCCGTAAAAAAGTTGAACCCCATTGTCAATACATCTCCAAAACGGGACACTACACCTGACAAAATATTACAAATAAGTGCTCCCGAGCTCCCGAAAGAAGATGCTCATTGCGTCAACGCCCCCAAGCGCTTATCTCAGGGACTAGTGCCGGAACTGGCATCAAGGTTCTCTGGAAACGCGATGGCCCCGGCGCCGTCAACGGCGTGACAGCTCCCGAAGAGAGAAGAAAGACGTTTGTGGTGCGGACTCGGGATACTATGGAGAAGGAAGGGAAGGAGGACAAAGTAGGGAGTAAGTCAGGGACAACGTATAAAGGACGAAGTACTGAGGCAGCCGCAATTCAACAGAGCGCCCTCAAAAATCTGGATGCTGCGCGTAACCTCAAGACCGAAATAAAAATCACGGTCACGCAATGCATTAAAAAGGCTTTTCACTTTATACAAAGAAACAGAGAAGGAATTGGACACAGAAAAAACTAAAGGATATAGTAAGGAAACAAGGACTGAAGGAGATAAAAGCGAAAAGGAACTAACCAAAGAAACAAAACTCGATAAATATGAAGAACTAGTGGAAGAGCAGAAGGAAATAGTAAAGGATCTAAGGAAGGAACTAAAAAGGCTTGCAGAAACCAGGAAAAGTATTGAAGAAGAAAGAAAGAAATTAGAAGAAAAAACAGAGAAAGAAATACTTAATACTAACAAACTGACTGACTTACGGGAAAAGGAAAATGAAATATTCAAGGGGAAGATAATGAAAATGGGTATAATATTAGGAGAGCTTAAAAGAACAAAAGAAATAGAAACAGAAGAAAGGCAACACATAAAGGACAATTTAAATAAAATAACAACGCAGCTAGGAACACGGACACAGGGTTTGGACGAGGAAGGGAAAACTACCTTAAAGGATATACGGGACAGGATAGGGAAAAAGGAAAAATCGGACATGGAAAGGCAAGAAAGGATAGAACGCAAGCTCGGAAATCTCGAATCCGAAATCGCCTCCACAAGGGACAAAATGGCTCAGGCGCTATCCTACGCAGAAGTGGCGGCAACCCGCAGCTCAGGTGAAGGAAACCCTCCAGACACCAACCGAAGTTCGACCACGATCCACTCTGTGATCGTGAGTGCGGAGGGCAACCTGGAAACCAGCGACGAGGTTGTCGCCAAAATAAGGAAAGCGGTAAACGCCAAGGAGACGGGCCTCCAAATCGACAGAGTCCGAAAAGTGAGGGACCAAAGGGTTGTTGTCGGCTGCTGTACCACCGCCCAGTTAGAACGGGTCACAGCCCTGCTGACCAAAGATCCAACCCTGACGGTCGAACCCGCCAAAACAAAGGACCCCCTCGTTATCCTGCGGGACCTAAGAGCGGACATAACAGACGAGGATGTCCTGTCGGCCCTCCCAAAGCAGAACAAACACCTGCTTAGCAACTGTAGGGGAGGACGATCTGAAGGCAGAGGTTAGATACCGCAGGAGAGCGAGAAACAACAACACCGTCCATGTCGTTTTGAAGGTCGCTCCCAAACTGTGGAAGGCATTGGTTCGAGAAGGGAAAGTCTACATAGACATGCAGAGGGTCTCCGTGTGGGACCAGTCACCCCTCGTCCAATGCACAAAATGCCTTGCCCACGGGCACGGAAGACGGCAGTGTAAGGAGGAGGAGGAGTTCTGCTCCCACTGCGGCCAGAAAGGCCACAACTTTAAAGATTGCAAGGAGCGAGACAACAAGCCACCTACCTGTCTAAATTGCAACAGAGCAAACCTGGCTCACCGAGACGGGCATGGCCCCTTCTCGCCAAACTGCCCTGAGAGAAAAAGATGGGACACGATAGCAAGAGCTGGAACACAATACATATAACACGTACACACCAAATCATTCATTACACACACACGCATAAACACTAAAAGACACACACCTCACACACACACAATTAACTAAAATTGCTAAAGCCTTTACTACAAAGGATTAACAATTAAGCAACCTCACACAGAAACACACACATTGTAACAACTTACTAAACAATATTATTGAATATTGACAGAAAAGTTAAAACAATGCAAACACTAACACAAACCAAGCATAACACACAACACCTACATTTCACCATACATACAAGACACTAACATAAAACACAAAAGCCACTTTGCCCAGAAATATTCTGTAATATCTGCTGAGCAAACCTGCACACTCACAAAACACACACTCAACAACACAAGAGAGTATTGCCAAGGTTAATAATATTAAAATTGAGCAGGAAACGCTATGGAACGGAATATAGAATTATATTTAAATATAATAGAAAGATAAAAACTAAATACTGTACAAAAATTATAAATAACAAGATATATTACACGTAAACATATATATATGGAAAATGTAAATAAATACAATGTTAAAATAAAACAATGTAACCTAGGACTTAAGAAATGTAAAAAGAAAATAAAACACACAGAGTTAAAACTTATTTAAGAAGATGTATGACTGAAAGAATGAAAGAAATGAGGAATATAATCAGCTTAGTCCACGGCCCGACATTATTTAATGGTCGGGGAGGTAGGCCAGTAGTCAGGATGAAAAAAAAAAAAAAAAAAAACCTAACCTAACCTAACCTAACCTAACCTAACCTAACCTAACCTAACCTAACCTAACCTAACCTTTTTTTTTTTTTTTTTTTTTTTTTTTTACTTGGAGGAATCGACTCTTTACCGACGCCCCCGCCGGGCCACATCGAGTGGCGGGGGGAGTGTGGGGGTCGGCCAGCTTGACCACTACCCACTAAACCTCCAAGAGCCCACGGGAGACTTGCCGGACGCGAGCGAGCGGTTAGTTGCCCTTGACCCGCATGCCCGCGCCCGTGTGTCCTGCCGCGCGTGTTTCCCGCGCGCGGCTCGCCCTACGTGGCCGGTTGATGGCCACGTCTCCTGGCTCGGTCCTAAGACCGAGGTCACGGCTGGCGCCGGGCGTAATCGCGCCGGCGCCGCCCAAGTCTCCTCCGTCGGAGTGCGGGGGCGTCGGGAGCAATCTCCCTCGCCCTCTCCGCTTCCTCCTTTCGCGAGAGGACGTCGGCGCAGAAGGCCTTAAAGGCCTGCCACGGAGCGTCGTCCGCGCTCCTAACTATCCCTGCCACAATGGCGGGCAGGGATAGATCCGCGCCGAATGCTCCGGCCAGGGCAGTCCTCTGACTTGCCCAGGCCGGGCATGCCTCCAAGGTGTGTTGCGCCGTGTCTGAGGCGCATCCGCAGTGATGGCAGGAGTCTGTTTCCTCCCGCCGGATCCTGTGCAGGTATTTGCCGAAGCACCCGTGCCCCGACAAAATCTGCACCGCGTGAAAGGACAAGGATCCCCACCGCTTCGTCCTCAGCCATTCGGGCAGGACGGGCGCGATCGCTTGAAGCGTATGCGCGCCTACCCGAGAGGTGGCAAGATGCTCTTGCCACCGCGCAACGACAACCCTTTGGCCGTCCTCCCTCCAATCCTTGAGGAGCTCGTAAGTGAGCTCCTCGCCTCGACTCCGGACTTCAGCCCGGCGCCAGTAAATGTCGGCCAAGGCAGCCGCCTCCAGGTGCCAGGGTGCGAGCCCGGCTATCGCGCACACCGCGTCATAGGATACGGTGCGGTACGCCCTCGCCACCCTGAGCGCCATCACCCGTTGCGACTGCCTCAGCAGCGCAAGGTTCTGCGCCGACAAATCCTGGGCCCAAATGGGGCAGCCATAGAGCGCCTTGGAGCGCACAACGCCGGCGTACAAGCGGCGACACCCCTCGCTCGAGCCGCCAAGGTTCGGCATAATTCGGCACAAGGCCGATGCCGTGGCGGCGAGCTTCGGGGCAAGTGCCGCAAAGTGCGCCTTGAAGGACCACCGAGAGTCGAGAACCAACCCCAAATACTTTAGGGTGGACCCTATCTCGATGGCCTCTCCGCCGACGATGATTTGCGCCCCGCTCGGCGGCGCTCTCCTGGGACCGTGGAATGCGATCGCCTCTGATTTGTTCAGGGCGACTCGCAGGCCAATCCTCTGGATCCGCGCCACGACCTGTGCCACCCCGGCCGTGGCGCGAAGCTTGGCCTCGCGGAAATTGTCGCCCCTCGCGACCACCAGGGTGTCATCCGCGTAACAGATGACGCTGACACCCGTGATCAGAGAGCAACGCAGGACCCCGTCATAACCGATGTTCCACAGGAGTGGACCTAACACCGACCCCTGCGGCACACCGCAGCTGACGGGGTGGGAACCCCATCCTTGTCTCCTGGGGAACGTGATGCGTCTCGCCGTGAGATACGACGCAATCACGTCGCGAAGATAGACAGGCACGCCATGATAGCGAAGCCCATCCATAATCGCGTCCCAGGGCAGGGTGTTGAACGCGTTGGCAATGTCCAGCGACACCGCCAAAACAACCCCGCCCTCCGCCACAGTCCCGTCTGACACATCGCGCAATCTCGCGATCGCGTCGATTGTCGACCGCCCCTTCCGAAAGCCAAACTGGCAATCGGATAGGTCTGGCCCCTCCAGAGCCAAGTGCTGCTGGATGCGGGTTGCTATTATACGCTCAAAGAGCTTACCCGCTTCGTCCAGCAGCACGATCGGCCGATACGCCGAAGGCGAGTCCGGCGGTTTGCCAGGCTTCTGGAGAAGAACCAGCCTTCCCTCCTTCCACAAGTCCGGGAAGACACGGTTCCGCAGACAAGCCGACAACAGCTTGCGGAACCGCTCGTCGAGGCCGAATTGCAAGGCAAGAGACAGCACCTTCCCGTGCACCCCATCAGGGCCGGGAGCCGTCCTCTTGCCTCGCGTCCTGTCCAAGGCCGAGCTGAGCTCGGCCGATGTCACGTCCGGTGCCCCCGCGTCCGGGGGTGTCGTCGACTGGGAGGGAAGCGAAGCATCCGCATGGGGAAACAAGGCCGACACGACTGAGTTCAGAAGTGCCGGCTCCATGCTGGATGTCAGGGGTGGGGCCCAGGGGCGCAGCTTGCTCATTACGAGCTTGTACGGCCGCCCCCATGGGTCTAGCTCCAAGGTGCTCAGGAGCTCCTCCCACGCCCTTTCCTTCGCCTCCGCGATCTTCATCCTCAGGGCCTTCTTTGCCTCCTGATAGAGGCAATAGAGGCGCCCTTCCTCTTCGGTGTTCCGCGAGGCACGCCGTCTCCTCCTGTACCTGGTGTACTGGCGTCGGGCCACCACACAAGTTGACCGAAGTGCGGCCAACTCCTCCGACCACCAGTACACCTGCCTACGCGGCGGAAGAGGTCGGGACCGAGCCATTGAAGCGTCACAGATACGCTCCAAGGCCGCCCCGAACCACTCCACCTCCTCCCTCACCGAAGAAGACTCCGGCTCTGGACACCAGGTGGCCACTATCGAGGCCACCTCCACCATCTCCCTGTCCAGAGACTTCAGGGCCCAACGAGGGCCCCTCTGCGCCGGAGGGGCGCCAGGCCCGATCGCCGTGGATTGAGAGGAGACACTGAACCGTATGTAACGGTGATCAGACAGCGTCTCCTCCCCGTCCAACACCTCCCAGTCGACGATGCGGCGTGCAAGCCCGGGGCTGGCAAAGGTAAGGTCCACTATGGACCCCCCCTGCATGCGGACGCACGTCTGCGTCGAGCCCCGGTTCACGAGCGCCAGGTTGTGCGCGGCCATCCACTCCACAAGGACGTCGCCACGAACATCCGAGGTTGGGGAACCCCACACTGCCGATTTGGCATTGAAGTCCCCCGCCACGACCACCTCATTCGGGCGACTCCACTGCACAAGGGCATCCACTTCCGCCAGGAACCCCTCGAACTCCGAGAGAGTCCTGTTGGGCGAGAAGTAGACCCCCACAACCGTGATGTGGCCGCACTTCACTGCAGCACAACCCTGGCCTCTCCGTGAAGAGACAATTGGGGGAGAGCCACCGGCTCCGGTGACGACAATGGCGACAGTTTCGCCAATGTCCCCGACCCAATTGTCCCCTTGCTGCACCGCGTATGGCTCCGCAATCACCGCGATGTTTATGGACCACTGCGCCAGGCCCTGGAATAGAAGATCCTGGGCCCTGGCGCAATGATTCAGGTTCGCCTGGAGGAACCGTAGGGCCATACTAGGCCCCTACGGTCTCGGCAACCTCCATCGCGGTCCCGCTCGGAGGGACGGCGGCCCGCTTCTCCGGGACTCTCCGCCGCATCTTTTTGGTGGGGGCCGAGCACTTGGCACCACCCACCCGATGGTTTGCCTCTTTGCCAGCCGCTGCGCAAACCGCGCAATGCGGGCTGGCCGAACACGAGGCCGCCAAGTGCCCAGGCTGACCGCACCTGTAGCAAAGACCGCTACGATCGCTCGCGCAATCGCAACGGCTCGCCACATGGCCAGCCTCCAGGCAACGGTAGCAGCGAAGCGCCCTGGGTTTTCCCAGAGTTACTCTCGCCGCCACCCAACCCACCAAAAGTCTGCCCTCCAGCAGCTTCTTTGCGGAGCCAACGGGGACATGCGCCCAAAGGGCGCCAAGCCCCGTGCGATCCCGCCGGATGTCGCCGACTCGCACCTGCCAGGGAGAACACTCTCCCTTTTTGGCGACAGCAGCCGCCACCTCCTCCTTTGTGACGGAGTCATCCAGGCCCGAGAGCCTGACGTCGACCGCTTTCTGCGGCCGCGTCACCTTGACGACTCCGCTGTCGAAGATCTCCCCGAGCTTGCTCGCGAGAGCATCCGCCTTTGAGCTACTCGCGGCTCCGGGGAGCTGGAGAATGGTGGCTCCAGTCGCCGCCTTTCTGACCTTTAGACCCTCAAGGCCTGTGATAGCCTTGAGGTCCAACTTCTCCCTGGCCTTCCGGAGGACGTCACTGTAGGAGAGTCCCTCCTTGGACCCCTCCTCAGTGACCGTCAGGACGACAGCCGACGACCGAGGAACCCGAAGTTTCGGCTTCTTAGCCGGTTGAGGGCCGGATGCCTTCCCGGCCCCCCTCCTCGGACGCGACCGCACCTCCTTGTCCTTCGCCGCAGGAGCTTGCCGAGCTCGTGTTCGCGTCGGCAACTCCCGGGGCGCCTCCTTGCGAGCCGGCTTCTTCTTCCTGGCCACCGTGACCCAGCCTCCCTCCAGGGAGTCCGGGTTCGGCAGCCTCGCCGGGGATCGCCCTCGGACGGGGGCATCGGGGACGGAAGAGCGGGTCGCGGCAGAAGTGGACGGAACCACCCTACCTGGACCCTTTGGTCCCTTCTTCTTCGCCGCCGCAGCGGCCGCAGGAAGGTCCCTGCCTCTTCCGTCTGCCGCCAATGGCGGCCTGAGTCTGGGCGCGGGGTTCAACCGAGGCTCGAGTCCTTCGAACCTCGCGTTGATGCGTTCCCCTATCTTCCGCAGAAGCCCCGCCTCAAACTCCTCCATGCTGTTGGGGAGCCGAGAGGACTTCTGCAGGTCCTCCACCTGGCGCGCCAATTGCTCCAGCTGCTCCCGGAGCCGCTGGTTTTCGGCGCGCAGAGCCCTCGTCTCCTCACTAACTGTCCTCTGGATGAGGACGGACGAGTTCTCCCTGATGGACGCCACCGCATCCCCCAGAGCGCGGACAAAGGTCCCCTTGAGGTTCCGGGACCCCTTTGCCACGCTCTGAATCACGCCCAAACTCTCCTCGATGCCCCTAAGAGCGTCCGAGGCGGAACGAGGCGCGGAGACACAGGTGCCTGCCATGTCTCCCTCGTCCCACGCGAGCGACGCCACAGAAGAAGGCCGCGTCGATCGGGCTTCCGAGACAGAAGCCATGAGCTCAGCCTCTGCCTGGAGCCGGACCTCCTCCTTTCGGGCCTCATTAAGGGCCTTTTTCGCGGCCGCCAACCCGACGTACTCGCCAGTGGTTGGCGGACGTCCCCTTGGTCGCTTTCCTGCGGCCTTCTTCGCAACAGAGAGAGGGGTGTCTGTGGAAGACCCCTCTTCTGGCGATTTCTCTCCCTCTTTGGGTCGTTTCCGCTTCTGGCGCCAGAAGCGGCTCGACTCCGACTCTCCGACCGGACCGACCGAGGCAGCGGACGACACGCTGACAAGGTCGGAATCCGTATCGGATAAATTGAGCGAGGCCCTGGAGGACCCCGCACTTCTACTGGCCCTTGACAAGGATGACGCCGACAATCTTGTCAGCACCACCCTGGGCCCTCTCCTCACTCCCACTTCTTCCTCTTTTCCTCCTTCCTCTTCACTCCCACTACGTTTTTTGTTTTTATTTTGTTTTTCACCTTCCATTCCTCAAAATTCATGTTTTAAATGTTGCGCCTCGCTACAAGGCGCAACGGCATTTCTTTTGTTTTAAGGGAAATGCTAAGTCCACCCGGGCAGAGCCCTGTACCCGGGTAACCCTAATACAACTGGCGGTCGGGCGGTCGCCAGAGGTTGGCCGCTAGCTGGCCCGGTTACTGCCGGACCACCCACTCACCCTGCGGGCAAGCGGGGGCGCAGTGCCGCGCAGAGGTCCGAAGACGCCCCAACACCACGCAAAATTCAGGGTTTTTTCTGAGGTTTTCCTTCCTCTTGGGCCGGCCGATTAAGGCAAGCCCCCTGGTCCCAGGTGCGCCGCGAGACATGATCCACGACACGCACCCGGGGAAACAGGTTTGCCCGACGGAGGGCCGAACCCCCTAACCAGGCGCAGCACATCGCCACGCCCGGCCCGCCGCGCCGCGGTCCACCACCACCGCCGTCCGTGGTGACTCCACCACCATACTACGCCATGAAGGCCACTGGTCTCAACAGACCCCAACAATCGTGCTCGGAGGCACGCTCGCAGCGCTCTGAGGTGAGCGCTGCGTCTCCGTGATCGGTCTCCGCGTCGTCTTCGGAGACCGACCGATGGATCCAATTAGCTTCGTCGTGCAATAGTGGCCAGAATCGGCAGACCCACAGACAGTCTGTTGCCGATTAGGCACCTGGCCACTATAATAAGCACCGACTACTGAGCCCCCCCGCCGCGACAAGGCCTGGATCATGGGGGGGAACCTAACCTAACCTAACCTAACCTAACCTAACCTAACCAGTCGCAGCCCATCCGCCGAGCGGAGCGCACACGTTCCGCGTCGCTCCGCACTTTAAAAATCCGGAAAATAGTCAAAGTTTGAATATCAAAGTGAAAGTTATGCCAAAGTGTAGTGTTTTGTGTTCTCTACACGGGAGTGTAATTATCTTGGACCTGGACCAAAAATTCCGGGACTTAGGACCTCATTTGGACCTTTTTAGGTTAAAAATTGACTAAGTTAAGTGGTTTCATGTGTGCGGCTCTCGATTTATCGCGGTAACCCCATGTTATTATTATGTACTTTTAAAGTGACTGTGGACTTCTACATTCTGTGAAAATTTCAGATTTTTACCATGTGTTTTTACAAAGTTATGGACTTTTTTCCGAAAACCACGTATCAGTGAAAATCGAAAATACAAGTGTAAGTGTCGATTTTCGTGGAAAATTTTTTCGTCATTTCTTCGAGAGATAATATCTCGCTGGAACGATCGGTGACACCCCTTTTTGGACTTTTATTATGTTAGTGCTCAGTGCAAAGAACATTCCTGCCAATTTCCGAATTTTTTCCGTGAGTACTTTTAAAGATATTGACTTTTTACAAAAAACCACGTGGCGACAAAAGTGACATTTTTGTGCATCAGGGCCTTGTGTTATACATCGTTGGAACCGCCGTTCGACGCCCTTTTCAACGGTATATTAGACATTTTGCTCACTCAAAAATTTCTGCCAAAAATCGCTTTTTGCAGAAAATGGTCAGCCCACCTTGACTTTGTAAAATTTTTGTGAAGTGCAGTGAAGGACTATAATTATATGAACATTACTAGCTTATAGAACATTTATTCAAGTGCAATCCAGACAATTTTCATGACCCTCAGTCAAATAGTGTATTTTTAGCGAATTTTTCCCCGGAAGCGGTACAAATCCGCCATTCCCGCATAACTTTGTAAAGCGCGGTCGCTCGAAACTAAGCGTCGGAGAGCAGTTCACTCTGTGTGAAGCAATTATAAGGGCAACCAACATCGTGAGCTTTCCACCACCTCCAGAATCGAAGATTTTTGTACTTCGAGGGGAATAACTCCTGGACCCGAAGAGCTGGTCTGGTCCCGACCATGGGGGATCAGAGTAGAGGTCCTGGCGCAACGGGGACAGGTGACCCCCCCCTCCTCCCCTCCACCATTGAGGAGATATCATGTGTGGACTCCTTTCAAAACGTTCTTGGAAAATTGCTTACATGCATTATAGAAACAGTTAACGACGGTAAACACGTAACTGCTGCCAACCGAAGAAAAATCGTTGCGGCTGCCGAGGAAATCCGCTCAGCAGCCCGCATATTACCTGGCATCATTGGCGCACCACTCCAGTCGTCTTCGCAATCTCCCATCGCCTCCGATGACCTTAAAAAGGATATTATTGATGCGGTGCGAAAGGAGATGACCAGCTTTAAGCAGCAGTTCGCTGCTGCCCACCAGCCATCACCTATCATGACTCATGCCCAGGCAGTCCGTGCAACTCCTTCTCGGTCTGTAACTTTCCCGATAGCTTCCCCTCCTACCCCTCCCGTCTCCAAACCCGCCCTCATCGTATCATCGAAGAAAGAATCTTCATCTTCTTCTGACACGTTAAACTGCTGGAGGAAGAACGTGTCCTTCCGGGACACTAACTTCGCCCCGGCGGGCGTCCACTTTGTCGCGAACGGCAAGCTGCGCGTCGAGTTCGACCGTCCAGAACAGCTGGAGGTCGCCATGAGGAAGATTGGAGAGTCCAACCCCGAGATCCAGGCCGAAGTCTCTCGTAAGTTAAGACCTATGTTCATTGTCAAGGGTGTTAGCTCTGATATCTCCGCCACTGATCTTAAATATATCATCATTAATCAAAACGAAAATATCAAAGCTAACATCCGAAACGAAGCCGACATTGAGTTTAAGTTTAAACGACCCAACAGAAACTCGAACCTTTATAATGCTGTATTTGTCTCTGCTCCTTACCTTTGGCGCCATGTCGTTCAATCACTTAAGCTCAACGTCGACCATCAACGTGTTCACGTTGAAGATTTCACCCCGCTCTTACAATGTTTTAAATGCCTCAAGTTTGGTCACACCCGTAAATTTTGCAAAACCGAGGAGACCCATTGCTCTCACTGTGCTGATTCCAACCATGAATTTAAAGATTGCCCTGTCAAAAAAGACTCTCATAAGCTAACGTGTTACAACTGCAAATTATATTATAAAGATAAGAACAGTGAGAGCAAGGGGCCTCTAGATCACGGGGCAGCTTCAGATGCTTGTCCAAGGAAGCAGTTTATGGTCGGCCGAACTAAATCCAAGGTTGATTATGGATCATAGTTCTTTTAATTATAACACCCTTAGTTCTACATATATCTCCAACAGTAACAATTATAAAAATTCCATACAAATCAACCTTGGACGTAGTCGAAACGCTCTACACGAGCTTCTTACTTATATTTCAGATAGCGCACCTGAGTTTGTCTTTATTACTGAACCGTATACTAGTAACATTGACTCTTTAAAAATGACTAACTCTGACTATACACTTTATCAATTCCCTACTTCCCGTCCCACCCTTGCAGCCCTTGCTATCCGAAAAAACACTGTTTCCACCCTTGGTATTTCCTCACATTCCACCTCTAATCTTTGCATTGTTCAATGTAGAGATAGTACGTCTAACAGAAAGATTTTCCTAATTTCCGTATATATAGAACCTCGACATGACCCATATAACACTTTAGCTAACTTAGAACAGTTTATTTTATGTAATAATAACGCCTCATTTCTAATCTGCGGGGACTTTAACGGATGGCACGGTTTATGGGGTTCTAGAGCTAACAATGATAGGGGAGATCTAATCTTTGACCTTATCTGCAATAATAATTTCATCATACACAACACAGGCAACTCACCAACATTTCACACAGTCACACACCAACTTCCACGCGAATCAATCATAGATCTCACACTCACTAGTAATTGCTCACACATTCATATTAACAATTGGTCAGTTAATTCGGGTTTAATAGTCAGTTCAGATCATTTTCCAATTACTTTTAAAGTTTCGTTTAATAATATTGCATTAACTAAAAACAAAAAACTCTCTACATTTAGATACAACACAGCCTTCATTCGTTGGAAGGACATACAAGACAAATTTGCAGATGAGGTCGGGAGGGAGCTCCCCTCTGTAGAGACCATAAACTCTGCGAACTCACATGACCTAGACAATATTATTAATAAACTTACCTCGACTTTACAAAAGACATGCGACAAGTTACTCCCCCGATCCCGTCACGCCCCTCCCAAAGCTCCCTTCTGGAATGAAAACCTACAGTCATTAAAGGAAAAGGTTCTACACGCACACCACAGGTTATGTCGATTCGTACGACGCAAACTACCCCTTAATAACGTTATCGTCGAGAGGGATAGAGCTCGAAGAGAGTATTCGACTGCTTTCTGCGCCGCCTCTACTGAACATTTCAGAGAATTCTGTACCAGACAAACTAAAGAGGATGTCTGGTCGGTAACCAATCGTTTAATTAAAACTAAACCCCTCTCTCAACCACCCTCTACCCTCCGTCTTAGTGATGGTTCCTACACCTCCTCCACGCACGACACTGCTGACGCTCTAATAAGAAACTTTTTCCCCGACGACTCTAATGACGTAACTGACGCACAAATAGCTACTAGGACATTAATGAGTCAACCTATTAACACGCTTCCCGAACCTAATTTTACCTTTATTGAAATACTTAATGGACTCCGACAAATGAATCACAAAAAAGCCCCTGGAATTGACCACTTGACCTCTGACATATGTTTACAGTTTGCTACTTGTTTCCCCGACTTTATTACAACTTTATACAATAGATGCCTTACTTTATTATATTTCCCTCGTCCCTGGAAACACGCCGTAGTCAAAATCATCCCTAAGCCCGGCAAAGATAATTACTCTCAACTATCCTCCTTTCGCCCTATCGGACTCATTAATGTTCTCGGAAAATTACTCGAAAGACTTATAATTGACCGACTTACCTTTCACCTTAATCGACTACGACTCAGCAATCCTCGACAGTTCGGGTTTAAACAGCAGACTTCCACTTCTAAAGCTATCATTACAGCTTTAGATTTAATAAGATCTAAGAAGGCACGCGGGGAGCACGTTATCGCTGTGTCCCTCGATATCAAAGCCGCGTTTGATAACGCGTGGTGGCCTGCTGTTTTCGCCCGACTACGACATTATGACTGCCCTAGCAATATATATTATATACTCCTCAATTATATACAAAATAGAACAGTAGGTATCGACTTTTCCGACATATCTGTGACTAAGACTATGCGCAGGGGTTGCGTGCAGGGTTCCGTATGTGGTCCCACTATGTGGAACCTAATTATGGACGAACTACTTGACATTGACCTCCCCACTGGCTGCCATATTCAGGCCTACGCTGACGATGTCCTACTCATCACTCACTCATCATCCCTCTCCGACTTACAGACTATAACTAACAATGCACTTGACTTAATCTATAACTGGGGTTCAAACGTTAAATTACGCTTTGGCCCTGAGAAGACAACCCTAACCGCGTTCACCAATAAAGCAAACTCAGTTAGCGTTATCATGAATAATGTACAGTTAGAATTTGTAAGTAGTTTTAAGTATTTAGGTATAATCATAGATAATAAGTTTAAATTCACTCAGCATTCAATGTATATAATCGAAAAATCTAAGAAATTATTTCACAAACTATTATTATTTACTCGGCCCACTTGGGGAATACATTCCGAAAATATACGGACTATTTATGAGCAAGTTATAATTCCTATAATATGTTATGCCGCTAACATCTGGTCTAATTCGTTAAAATATAAATTCATTGTTAAAAAATTCTTGTCACTTCAACGTTTATTTGCCATTAAGATAGTTCATGGTTTCCGCACTCTCAGCACTATTACTTCTATTTCTATAGCTCAACTCATCCCTCTCCCTGAAAAGATAAAGTCCGTCGCAACCATCGAAACCTCTAAACACCTTGGTTACTCCTCTTTCCTTCCCTCTGATATTCCACTAGAAAAACCCTCTCCCCCGTCGTCTCTATTACATCCGTCCCTTCGCACCCCTATCACCTTCACCGAGATTAGCTCGATGGAGGAATTCTCATCCCTTAGCATAAATTATTCCTACCATATATTCACAGATGGCAGTAAACACGATGGCGTTGTTGGCGCGGCATTTGTGGCATTTGATCCATGCGAAGTTTACGTCACTAAAAAATTTAAATTACACCCCTCCTGTTCTGTATTTCAAGCTGAAATGCTTGCAATCCACAAAGCATGCGAGTGGATTGCCTCCAATAGTAATAACATTAACTCCTGTATCATTTTCTCAGACAGTAAATCTTCTTTACAAGAATTATCAAACCCATATTCATATAATACTTTTGCCGTTAACATCTTTCACCTCCTACATACTTTATCGTCTAGTAATATTAATGTCGGCTTCGCATGGGTCAAGGCACACATAGGCATAGCTGGCAATGAGATCGCTGACATTGCTGCGAAATCTGCTGCCTCCCTTCATAAATCACCTGACTTTATCCACACCCCTATTTCCCACATTAAACTCCGTTTACGCGACTCACTTATGGACTCTAGGAAATCATTCTACGAACAACCCCTTACCTCTTGTCATACTAAAAAATACCTTCCGACATTTGATGACCTCTCCGCATTCCTCTCCGTTATTAAACCCTCTTTTGCCATAACTCAATTTCTTACAAATCACTCCTTCAATAAATCTTACCTACATAGATTCAACATAACGCCCGACGATCTCTGCCCTTGTGATAGTGCTGAGAAACAAACATTTGATCATTTAATATTTTCCTGTCCACGATTTAGCAACACCCGTTTAGATTTCTATATTTCTTGTAATAATTTTAAAATTGACGTACAACAACCTTTGTTTTTAACCAAAGTAATAAAGAAATGTGAAACAACAGATTTATTCATTAAACATATAGAAAATATTGTTAATAACCTTAAAGCATTTAACAATACCTAGGCTAATCTAATTTAAGTCAACCATTGTAAATAAAAATTAGTTATAAGTTAGTATTAAGAACATATTGTAATCTTAATAAAAACCCTGTTTGCGAGTCTATACACCAATAAAAGTACACACACATACACACATCCCGAGAATTCTGGCGTAAACCATAAGCGCCGTTTCTAAAGTCTTCGGGTTCTCTCTCCTCCTCGGCCCCGGAGCAATGCTGCCGGGGATGGTAGGCTTAGTAGGACCCAAACACACAAAAAAAAAAAAAAACCTAACCATATAACGTTGGAATAAAAACATTGTAACCTAGGACTTAAGAAATGTAAAAAGAAAATAAAACACACAGAGTAAAACTTATTTAAGAAGATGAATGACTGAAAGAATGAAAGAAATGAGGAATATAACCAGCTTAGTCCACGGCCCGACATTATTTAATGGTCGGGGAGGTAGGCCAGTAGTCAGGAAAAAAAAAAAAACCTAACCTAACCTAACCTAACCTTGTAGCTGGTTTCCGAAACCCCAGCACACAGGTAATAAGCACCCGAACACTGCGCACACGACACAGAGTCCATCAAAGGTTCATTACATTTGGTAAAATTCATGTTAAAAACACGAGTAGTGTCCCAAAAAGCCAAAGAAGAAAGTTTCATTGTTCTAGCTTCAAAAACCACGATTTTACAAACTTTTTTTACCTTTTTCAACCCTCATCAACCCTTTTTTTGGTATTAAAAAGTAGTATATGTCCTTTCTCAGGCTCTAGAATTTCATTTAAATCAGTTCAGCAGTTTCGGATTAAAGCCGGACAGACAGACAGACAAAGTTACTTTCGCATTTATAATATTAGTATAGATTTATTTAAATAAAAGTGTATAAATGGTATGTATTTTGTTCGGCATTTCTATCACTTCGTTAAATGTAAAAAAGTAGTTATAGTGATGTAACTACAATAGTTAGACTAATAGGTCTCGCGATGTTTTTTTTGTAGATATTGATTTTTTCTATAATATTGTCGAACATTTTTTTGTCCTATCATTAATACTCTTCGCAGCGTATGCGATGAAAGACATTTTATGGCAATTTTTTTACGCTTCCCGTTGCTTTTAATAGAAATTTCTAAAGATTTCTATCGTAATCTACTACTAAGTATAGTCTTTTTTACTTAGTGATAATGTAGCTTTCTAATGAAAAAAGATTTATTAAAATCGGTCAGTACTTTTTTAATTTATCCGATACATACCAAGATACAAATATTTCCTCTTTATAATATTAGTGTATATTGCTGTTGCCCACGATATTCGCATCCCGTCGTTCGGGTCGTTCTTGCCAGTTAATCTTAAAAGATAGGCATATATCATTTAAAGGGGATTATTTTTTTTTACACAATTTTTAGGTATCTTGAACCGTTTTCGCAGCGTACGCATCTGAAACCTAGAGAGATGAAAAAGTCCCCCGTTTTGTTCACATTTCTCGCTGTGTCTTCGCTCGTATTAGACAACACGCAATGTGTTATAGCCTATAACCTTCCTCGATAAATGCTCTAACCAACACAACAATAATTTTAATTCAAAACCGTACTTTCTGAGATAAGCGCGTGCAAACAAACAAACAAACTCTTCAGCTTTATATATTAGTATAGTCTCCTCCGTCGGAGAGCGGGGGCGTCGGGAGCAATCTCCCTCGCCCTGGAGCCTTATCTCCTCTCTTTTGGCCTTCACTAAAGCCTGCTTCGCCGCAGCCAGTCCGACGTAATCAGCGGTTGTCGGTAGGCGACCTCTCCCTCTCGGCTTGGACGATTCTGGCGCCTCACTTCCACTCTCACCGGATTCACCAGACCGACTTCTGCGGACCGCGGTAGCGCTTCACTCCTTTTGTGTCACAACTCGACACCGTCTCCATAGACCCTACGGACGAGTCCGAGAGGCCCTGGAGGACCCCGCACTACGGCTAGCCCTTTACAGGGATGACGCCGACAATCGTGTCACCGCCACCCTGAGCGCCTTGAGAGCCCCTCCCGCCTATCTTTATCCTCTCCTCTCTTCTCCTCTTCTTCTATCTCCTTCCTTTCACTATATTTTTTTGATTTTTGTTTCTCTCCTTCCATTTTTCGGTATCATAAAACAAAGGCGCAACAACATTTCTTTCGTTTTGAGGGAAATGCAAAGTTCACCCGGGCAGAGCTCTGTATCTGGGTAACCCCAATACAACTGGCGGTCGGGCGGTCGCCAGAGGTTGGCCGCTAGATGGCCCGGTTACTGCCGGACCACCCACTCACCCTGCGGCGAAGCGGGGGCGCGGTGTCGCGCAGAGGTCCGTAGACGCCTCCACACCACGCAAAATTCAGGGCTTTTTCTGAGGTTTTCCTTCCTCTCGGGCCGGCCCATTAAGGCGAGCCCCCTGGTCCCAGATGCGCCGCGAAAAATGATCCACGACACGCACCCGAGGCAACAGGTTTGCCCGACGGAGGGCCGAAACCCCTAACCAGGCGCAGCACATCGCCACGCCTGGCCCTCCGGGCCGCGGTCCACCACCACCGCCGTCTGTGGTGTCTCCACCACCATACAACGCCATAAAGGCCGCTGGTCTCAACAGACCCTATCATCCGTGCTCGGAGGCACGCTCGTAACGCTCTGGGATGAGCGCTGCGTCTCCGTGATCGGTCTCCGCGTCGTCTTCGGAGACCGACCGATGCAATTCGCTTAGTCGGTGCAATAGTGGCCAGAATCGGCAGACCCACAGACAAGTCTGTTTCCGATTAGGCACCTGGCCACCATATAAAAGGCACCAAATACTGAGCCCCCCGTCGCGACAAGGCCGGGACTTTGGGGGGGTGGTGTGTGGCCTGCGGATAGTAGGGGGAGGTGCTCCAGTTCTTTACCTCAGACCCCGACTACATTCAACTCGCGCGCCATCTGTACATAATAACTAAAAGTTAATAACAATAAACTTACGTCCAATAGTGTTTTTTTTTTTTTGATAATATATTTAGATTTTTCGGCACTTAGACCTTTTACAGAAATAAAAGAAAATCAGGCACTTTAATTGCCTGAAATTGTTTTATTTTTATTGTTGCGGACAGCGCCATCTATAGGTTGATTCAAAACTATATCTAATTAAGCCTACACAGCCTGTGGAAATAATTGTCTCACTTTCATTTATCCATAATCTAAAAATTATATTAATATTAATTTCATTTGTAAAAACCCATAATACCGTTTCGATGTACAAGACATCACACATTTTTTTTTTTTTCAAAATAATAATTTAAGAATCGATTATGAATTTAATAAAAATTTCAACTATTTTGCTCTAACTAATTGATCTACCGACCTACATGTCATCGTCGATTTCTTTCAACCTATTGATACGTGCACCTCCCGCGCATAATAATACTAGGGATTCAATTGGTACCAGTTTCAGCTGTGCTGCTGATTGCTGGCCCGGGTATATTAGAAGAGTGAAGTTTATAAGATGAATTTTACACATAATCATACTCTTTCGTGGAAGGAGGTTGAGTTTTACTTGTTTATTGATAATTAAAACGGGCACAGATCTATGGGAGACCATAGATCTGTGCCCGTTTTAATTATCAATAAAACATGCGGAGACGCATGTTTTAAAACCTATTTATGTAGATGGAATGAAAAAAAATATTTATTTATGCAGCTTGACTTCTTTTTCGGTAAAATTTATTAAGCATTCCTATTTTACAAAAGTGCGATGCATGACTAGTGACTTAATCAAATATAAGTATTTCTGAAAAACAGATTTTTTTTAGATCATTTAAAGAGGAATCATTCTCTCATACATATTTTTGGGTGTTTTGATCCGTTTTCCCAGCGTACGCATCTGAAACTTGAAGAGATGAAAAATTTCGTTTACATTTCTCTCTGTATCTTCGCTTATATTAGTCACAGTGCGATGTTCCTGGGGTTAGCGCGTTTAAACAAACTAACAGCTTTATATATTAGTATAGACATAGATATGAAACCAGTAGTCTATACTCTATTTACATATTAACTTCACAAATTCAAAACAAATATTGCCTTGCATGCACAAGAAAAATATTAGGGATGTCGATGAAAAAATCGATTAATTATCGAAGAATATGAGGTACTTATAATCGATACTACTTTACTTCTTTTATATATTTTTTTTTATTACAATAATGTGACGAAATTATGTTTAATCTTAAATTAACTCTATTGCCGCCCCTGGATGTGTCTGGTCCCGTATGTGTTAAGACTCGATGTTATATGCTGTTTAATGCACTGATACATTGTAACATGCTAAGTAAGGTCTCGATTTGTAATCAAAGTGCTTTTGTTTTATATTTTTTTATTCCCTTAGCAAATGCATAGATTTGCAAAGGGAATAAAACAATATAATTCCAGCGCGAAGAAATATAATTGTTGGCAACATTAAGTCATTTCTCCATCTGAAAATGTACATAATCTGTGCATTAGCTGCCGATGTTGTTTCTGATACAGAAAACTTAATTAATTCGTATTTCGTGTAATAACACAAACAGTGTAAATTACAACTAAAATATATCGATAAGTTTTAATTGAAAAATGACAGACATTCTAGATATATTAGATATAGAACAACCGAGTGCTTCTGAAGTCACTAGGGACAGCATCATACATGGTGATAAAAATAAGAAGAAATATGTTACTGCTAAAACAGTACGGAGACCTGAAGGAATGCATCGTGAAGTATTTGCCTTACTTTATAATGACAATAAGGAATTGCCTCCTTTATTGCCCACCGATACTGGTAAGAATTCTCCTATTTGTACTGTACCTATGAAGACAGTAATTTTGTATCAGGAATGTAAATTATTATTCAATAATACTCAAAAATTTAATTGTACTTAGACTACAGCTATTGGTTAAAGTTAGGTCCCATATGAGGAGAGTATATTAAAACTTCTCATTTCGCTATACATATATTTATATCAATAATATTTTTGTGATTAAAAAAAGGTAAGGGATATAAGCAGAATAAAGCAAAACTTGGTATGCGTAAGGCAAGGAAATGGGTTTGGGCTCCATTTACAAACCCCGCACGTAAGGATAATGCTGTATTTCATCATTGGAAACGTGCTGCTGATGAGGCCAAAGAATATCCATTTGCCCAATTTAATAAGGTGAGACTATTTCGTAAGTCCATGTTTTACAAGTAGATGTAAGAAATTATAGATCTAATGCACCAGTAGTACATGATAAAACAACAATAGCTTAAATTGTGAATTTTAATGATATTTTTAATCACACATAAATAACAATTAAAAAAAGACAAGTTTTTTTTAGCAAGTTTCAATCCCATCATATTCTGAATCGGAATATAACCAGTACTTGAAATCAGAAGATTGGAGTCAAGCTGAAACAGATCATCTGATGGATCTGTGTCAGAGATTTGATCTTCGTTTTATAGTGATTCATGATAGATGGGATAGAGCTGCTTTCAGAGATAGGAGCATCGAAGACTTAAAGGAGCGATATTATAATATTTGTGGTATTCTCAGTAAGGTAATATGTACTGTATAACATTGCTTACCTTATGTATGAATGTTGAGTAGACTAATCGATTCCAATATTGTATCTCCATTTTACTGCTTGTAGGTTAAGACAAATCCTTGGTCCAACACAGTGACACTAGTTAATGGTGAGAAAAGAGTATATCATTATGATGCTGACCATGAAAGAAAAAGAAAGGAGCAATTAAAAAGACTTTTTGAAAGAACTCAAGAACAAGTAAGTCTCATATGAATAAAATAATCAATGGTCATATCAACTATCAATGTATATTTACTAAACATATGTGTTTTATTCCTTTTCTGCAGATTGATGAAGAACAAATGCTGATTGCTGAGTTGAAAAAAATAGAGGCAAGAAAACGGGAAAGAGAAAGAAAGACCCAAGACCTCCAAAAACTTATTTCCAGAGCAGACAGTGGCAGTAATACTTTAAATACAGGAAATACTAATGACGTTTCTAATACACCAACTAATGCAGCAAACATGTCAAGAAGGCATGATAGAAAATTGCATAAGAAAAAGTTATCTTCACAACAGAGACCAGTTCGTGCTTTGGAGGCAGTGGTATGCTTAAACTTGAAATACACAACAGATTAGCAACTTAAAACTGAAAAATAATTAAATATTACTCCTAAGTGTTAATTTCTCCTTTTTATTATAATGTATATAATCATTATGACAATTTTTTTAGACTGTGGAGTGGTCAGGTATCAAGTTTCCGGAAGCAAGAGGAACAGGTGTGTGGTTGCGGTCCCAGCGTATGAAACTGCCTCCTGGAGTAGGCCAGAGGAAAACCAAAGCAATTGAACAAGAACTACGACTTATGTCAATTGGTATTTTAATTTTTCTGTCAACATATCTTAGGTCACTGACCAATTATAGCTAAATATCATTACAATTTTTAGACATAGCTCCAACACCTACTGAAGCTATTTGTAAACATTTTAATGAGTTGCGTTCAGATTTGGCACTAGCATTGGATTTAAAGAATGCATTGGCTTCCTGTGAATTTGAATTGCAAGCATTGAGGCACCAATATGAAGCGTTGAATCCTGGCAAGGTATGTATGCACTGGTTCTAACAAGCGTCTTCAACTACAATTTTTATTATCTCCAAATTTCATTGCAGACATTGACCATACCGCCTTCAATATGCAACACTTCCACAGATGTAGAAAGCAAGCCCGTGGGTGAAATTATCGATGTAGTTGGGTCTCCGAGTGCAGTAAATAATACCATTTAGGATTTGAATATATTGGAAAGTAAAAATTGTTGTATGCTTCTTTATTACACTCTTTAGTGGAAAGTTATGCTGTTTTATTAAGCTGTCTTTAAACTCCTCAATCCTTACCCAGTCCCTGAGTCGTTTGGCCACTGAGAAAAGTCCTCAGCCCCACTTATGTCTATTTATATACTCATATTCTTGAGTATCAACTTATTTGTATGTATTTAGAACACAAAGCATTCTCACTAAATGCAATTTCTTAGTATAAGGTAAAGCTTGTTAATTTATAACCTACTATTTCAGATGCTATTAACACACATGTCTAGAAATAAAAATATTAAAAGTGAATAGTTTTAATTACACTCATATTTACAATTAATTGATTTGACTTTTACTTAAAAAATTCAAATGACACTAGACAGCTCCTTTTGGAGCGCCATAAGCGTCTGGCATCCTTTCAATTGTGTACTTGTGATCAGCCACGGACATTATAGGAACTCCAGGTATTTTTCGCAGTCGTCTTTTCAGGTCTTTATCATTTGTTGCCACAATATAACATTTGTGTTGTGTTACTCTTTGTACAATACAGTCATCTGCATATGTCCCTTTATGTAAACATCCTAGTCTTTCAAATCGAGGATCTTTGATGATTCTTAAAGCTACTCTATATTTTCTTCCCAATTTTTCCAACTCTCCTAACACACAATCGGTAATATATGGAATGCATTTAGCATATAAACAATCCATCATGTTCTGAACAATATCTAATTTGTTTTTAATAGAGAAATTTATAAAATTCGTATCAACTATAAGATGGTAAGGTGGCCCAAGTTGCATATTATACTGAAAGAATAAAGCTGAGCTTGACTTTGGAACTTCTCGTATTTTTAAAACGTGGGGATCCGGTTTCTTTCTCTTGGAAGTCTGACGATCACTTGGCTTTAGCCTGCTATCCCTGGGGTTAATCATTTTCTTCATTTGCCCAAATCTCTTTTCAACAATTTTTCTCGTTTTCTTTTGTTTACCCTAAAAAATAAAGCTGTTATAAAACGAAATTTGATATTTCACACGCGAGATTTAAAAGAAATTTTTACCATAGCTGATATTAATTTGATTTATCGACTTATAAAGAAGTTTGATCCAGTGTGAATAGTTTCCCTTGTATTATTAAACTCCGATTGATAATTTTTATTAAATATGATAACCTCTCAATTTGCCAATGGCCGTGTCGATTCAATAGGCACTAGGCTGTAGGCAACATAGCAAATAGCAATCGCCAATCGGGGGCTGTTTATTGTGTTGCCCCTACTTAAAAAAATCTTATTTTTGAACAGCAACATTTAGGTCAGTTGGCACTAACTCGAGAACAAATAACAAATCTCTAAATTGCTAAATGTATTTTGTCATCACTCATAAGTGTTCATTATTACCAACTTTGACTTTGACTTTCACAATTGCACAGATTAAAATCTCTTTAGTTTGACATTTACATAAGGAGTGTATGTATTAATGTGGTGTAGGCCACAGATTAATACATACCATCAGCTAGCTAGTCTGCACGAGTTACTTTATAAAAACGTCAGATTATTACAGAATTAAATTTTATTCAACAGAAGGTCTTGTTGAGAATAAAAACAAAGCGATTTTTCAATACAAAATGAGTAGTCAAATGTCGGCTATAGATCTTTTAAAACTTGGGGATGAAGATAGAAAAAAACCCTTTCTAAATCAGTATTGGTCGTATATTGTGGGTGTTGCTTTTGGCCTCGGTACAGGGATCTATATGAATTTTGGTACTCGCCGACCTGTCATGAGTGGTAAGCCATTATATAATAACAAACACATTATATACCCATTTCTATTATTTTGTTTCTTGGAGATCATATAACTTAAACCTTTCTACTATTAAAGGAATTCAAAAACATGTAATTGCTAGTGCTGGCTGGTGTGCTATCCTATCATATGTTCATAAGATGAGAGATGATTATTTGGCTGAGAAAGACGCAGTTTATAGACATTATATTGAGTTACACCCTGAAGATTTCCCAGTTCCAGGTAAGATTGCCTTGCTTTGAAATAAAGATAGGTTACTAACGACTACCAACTAAATTACAAATTTAACTTTTAACATAACTGTCTGTTAGTATTAACACAATTTTTTAAATACAACATCATTATTAATAACATTATTCCCTTTCAGAGAGGAAGAAAATAGGCGACCTATTTGAACCTTGGGTGCCTGTAAGATAAATTAAATTAGTTGTGCAAATATAAATTATTAAATAGTAAAATAAAATTTGTTGACTGAAATAAAACTCCTTCATCAGTTGAATATGCTTTATTGTATTTGATATCCTATAAATTAAATTTCTTCATTACAACTTGTTAGACATTCACACCGTAGATAATGGATGTCCACCATTAATTTCTCCATCGAAATTAAGTCTTAAGACTGTTTGAATATACTTAAACTCTTACAATTTATCCGATATTGAATGAAATAAAGAAATGATTCACAGATAAAAACAATTAACTGAAAGCTGATTGGTTTAACTCAGTGAATCCCCAAAGACTGAATGGCTGAATAGATATAATCCCTGGTTCTTATTCCTTAAATTGACCTCATTAAGGTATGTGGAATCCTTAGATGTTGAAGGCATTATCTTTACACTTTCTACATTATCTATGATATTGGCACTATAGCTATCACTCTGTTTAGGTCTATCGGTTCCAAAGCAAATACCATGCTTTTTTGCTTTGTGTTGTCTCTGAAAATAAGATACAATAATTATGTTTAAAGGAATAATTCAAATGCTTCATGTTGATGAATAATTTTCCAACCAACACAAAAACAGCTTTTCAATACGAACCGGTACAAACTCCTCAGCTTTATATATTAGTATATATATAGATTACTTACAAATTCTCTTTTCTGAGAAAAGCCCTTGTCACAAAGTTCACATTTGAAGTTCTTGAAGCCCGTGTGTTTTGTCATATGCCTATGTAATTCACTTGTTGTAACAAACCCCTTCTTGCACACTTCACACACCTGAAATAATATGATTAAGTATGAGATCAGGTGTCAGGTTTTTTATATGTAGGTAAAGGTAATATTTGTGTGTATATGTAAGAGAAAGCCAACTATTTCAAACGCATGCTACAACTCTGCTCATATGTTAAGGAAGTGATCAATATTAAAATAAACAAATGGGAAATGTTTAAGACACTTACATGATCTTTTTGACCAGTATGAGTTTTCAAGTGTACTGTCAAATTACCCTGTGTAGAGAATGTTTTGCTAAAAGATCAAATTCAGTATTGAGCATATAATATGACATTAATGGATACAAGTTTAATTACCTGCATTCATGTCTCACCTACACATTTCACATTGATATGGTTTCTCTCCAGTATGTATACGTAAATGTATCGTTAGGTTGTGTTTCTGTGTAAATTGTTTAGAACAGAATACACAACAAAATGGCTTATCCCCTGTATGTGTCCTAACAAAAGAAATATTTAAGTATTGCTTATTAGAATAATATACATAGTTTGATGAGCTCATCTTGAAAATAATAAGCTAACCATAGAAAATGTATTGAGTGTTTGAGATAATTACAAGAATCACATATATATGCAACTTAGAAAGATTGTCTAACACTAAAGTAAATAAGAAGTCTATATTGTAGACTAGCTGTGCCAGCAACCTTGTCCGTGTATAATTGTTATTTTGCGCATCGAAATTTGTTTCTGGAAGTCTGCCTCTTCATCTTTATAAATTAAAGGTGCGCAAGAGTCGCCCACGGCATTCGTAGAGTCCCGTCGTCCTTGCAAGTTATTTTTTAAAGATAGACATATAGTGATGCCCATATATTTTCTGATCATTTAAAGAGTAATGATACTTTCATATAAATTTTTTTGGTGTCTTGAACCATTTTCGCAGCATACGCATAGGAAACCCACAGAGATGAATATTTTCCCCCGTTTTTTCCACATTTCCCTTTGTTTCTTCACTCCTATTAGTCACAACGTGATTTTTTAAAGCCTTCCTCAATAAACACTCTACCTAACAAAATTTTTCCATTCGAACCAGTAGTTCTGGAGATTACTTCGTTCAAACAAACTCTCCAGCTTTATATATTAAGTATAGATTGCTTAGTAAATGGCTCAATTAACCTTATGTGTATTTCTAATTGTGTTTGACATCGGAATTGCTTGTGACATTCCGAACATTCATGCACCTGTTTAGGTTTTGGTTTTGGGCCCCGTCTTAATTTTTCCGCTTCCGGTTTCTTTCTACATCTTTTCCTTTGTTCTGTTTTACATTTGTTACTGAAAATTGGAGAAACTGTTATAATCTTTAACTATGATTGGAAAGTGTTTGAGAAAGTAAGATATACTGACCATCTCTTTATAAGAGTAGTTTTCTGAACTACCTGGAATTAGTTAAAATTTTTATAAACATCTCAGTGGGGATAGGTTTAAAAGATATTTGAAATGAAAAACTAACCATTGGATCAGTCATCACATTGGCATCTTTATACCTGCAAAATAACACATTAGTTTAAGTTTTTTTATCAACCGAATCTGAGATATATATTATTAATATTACCATTAAATTCTAAAAATAGTTACAAAGTGGCCTATTATTATTATAGGTATTTGAGAACAAAACAAAATAATTTTTTTATCCATATCTGCTATTGAGCCCCATACCCTATTAAGGGTTAAATAATTTGGGATTTGTAGAATTGTCTATGAGTCTTGCTGAGAAGTGCCCTTTTGTAAGCTTACTTAATGATAATTTTTGAGTTTTTCTTTCTCAATATACATACATATTTAATTTGATTCATTTCACTAGATCATAAAGTTAATTCTTGATTATATCTATGGCCTGCTTAAATAAATATTTGAAAATTATTAAATTAAAACTAAATTTCTATGTAGATTCTGTTACATATCAGATTATTTCTCACATTATTACTAAGTATTAAGTAATATATGTATTTTAAGCAAAACTCACTTGCTAGAGTGTAATCCCAAATGTTTTCTCATTCTTGTGTCCGAGTTTTCACAAGTCTGCTTAAAATGAAAAGCTATTTCTAATTTGTAAGCACAATTGCTACATATTTGATCAGATAATCCATCATCTTCTTGAACCTGCACAAGAATTGATAAAATCTTACACAATTTGACTTATGAGTGAATACTGTGGCTGTTCCATTAGATATTATGAAATACTTAGAGGCACCTAAATTCTTTTTCAGTGAGGTGTATCGTTTTATTTGTTTCTTTTTTGTAAAATAAGAGTGTACTGTAATATCCTCGAGCGAACAGACCTTTATATTACTACAACTCTCAATTTTCTTGCGTATCGATTCATTGTAGCTTTTTCCAAATATAGAAGACAAAACGCCCTCCTCTAAACAAATTCTGCATAACTTATTCATATTCGATTCGTATATTTGCTATATTAAGAAATATTTTTCCCTCCGGTGCTTAACATCGCATTCTGTGACTTTTCGCCAATGTCAAATGTCAATGGCACTTTTGACTGACACCGGCAATTGGGAAATATGTAGTTACATCTTTTTTTTTTATTTGTGGTAATTGCCAGTGTCATGTTGATGGCTGTGGTTAAAGGTAGGGAAAAGGGGGCAAGGTGGAGGGACGCGTATGATATCCTCATTAAAGGGGGAGTGGAAAAGAAAAAGTTGTTCTGTTAAAATTAGAAAAGTAAAAAACGACATTTAACAGTGCGATGCTGTTAAATGTCGCCATGCTTAAGAAGCCTTGCCCCCTCGGACATGTTATTGGCTCGCCTGGAAAACATTGCTTGATAGCGCTCGTCGTGGCAATAAAAAGTACATGATATAGAAAATATCTTTTTTTATTAAAATAAATAAAATATACTTAAAGTAAAATATTCACATTCTTCATATTGTGTGAGTTGACAAGGTAATGATATTAAATCTTACGATGTTATTTGTGCAAGCCCCGGGATCGATTGATAAATATTAACATTTTTTTTATATTCTAAACTCTTAAAACATTTGCTATAACAAAATTGAAATAATATATATGCCATTTTAACTTTAACTAACTCACTAACGAAGTAAACACGACAGAGTTTTTTTATTTATTATACAAAATTATTACATTGCATACCTATTTTCAATCGAATCAAACAATACTTAATAAGCAAGTGAGAGTTAAAAATGTTTATATAAAAGAGTAATTAAAAAAGTAATAACACAAGACCTCGTGGCGGATCGGAAACGATGGATGCAGGTGGCGCCTGTGTCGTGTAAAGTTTATGATATGTACCTATCGCCTATGGCCACATGAATAAGTAAGCAATTTGAAAACAGACAAGTCACATCGTGTAATAATCAGGCGTTAGCGACGGCGGGTAACAGCTGTGTGTATATATCGATGCCTTTGAGAAACGTCTCGGCGGAGAGGAACTCGTCATGGTCGTGGAGCAAGACCGGCGTGTGATTCATGGGCGAGAAGCCCAGCGCGGGGATGCCGACGCCGCGGACGTAGCGGCTGTCGGTTCCGCCGGGGAATATGCGACACGACAGCTTCAGCTTCCTGAAAGGGAATGACGGTTCGTGAAGTCCTCGTCGGGGTACCGTTCGGAATGTACTTCTTTGACTCACATTTTGTCGGCCGCCGCTTTGAAGGCCACCCAAAACGGATTGGTCGCATCGAGATTCGTGCACGCCACGGCCGGGTTCTTCTGTTCGAACTCGTAAGACACACCCTCTCCGGCCTCTTTGCACCATTGTTTAATCTGTAATACGAGATATTATACAAGGAGCAGATGTGACCCTCTGAGATCCAATTTTTAATTCGGTTAAAATGAAGATGGTGAACCTTAACACTTGCGTATTAAGGTTCACCGTCTTATGCTTTGTAGCTTAAAAAATCATTGAAGATGAAATTACAAAATTATAACGTTTGAAAACTTTAATATTTTTCACATGTTTTTTTCACACTATATAATTTAAAAAACGAAAATAAATTGAAAAAAAAACGTACCATATTTTCAAAGTCGTCATGATCCACGGCAACGGCGAGGCGGCAGTCGAACACGACCGTCAGCTTTTCAGGAATAACATTGGATTGGATGCCACCCTGCAAGTCATTTTTGAGTTTAGCGGTACATACAATAGCCGTCAAAGCGCAGAATCGTCTACTTACATGCACCTGCGTCAAATTGACGGTAGTGACGTCTCCGGTCGTGAGTCTACGGTCATTGTCCAAAATACTCTTTTGCTCGTCTCGTAAGGACATGAACTTGTTGATCATGAAGCGAAGCTAAAAAAGTTAAGGCAATCCTATATATAGTAGATTAATGGAATCTAATAATCTTTATAAACTTAAAACTACCTAAACCTACGTAAAAATTACAACGACAGAGGTCAGAAATTGTAAATAACACAATAATGAACCGTATGAAGTTTCTCCGGTTTCTAAATGTTCAGCCGTCCTGAAAGAGAATCACCTCGGCGAAGGCTGATCACTGACTGCCATTAATGCGATACGCCTGAGACGAGACAAGTTAGTGCAAAAAGGCAATTTCTTTCCAATTATCCCAATATTGTAGTGTATTCTAACGGATAAGCTGAACGATATATTTTTTGTAGTACACTTTACCTAACGCCTATATTAGATAAGATATAGCGTACCTTTTCACCTGCCGTGTTTGGGAACAAAATGGAAGCGTGTCCCGGTTGCCCCGTGCAGTGTACGTGGATTTCTGAAATCGGATTTCAGTACTGACAAAAATACCCGAAGGAACTTGAAAATCAACCCCTTATAAGAGCGTTACTGTTATTGTAAATCTTTATTCTGTGCCGCTGAGCGGAATCGTAGGAGACTGCGATAACTCACGCCAAATGCTTCTCTCGCCATAGTACAGTGCGAACTCTTCGCTCGGATTCGCCATCCCCTCGTCTAAGGCGAAAGCAACGTTCAACGCTTTGAACTCATTGGTATGTACAAACTTTTCCATGCCATCCTCGCCACCGATCTCTTCGTCTAGAAGACATAAATGTGTTGAATGACGTTTTAAAATTAGCAATACAATGTTTCATGAGTTTGAGCACACGATTAAGAATCGCAGCCAATATTAGAAGTGATCCCTATCGTTACACTTCAATGAGCGAATGGGCGAATGGAGTCGTAGCTACTTCTATATAATCACCGGGGACGAACGACAGGTGCAGGGTCCTCTTCAAGTGAACATTTGCTCTCTTGAGCTTTCGAACGGCTTCTATGTATTGGATTCCGACGCATTTCATGTCTTGAGAGCCGCGCGCGTAGATCTTGCCTTCTTTGTCAATGTGACCGCTGAACGGTGGAAATGTCCAGCTTTCCTGTCGATGAAAATACATATTGGTGATACGTAGTGGTTTTATGCAAATTTTTCTAAACTAGGTATAGACAAGAATATTTAATTCAAATTTAAAGTAATCCTAGATTTCATACATTTCCAGTAATCTATATATATGTGTAGAACTTTTTATTCCAATAAAACTTAGAGCAAAGCATAGGAAAGTAATGATGCCACCCGAGGTGTAATGCACGTGAACGATAATAATTGAAGAAAGATAAAAAAAAATGTATTTAAATGTGCTGATAATTTATCACGAAAGAAATACTCTTCTTTACATAACATTTTGTTCTTGACGCAGAATAAACTTACATAGAAAACCCACCTCAAAAACGGGCACAACATCCATATGTGAATTGAGTAAGATTGAGCCGATCGTAGGATTTTGGCCAACCCATGTCATAACTACTATAGGCTTCTTAGGAACTATTTCGTACACGTTGAACTCCAAACCCAAGCCTTTTGCCTGCTTTTCGAGGAAATTCACGCAGTCATCTGAAATTAATTTAACTTTGCAAAGAATTCAATCGGCCAAATAATTTTTACGACTTCTGTATAAGTAGACAGGATAAAACTAGAAACTTGCAAAACATGGCAAATAAATCAGGTAATATGCAGAACTACAGCATATTGGAGCTAATTTTGTTAACAGAAATGAAGAAGAGGGCATCAAGTAGGTCAACTGATTCAATAGGAAAATTTCAATCATAGTAGAGATCCCCACAAGCAAAAGGTATTGCGCTCAATTGAGGTAATTGAGGATGTTATCTCAAATCCTTATCACATCCTGTTATCTCAGTATGTAACTTGTTGATAGAACTATTGTTTAAAGCAATATATTTTACAATAAATTATGAACATTAAGATTTAAAAAGGGTGAATGTATATAATTATAAGAACAAGGCAGTATATAGTATACTGCCCTATTCTTACAACTAGCGAGCTATAAGAATAGGAGCTGATCGCTTGATCTGATGAGTATTCTATAATTTTTTTACTTAAATATCTCTCAATTATTTAGCTTACCATAATTGATGTTAGGCTGAACACTTGGTATTCTCAAATATTCTACAAAGTTGGCAATGGCTGGATTGTTACTGTAGTCAATGGACATTTTCTTAGCTGCAACAAACCAGAAATAAAATAAAATACGTCGTTCCTAGGCGAAGTGCGCGTGAGACTGATACAGTCAAAGTATATCTCGAGATTTATCAAGTTAATGTCTTCGTGAAATTTGCGTTGGACAATTCTCAGTATTCTCTTGACACACAAATAAGTTTTCATCATATATGGTTAGGTAAACTCAGTAAAAAAAAATTACAACCCTATTAGAGGTATTGTACACTTCAGATGGTATCATTATATCCAATATCTTAGGAAAAATAGGTATTATACCTAATTAAATGAATTATTATAACAATAAACTAAGCTTTAAATTGGAGGAGAAAGAAATACCTAATCCTTTTAATTCAATAATAGGGTAAGCTATACTGATAATACACAACACACATAGGAAACCATTTTTCAAGTTAGTGTTTCATTGTGCCATATAGCATGGTATGGGGCAGCTCAGTTAGTAAAGCAGCAGCACAGATAGCTGTGGTCATGGGTTCAAGTTCTGTTTGTGTTGTAGATTCCTTTAGCTTAAAATAATTTTTATTTTATTTATCATATACAAAGGCTTGTAAAATTAAAATGCTAGTAATGGTTGCTACAGTAAATATTGGCGGCAAAATTGTGTATACTGATAAGATAAAATTTCAATTCATGATTGGTGCGGACTGAGATGACAACAATAGTATTAGAAGATTAGATAAATACATTTTGTAGAATTAAATATTGTCATCTTACCTTTAGACGCCATAATAAAGCCTTTGATTCAAAAGGGATCATTTATTTATGCAGGGTTTAATATGTTTTTTTTTAACATATCAACCTAAAAGAATATAAACATATTACACTTGTGTAAAACACAAAAGCGTTTATTTTTCACAGAAACATCAAAAGCTAAAAAAGCAGAGGTCCACTAAAAGTAGAAACAGCTGATTACGCCATAGTTTTGCGCCGTAAATACTGCAATGCACTATTAAAACGCGTAGCGACGCGGGTCATTAGGTGACCTACTTTAAATTGTTTACTTAAACTACACAAATAATTGTATAATTTAAAATTGAAGTAAGAAACTACTTACTGAATCACGCGCCACTTATTATATTTCGATTAAGTTTTTGGTGGAATGGGTGCATTGTTAATTCTGGTTATTTAAATGTTTAATGAAGAAATTATCTTATAAAAAAACATGAGTAAAAGTCATATTTTTTAACCAAAGAAAACTATTTACATGTTGTTTTTTAGCTCCCCTTTCGAATAACATTAATTTAATGTAAAGACACAGATTACACCAGGAAAAGTTTCATATTTATAAACCTATCTTGTCATATAAATATTATCTGTTTAATTTTTAATGACAAAGTATAAAATATTAGGTAAACAAATAGAGCGTTTTTTTATCATCTCCGACGACAGGCTAAAGCAAGCAAGACAAAAAAAACACTTCATTACAATAATTGAGGCAAAATTTTCACTTTTATATCACACTTTGAATGGTTTTAATGTTAACTAGCTTGTTCATGTAGGTAGGTTCGTTATTTAGTAACAGGTACTAAAATATAACGAACCTACCTACATGAACAAGCTAGTTTATAGCGGCAGGATTTTCCCTACTATTTTTCTATATTGATACAACCAATCTGAAGTCCTTGGAAGAATTTACCATACATTATAATAAAAGAAGTGATAAATTATTTTTCAAAGCATTTTGATTCAGAAAACTTCATAATAATAATGCATTACATAATACAATATTTTGTCAAGTCAGTGTCAACATGTTGGAGAGAAAATATATTGATTATTGACATTGTCAGTGTTATGCTATTTAGCTTATTAATATCTGTGGTTAATTCTTCGTTTAAGTATTAGAAGTACAAGCTATTTTAGGTTATAATATTAAATTATATTGTAAAATATCGTTAAAGTACTATACTTCTTGATATTATTAAGACAAAATCTGCGTTTTAGTTTTTTCGCAAAATGACATCAATTCTTATAAAAGCATTAAAAAGTATTTATATCTCGGTCCCTTCACAAAATGCTAAATTTGCTACATCCGCAATTTGTTCTAATACATTGAGCATTACAAATAAGGAGTGGAAATATCCTCCGACTTTTACGAAACCGCGTGAAGTGTGGATTGAGAATCTGGATACGATAGAGGAGAAAAAATTGGGATTATTTGAATTACATCCTACGGTTTACGGCGCTACACCACGTATAGACATAATTCACCGTAACGTCATTTGGCAAAGAAAGTATCGTTGGGTTTCATGGGCGCATACAAAAACTCGTGCCGAAGTTAGAGGGGGAGGAAGGAAACCCTGGCCTCAAAAAGGTTTGGGAAAAGCTCGGCACGGTTCAATAAGATCGCCGCTATTTCGCGGTGGAGGCGTTATTCATGGCCCACGAGCAGGAAACACTCACTTTTTCATGTTGCCTTTTCACCTTCGACTCTATGGCTTAACATCAACACTGTCCGCTAAATTAGCCCAAGATGATTTGCATGTTGTAAAAGATTTAGATATACCTTCTGACAACTCAGAGTACTTAGCTGAGCTAATACTATCCAGAAATTGGGGCCCATCAGTTCTAATTGTAGACGAGTAAGTATAAGTGTGACATTCTAAAGTTAAAAACCATAATGGACTACTGATTTTACATAGTTTATATTGTTGAACTTTTAATAATGTAAGATGACTATGCAATGTAAAATACACTAATAATTATCTACTCAAACAAATCATGAATACAATGATTCTCCCTCTTACTCTTCATGACATGTCTATTTTTTCTTTCAGCACGGATTATGCACCACGGAATATTACAGTTGCTACGGGCAATCTTCCTCATGTAAATTTAATGCCTGTTTACGGACTTAATGTATATTCAATGCTAAAACACGATACACTAATATTGACACAGTCTGCTGCGGAGAAAATAGAAGACAGGATTTTACAACTGCTACATTCAGATACAAGGAAACAACAGGCCAAATTTAAATTGGATCAAGTTTAATGATTCTATACAAATAAAATAGCATTAGTTTTCATTTATTGTACTTGTATGTTTTTCATTTCACTAGCTCATTTCAAAAATTGAATAACAAAAAAGAGTTTACAGTTAGGAAGTAACAATTTCAAGCCACTCTCAATACAGTAATTTATATTGGTACAGTTCAAGTACAAGTCACCATTAATTATTTGTTCTATACTTAATTTAAGAACACCCTTAATAATACCATCAAGTGAAACTTCTTAAAAAATATTTACAATAAGAAAAACAAATTTTAAATAAAGTTGAATCTAATCTATTGATACAATTCAATAATCAGGTTTTCATTTGATGTCAAGCAGTAGTCATTTTTCCTTTAACTTTTTCCCCTTCCTTGGTTTTTATGTAAAGAAACCTGAAATACAAAATCTTATTTAATTTTTCCAATATATTAGACTATTATAGTTTCTTATTTAGTAGGAACATACATATTGTCACTTGAAGTATAAAATGTCAATATTCAACAGCCTTGTATCAAAGGGACGGATAGCGCATGGGTTACTCTTTATCCGTTCCATATGAAACCATAAGAATGCTAAGATTTAGTATTGTGAAAAAAAATACCTTGCTAGGAGGTTGTGAGTCTGTTCCAACCATTTTTTGTCGTATTCTCCAACGAATATCAGCCCAATCATTCTCTCCAGGCACATTTGGTTTATATTTTTCCCATAGAGAAGAATAATAATGGTACAAAGATACAGGATCACACTTCTTTTTCTGACGTAATCTAGGAACTTTTATTACTGAAAATTATTTGGTCTTTAAGTATAGAAATAAAAATTACAATAAAGCACTATTACATCATTTAAAATGCTAAAAGCTTTTTTAGTTGCTTACAATTTTCACATAAAGTATTAGGTGCTCTTGTGGATTCTTTTCCTCGCTCAGATTTTTGCTCGACTCTTACACACGAACACGCTCTTCTCTTTGGAGGGCTTTCATCCATTGTTTTTCTCAAAGTTGGTGCTGAATGCACATTCCTGATACTTGTAGCTTTTCTTAGACATTCTTTGGTACAGCATAAAACTTCTCTACTAAATACTTTAGAACGACTTCTAGAAGAAAATGTACTCGCGCTATGTAAGCGTTCTGGCCCTTCATGCTTCTCAGATTTTCCGTTGTACTGGGACCTTTGTTCTATGTCATATTTTATTAATTTTTTTAGATCTGAAATGAAAGATTGTGGTTATATACATAACCGGCACTCTGGTGAGGATATTCTGAGAGTTTTGCCCTTACCTGTGATAAAATATTTTAAAACTTCACCGCTTATGTTATGGATGCCAAGATAGTTCAAATATCTTAATATTTCCCGTGCATCTAGCTCAGAAGTGATGTTAATATATTCTTCCATGTTTTTATCAATGTAACGTATCACCATGTAATACCATGCTACTTACTTCTGCAAAAAAGTTAAATGAAGTTCAAAAGTCTAATTTACCGGTACCTTACGGCACCTTGAGGCTTGATTTGTCAAAATATGTTCTAGTGTCAATGTCTTAACATAAAGTTTGTGCTAGTGATGTATTCTTAACGTTAAAGCGATTAAGAAAACAACAAGATTGTGAAACGATTATTTAAGTACATAACTACTAATACTAATAGTAATAATGATGAGATATAGTCCCATCATTGTATGTATTTTTTCTAACTTGGTATTTTTGGTAAACTGCACTGTTTACAAGATATATTGAAAGTTTACATTGATTTGCACTAAAAACACTTTGAAACACTGGATTACATATTAAACTAATGAAGTAGTTAAAATTCACTAAAAAAGAAAGTTTCATGCTAAAATTAATTTAAAAACCTAAAAATGAATTTACGTAAATTTTACGCACAGATTAAAATTTCTCTATTTTGACATTTACATAAGGGTGGGATGTAAGCAAAGTCTTTTTCTTCTTCTTAATTGGATGGCTTTCCCATTCTGAATGGATTGTGCCAATGTCGTGTGTCCATGAGAGGAATGCAAGGCGTCATAGTATAAAACATTGTAAGCAAACTCAATGACAACAGAGAAATTCCACTAAAGCACGATCGCCGAAAGCGATACAAATGCCGAGTTAAATAACAATGACCTAAAAAAAAATATTGTCATAAAAGTGTATTTTGAATACCGAGGTCGTTTGGTCCATATATATTCTATATTATTTATTCCGGTATCGTATGTGGCAACGACGTCACTCTATCACTTCGGGCACTTTTGGTGACCATTATTTGTCTATGGTTGAAATCAGCCATATTTGTTGTTTTTATGCCAACTTAAAAAAAATTATATATTTTGCAAAAAACAATAAATCTACGTATTACCTTTTAGTTAAATATTATATACTAAATAATTTATAAATATGAAGTTGGTGCCAGCTAAAACAATAACAAGGGACATAAAATTGTATCATAACTTTGATAGGTAATATCGATTTAAATATTTTTCTAATATTGGTCTGACGATGCATTGACTATGTTCGGATGGCCAGATATAATCTATATACTAATGTATAAAGCTGAAGGGTTTGTTTGTTTGAACGCGCTAATCTAAGGAACTACTGGTTCGAATTGAAACATTTAATGTTGGTTACATTTGTCGCGGAAGGCTTTAGGCAAAAAAATCGTCATGCGACCAATAGGAGCGTAGAAACAGTGGAAAGGTGGATAAAATTATTTATTAAATCATTTCTATTTTTCTAATTCAAATTATCTAATTTGTGCGAAATGAATAAATTTTCCCTTTTTTGGTTTACTGTTAAAGTCGGTCATTTTTTTTAATTATTATATTTTACGACTTTATGTGACTTTTTAAAGATGAAGTTAGAAGGTCCTTTAATATAAGCCAAGACGCACTGCACTCGGTCCCTCCTCCCCTTGTTAAGAACCTCGTATTTATGAAAAACCATTTTGCCTTGTCAGCGACAATATTTTTAACTTCAAGGTAGTCCTTTTGCTCCAATAAGGGTTCGAATGGTGTGAACTATTTTCGTCAACTTTGGCCACAATCTCTTCGCATGACTTAAATAAAGTTATCACGTCGTTCTATGATAAAATGAGTACAAAGGATTTACCGAAGTTTCAGTCAAGTATCTACCTTTATTTAATAGCATTATTTATATTATTAATGATACCACTGTTTCAACAATAATTGTTTCTTGTTAAAGCAAACTCGGTTATATGCGCGAATAAAATACGTTGAATAGATGCTCCTTTTCAGCGAGAAACAAAAATTACATTAAATAAAACGCACGTGTATTGGATTAATTTTCGGAGTACGAATTGTGATTTGAGTTGGACTTCTCACGGAACATCGTCGAGGGTACGGGGTCGGGTCAGAGATACGATGCAACCGCATCGACTGCGAGCACAAATGCCGTCGACAGAGTGGCGCCAGATACTCTCCATCGATAAACCCGACCGTCGCCCGCTGCAAGCGCTTACTTTTTGGTCAACCGGTTGGAACACGTGCAACCATTGCATCTTACGTAAAGAAGATTAGTAGGTACTATACATAGCGCTAAATCCCTCTAGACTGTAATTGTTGATAATAGGACATTGATGTATTACGCCTAATTAATACGCTTTGTAGTACCAAGTGATACTAGAAGTGGTGCCTATCCGACGTTATTTCCTAGATAGATTTGGAGGAAAATAGAGACATAACTGCATATACCTTTAAAGATTTAGCGCACTATTTTTGGATGATACTTCGGTCCGATTATAGGTCCCTATTGATCGTTTGTGACAATAAAGATATTTCAGCGCTTTTCCTGCTACTATGGTATATTTGAATAGGGTTGTTTGTTCTGGCTGAATGGGTCGTCGCCCGAGCAAACTGGGGTTCGCTGTTGCATCGAAAGCTAGATGAGACGCAGGCTTCTTGGTTTCCTTTAAGATTCTATCTCTTCTCAGTGAAGGGTGAACAATGTTCGCCAATCTGTGTAAATAATAACTTAGTTTTTGTTATACATAATTGTAATAAGGCTTTGTTAGCCCTTGATTTGCCCACTCGCATTTAAATCTCGTTATCAAAATAATTGGAACAAATGATGACGATTCAATAGTAATATAGATAGTATATGCCCATTCAATTATGCCAAACCTCTTTTGAAAAATATCAATACTTTTTACTAGTTTGAAGATATGTAATTATATTCGGCCAGTGCTCACGAACTCATTGAACCGTTACCTCGATTCGTTTTCGCGCCTGGCCTTCGTATTGTGTATCCCTTTAAACCCGATAGACGCAATGTGGGTCGCAATGCAATATACGGTATTGTCACGTACGCATATCCCGGAACCCTGACGTTTATGTCTTAATAAAGTGCGTCTCAGCTTCCGATGGCTGGCTTCCATATCAATAAGCGAGAACAGAATTTAATGAAATTCCTTTTAGAATTCCTCGTCGCTCTTAGGCGGTTGAAATGCCAGCCTCCGCCCTACTAGTTCACATGTATCTGCGTATTAGGTCTAAAAAATGAATGATTAAATACGCTGGATATGTATCTATGTGGATAATATTCTGAAAAATAATAAGATCAGGGTAAGTGTCGGGTCGTGTAGCAGAAATTTAATGACATAGGAATAAACGTGTCGACGTGAGTATTAAAATTGATAAAGCCAGATAGAAAGAGAGGTAATTACGAGCACTAAAGAAAGAATGCCAATCGAATAGACAAATCCAGCTACATCCTTGTCGCAGTATCTCTATTATAAAATTGATGACCATTAAAGTAAATAATGACAAAAACCTAAGGCAAATAGAGTGAATTGTTGAATTTACACACACTACAATTGTATAGCGACGAACTTGTGCCGCAGCTGTATTAACGTTTTTTGTGATGCCGCTATATTGAAAAGTACAAGCAATAGAAAAAAATACTTTAAAAGCAGTCGTTTCGTTGTTTGTTTATTTTTATATCTTTTACTTTTTTGTGGTAATATAATATAAATACAACACCAGTTACCTTACAAAAACAAAGAACAAAAATGTAACCTATCATTGTGTAAGAAAATGTATATTCAAGTTTAAAGCGAAACAGGTAATCTCTGTTTAAACTTGTTAAATGCGCCTTACATTTGTTTTCTAATAGTCAATCATTTTAAAATCTGTAATAGAGCAAAGAATGCTTTAAATTATTCATTGCTCCGATATGAAAATTGAATTGGTGCAATTTCATAAGCGCAGGAAGCTTCCGACTGTGGCCTTCCGTTCCATTTGTATGCAACGAAACATTCCTAGAGGGACCAATTTACTCATAAATACATATATCTTTGTTTAACCGACGAAGCGCAATACCCTCTTGTCTGTTTATTCAACATCTTGCGTCAATAATTATTTTAAAATTATCGATATACATATACTTTAACACTTAAAAAAGTATTTGTCCAAATTAGATGTTTTATCGTGTTCCACTTGCATACATCAACTATGTAAGCGGGTCGCCTTTGAAACAAACTACCTTTTTTGTCAATAAAAGTTCTCATTCGTTTCTTCGAGTCTTCGATTCGAATTATAGATTTAAGGGACCGTATAGTATTATATGTTTGTACATATTTTTGCAGTACAATCTCACTTAGCCCAATTAAAATGAGAATAAAATAATATAGAATAAGTATTGAAATGTGGTGAATAATGTTTCGTCAACTTTCCTATTTATGTATACTCTCATTAGGAACGCCCCCATTAAGACCACATCTTACACATGTTTAAGACAGACCTTGTGCTATATACGGATGTCATTAAAAAGACTTCTTTACACGTCGCAATCTTGAAAAACCCGACTGTGTAATGGGCCAACTAATCGTTACGTGTCTTTTAAGGAAAATAAGGACTAGCCTTAAAGTTACCTCCCTGTTTTTATATTTGAAATAAAAATTATAGAAAATTTGTCATTAGTAATCATTGTTAACGGTTGCTAACAGTGAGGGCTTTTTTACTTTTAGATCCATTGTTTGAGGTTTAATTTCTATTAGATTTTCAGCTGACCTTTTCAAGTGCGTTCTAGAATTCCGTTAGGTCACTCAAAATCAATGTACTACTCGATAAGTCTTATAACCCTGTTCCTTATCCAAAATGAAGGTACCAACAATACATTTTATATGGTGGCAGAAGAGAAGAGACAAGCATGGGGTATGCCTCTAGGTGGTAAATGAAATTAAATGCGCTATTTAAGTGTTTTTCTTATTTACAAACATTCGAGCGTCGAAATAGAGATGCATATACGTTTGTCTTCTCTACGTTATATGTTATTATCTAGATGATAACATGCGATGATATGATGATTTTTGGGCGATACTTGTAAGCGTTGTACTACATTAAAATAATGGTTTGTGCTCTCTCCTATTCGAGTTTATCTAACTTTAGAAACAATAAATTGGGTTCTGCACTTTTGTGTCACTTTAATTAATGCACTTTCGTAAGCTATTTGCATTTTACCGCGTTACAATAATTACGTCTAACAATAGGAGGTGATCAAAGTAGAATCTACAAACATGAGCGTAAAAAGTAGACGTAACGAGCAAACGACGCTCTCAGGGTGGTCGCCGAGTGCTACGCGCCGTAACCCGCGTAGAGTTCAGTCGAGCCGAGGCCTCCGCTACGCGCGCCCGCCGTAGCGCCTCCTCTACGCAACGCTACAAAACTTCAACCATAGAACAATGCAGATATTAGAGGACACAAATGTGCATAAAATGTGTTTATAATTGAAAGTAATATATTGTGCTCAGTAGATAGCGAAAGTTTAATTGTTACTAACTATGTTTTCCACGAATGTTAGTGCCGTGTTTAGGATAGTGATGTTTCTGTTTACAGCACAAGGTTTGTAGAGGTTCTTAAATTTTGTTTGAAATAATCATAATGTGTAGGGACGTTATTCTGCGCAGTTTTCTTATAAATACATTTCTATATTTTCTTTCGTTATCATTTAAATACATATCGTTGTTATTCTAGGAGGATAAAAGGAGACAAAGCGATACTCTAATTTACAAAACAAAAATGTCAACGATCTGATCATTAATAATTCAGTGCATATTGCAGCAGAGACTGCACGGCTCAATGTTAGCATGAAAATTCCATTTCGAATTTTATTAAGTTTATATTTTTATTACTTCGAGATCACAACGAATTATTATTCCACAACAAACCCTGCGTTGCTATCGTGAGGTAAAACTGTTACAAACAAAGGAATTATTTGCCTCGATGTGCACTACGCGTACCACATATTGGAAACGTAGGAAAAATGAAAAAAAGATGGATTAAATCACTAAAGGGTTTAATACCGTTGCACTCGAAATGAGCAAGAAGAAAGTAGGATATACTCTTTCCTAAACTCGATCCAATCGCAGCTTTATCGGGCGCGAGGACATAAACATACAGGGTCGCTTTCTAATTAGGTGTCGCATTTTCCTCAAACATTTGTGGCTTTTTACGGGTCATAAAGCAAGCGGAATAATAAAGGGCGACCGTTTGATTCGCGTTATAACTTATTAAAACTTTCAGTTCAAGCTTTACATTGATCCGAGGGTAAGTTTGACATCAGTCACAACAGAGCGCTACACACATACACTGATTTTATTTAAAGATATATACTTCAAATTACATATGGGTAAAAGGTTTATTGTTTATATCTTGGATTAATTTTTACGAACATTTTTTTGCTGCTTTAATACTACTAAATATAAAATAGCATAGAAATAGTGTTTCTGCATACTGTAGTGGCAAAACAACAGTCAACATTTATACATACAACATTTCTGTACTGTGTCCGGTTTGAATGTCGAGTAAACATTTCTTTGAAGCTACAATTACCATGAACTTGGTTTACCAACCGTTACCGTGTCAAGTCTTTGTCGATTTTTTTAAACCTATTTATATTATTTTATTTCTACGTTAATACTTACGTATTCAGTTCTAATGTTTTACAAATTAAGAAAATCATTGAAAATGGAAATTAACACCGTTTCTTTCAATTAACACTATTCACTTTATTTTCCGTTGCTTCCTTTAGTCTTCCAGGCATCAAAATAATAATTTGTGAGGCACGAGTAACGGACGAGTGTAGTTTTTTTAGGAGTAGGATACCCCATCTATATAGCATCTTGACAAGATGCGCTGTCGGCCTATTTCGGCTTTGGATATTTGGAAATCCAAACACTGAACGCGAAACGCGATTAAACTTCACGGCTTTTTAATTTGTGGACTGTGACTGTGTGTGACCTGGATGGAATTTTTGGTGCTCCTATCACCCATTTAAAATGCAGATTGCTTGGTTCCACGAACAATTGATTAGACAAGGCCGAACATGTAAGAGTAAAATTGTAAATTGATTAGTAACGTGTTGGACGCGGTGGAGATCGAACCCATATGACGTGAAAATTGTTGTGATGATATAATTATGTACAAAATGTCGCGTTATTGGATAAAAAATAATTCAAATGCCACCGCTATAAAAGCTCTTTTATCTATACTTTAGTATTAATTCTTATGACAATAGGTTACTTTATATTTAAATCTGCTTCAATACCATAAATAAGTTTTTGTAATATTCTATTTGAAAGACCCATTCAAATGATATTTGTCAATTAAAAAACGTAAGTTAAGTGTCGGAAAAAAGACGCGCGGCGCCGTAGCGACTGCTTGAAATGGAGGCAAATCTTTTGGCCAAATTTAACTTTGCATCGAGACTAGAAACGATAGTGTCAACGAAATAAACGAACGATTTAGTCCAAAAATTCCTGGACAAATTAAAGGTTACGAACCGATCGATATCGCAGAATTTAAAAACTTACATAACTTAATGGTTTTTCATGTTATATATTTTGTATTTTAATTTTCTTCGTAAATTAATTCTCTTAATTAATACCTAAAACAGAATAAGTGTACAAATATGTGTAAAAGATTGTAACTTCTAAAATGTCTATTAATATCCGTGGAAAGACTGGGCTGATTAGTGCATGGTTAGTAGGTAAAAAAAGGTACCTATCTACTTAGTAAATATGGACGCATGAGCATTTCAAAAGGATAGGCTACATCTAAAAGATAGGATTTTCTTGAACAAATAGTCTTTTGGTCGATTCATGTTTTGTATTTCGTTCTAACTGCACCAATCAGAACCGATAACTGAAACTAAAGCCTTTGCTGAAAAAAGGCCACCTTTATTTGACAAGTTTTTACGGCACGCGCCACTTTTGACATTCCTACAAAAATTCACTGGAATTGTTTTGAAAAGAGTTGCCTAAAATAAAAGTACGCGAGCCTCTGTTTAAGCACTCGAATGTTAGAACAAAGGTTTATCGGATCTCGAAAGCGCTTTGTTCAGTGGACATCTACTTGTACGCGATTAATTTGATGTATTCGATGCAAATCGAATTTTGTTTATGTACGTCAAGCAGGTGCCTCTGTGTTGTTAGTGTAACGTACGCGAGTAAACTTGTGCTAGCTTTAAGTCGCTTTGTTAGTTTTATGGCTCAGGTTCGATTCACACGATCTGACGATATCGTCGCCGTATGACTTTCGCGTGAAGTTAAATAAATCAATCGTGTCGGTGTCACTCGGTTCGGTTGAACCCGTGACAAAAGCGTTCCGTTCACACGTTATTGTCGCTTTTTCTCAATCCACTCGGTTCGTGTACACGTGTCCTCTACACGTGCACGGCTCTCGCGGTGTTGAATCAGCTTTACCATAAGTTCCGGCAGTTTACAATTCTTCCGAAAATAATTATACAGACTGAGAAATAGGTAAATTAGTGATGAAATAATTCTGAAGTATCAATTGTTATACGTATCTTGTTACCTAGCTTAAAATAATGTTTAATGTCAGACTTCCTTCGACTACAGGCGTTGACATAGGCCGTTATTATTTCTCACATTTTTACAATTAGAAATGTTCGTATCGCCTTCGCCTTCGTTTTTAGTATGTGCTTTTCCCTCTATTTTATTACTATTCATGAACGTAGAGTAAATTATAAAAAAAAAGTACTTTACAGGTTCATTATGTCTTCGAAATGTCTACATGGTGATACCGGAAGCCGTCGAGAGGGGAAAGCCAGCCGTGATAAAATGCGTGTACGACCTGGAAGCCGAAGAGCTCTACCAAGTAAAGTGGTACCGGGGCGATCGCGAATTTTGTAGATATTCACCGAGAGACGTGCCCCCGCTGAAGGTCTTCCCGATTCCCGGAATAGAAGTGGACGTGAGTATTTCGCAGGCATTCCGTTTTTAAACGGACGTCGAACAGTGTCGCAACACACCGTATATTTCAAATCCTCCAGCCAAAAATGAGCGTCTTTACGATACCACTCCACATAATGTAAAGAAACGTGAGCTTAATTAACGAGGACTTATAAATAAATGGAGACCGAACAATAACTGTACAAGTAATAACAGTATTAATTAATTAGGTAGATCGCTTACAGCTATGAGCTCCCTTAATTAATGTTCTACGCTGAACAGAACGACAAAAAGAGCCTAATATTATAACGGCCTAAAAATTGTTTGCTGTCTCTTCGACGATTATTACTTTTTAAACTTTGAAGCGAAAGTAATTTTTCGTAGCAGTAGTGGGAGGCGACACTGTATACTCCTGACCTATTTATATACCTCGAGCGTAGTCGTACAGTAGATAAACAATAGGAAAAGCTCCATAGCCTCCACCACGATGGCTGCTATCGCGTTACCTAATGCTTTTTAAGCAAATACATTAGGAAAGTGGCGTAACCGATACCGTTTCATTCTACCTCCTGCGAGAATCTATTGAAGCACTCCGCTCTTCACTTGAGGCTGAAAGTTTCATGATAATACCTGGGCCATGGTTTGTCGATGTGATTTGATATAAAGAGTATAGAGGAAATTATATTATATAGCCTATAATTAAGAGCAATATAGTAAATAATCATAAAAAATGGCAAAACGCGAGTCGGTAGCAAGTAGTTAAACATAAAGGTCTTGTAGTTAGTTGTAACATTGATCGATGTTTTGATAACAGCGTATTTTCTTGTTAATTGAATTGAAAGATAAGTAAGCTGTAATAAGGTCTAACCTCTCCGCTGGGATCAGATCAAACTACATATTAGTCCATATAAGTTATTTATATGTTAGGCCATGTATGCTACCAAGGTAATGGTAACGAGGAAGATAAATTACAGTTTACGACTTGTGACTTAATAAAAAAAACTACGCAACAGATATCGTTCTAACCAAATTTTGGTGAAACTCACGTATATTTTTATTCTTATAAAGATATATACGGGCAGAAATTAAAGAGAGGCACCAACTGTTGTCACGTAGTAGTTGTAGACTATCGATTTTTCAAGTGGATAAATGCTATCATACGTCAACTCGACTTATTCCTTGAAACGGAAACTTTGTGCTGGCTGTAAAAACCATTATCATTTTTCTTTCTTACTCTTCTTAGGATGAAATAGAAAATATAATCTAATCCTAACTTCTAAAAATGAAAAATGAGTGAATACCAAATTTTGAAGGGTTTGTAAAAGTTCGGTCGGGCTGGCAGGACGGCTTTGCATTTGTAATGTAAACGACCACGTAGAAGAGTTGTTTGAAGAGGTGCAAACGTCACACATAACGTAAAGACTGATTTTCAAACTTCTCAACTTAATTATATATAATATTATAAATAGCAAAAAAAAAAAAAATTACTCCAGAGCGCAGTTCATTACATTCACAGTTGCACAACAAGGTCAGGAGTAAAAAGAAGTGATTCGGAGTGCAACTAGCTTTTAATAAAAATGTATACATATAAAAGTTAGCTTTTTTGGCGTTTGAAGGAGACACATTGCTTGAAGTTTTGTTAAGCGTTAGCGGACCTCGTGCGACTTAGGGTGACGGATACAGACAGAGCACTTCGCTATTCTTAGATTCGGGCCTGTGTAAATATGAATGTCTGGACCAGACAGACCTGGGAATTGCTAGGAAGAAGGCATTGTGCAAATTCTCACTCAGAAAATAGCTTGAACATCCGTGTAAATTATTTGATATTGGTATCTACAGACACAATTCAGTAATACATATATATTTATCTTGATTGAATTTATCGTTGACATGTATAATCTGTGATGGCTCAAATGTAAAAACATAGTAAAGTCTTCAAATACATAAATAAATCAAATATTTATTGCTCGAAATATATACCCGTTTCTATGTGTAAAACAATAATTTTGAATTTTAATTAATTAAGAAGGAAAAACGAGTCAGTTAATACTTTTCGAATAGTTTTATAGTGAAATAGTGGCGTAGACATCTGATTGGTAATCAGATTTTTGTTTCGTGCAGTTGGACTCATGCATGGTTACTGGGTTTACCTTAGAGCTACGAATGCGGTGGGTCGAAACCGCGACTTAATTAAATGAAATAAAGAACAACTCCGTCGAACTCGATTACGGATCTCTAACGAGCGAAGGGAATAAAAATAGAAACAATATATTTCAATAATTGTTAGCATGAAAAGCTAAAAATACAGAACCGCCACTGATCTTTGAATTCTTTATAATGCCCTGTTTTCGATGTACTCGCTATTAGTTGATTTCTTTGTGATTTTTATAAAATTTTGCTCGCGTTGAATAGGTATTGTATGGCAAATTTCTTTTTACGTATTCAGCCGATGGTGAATTCGAAGCAATTAGTCCCGAACGAATTTCAAGTGAAGCCTTCACGCTACAAGATCAGATTGTATTATTTGCAAAAATAACGAAAATGTGCGCCACGCCGTGTCTCACACGACGACAGACTTGAGCCCCTCGAGTGGTGCCTCTCGCGGTAAATCAAACGCTTTGATGTTTTGCGCGATAAACGCGTAGTAATATTCTATTAATCATGTTTTGCTTTTTCTTTTTTACGCCTTATACGTAGTTATTTTTTGAAGTTAAGCATTATTTCAGCGGGACAACAGCGACGCGGAAAAGCTTACGATTCTCTCGGCAACGCAAACGGCCCACGGCCGGTACACCTGCGAAGTGTCCGCCGACGCACCGTCCTTCCTCACCGCGCAGGTCCACGGGGCCATGTATGTAGTCGGTAAGTTCGTTTTCCTTTTATGTTATACCACGCACTTAAAATGTTAATTTCTAGCTTTAATTATTATAGGAGACGGTTAAATTTTTGGCCCCGACCTCGACCCTCGTACCTCGACGTACCGTGACAAGTGATACACGTATAGGCCTACGTCGTTCCTGTTAGACTGTCGTAATACAATATTAACTAACTAATCTACTAGACTACGGCTTAATTCTATCTATTCTAGAACAGGGAGCTATGGATGGGAGGATGATAATCGAGTTTGTTTACACATAAGCACATTAGATTATGTGCACGCAACGATGGCGTTTACCTAAGATGATTAATTCATTTGAATTATGAATAACAACGACTAATACCGATTCCAATTGTGTTTTCAAAATATATATCATGTAGAATTACTAACCAGTTCCTCTCTGACACGGATTTCCAATAAATTCATTTAAATTAAAAATAAATGAAAGATATCTTCGATCGGAGGATGGGAATCGCCATTTCACATATTTAATATTATTGGCGATTTATAGGTTTGGTGTCATTATATAGTTGTTTATTTTAAATTTGTAATTGTGTTTCCTCTTTAATATCTTTAGACTGATCATTATTGTATGAAAAAATTTTTTTTCATATTATCGCACACAATGACAATGTGTAAATTTAAAATCTATTAAGACTGAAAAATTATACGACTAAGGCAGATTATTATCATTTCTGGCTGGCACTCAAGAAGACAATGAAAATGACGCTGTAGCGTTGTTGCACCAACAGCCGAGTAGTATTTTTTTTATAACTATAAGGTAGGTGTATTATGGTAAGATATTGTACGTGTTCTTTAGTCTGAAATACACGATGTATTGGAATTTGAATGAACATTGCAGTCGTTATCGCGATAATTAACCAAGTGCAGTTTTGGTAAACAGAGCAATGAAACACCTGCACTTGCAGTTGCCAGCACGCGCGTGTGGGTGTAACGCACGTGCAACGTTTCGGTAAAGAAATTCCTAGACAGCTACGTCGAACGCCTATAAATAGGGTCAGTTTGTATCTCAAGCAAAATCGTCCGGTTATTACGTATCAGGATCAAGATCGGGACGCTCTTTTATGTTAGAGGAAGACAGACAAGCCATATAACATCCGAACGAGACGAGCTGTCGACCTATTTTGACTTTGGCTATCCGGGCATATGGTGCATGCGGGATACCAATTTCCCCGCCGATCTTGAATTTCCTTCTTTTGATTTGATGATGTTCTTCTCGATACACTACAGGGTCGACCCTTCCTTACACCGAATCTCTTTACAACCATGAAGAAAGCTGCTGCTCTTGTTAAAACTCGTGCGTCCTTCCGCGTCGTCGCTTAGGCTTGTACAACTGTAAACGCGGAGGAGGGTAGATAAAGCATAGAGTGAGAGGAAAAGGCATAGAGGATCGTAGTCTATGAAGCCAGAATATAGGTCTTAAAAGGCCTAAATGTACATTAGGAGACCCGGGTGCCAGCTGTGGGAAATATCAAAGGGCTATTGAACTATTTATTTGCGATACGTGGCATATTCACAAATTATACAATAGTTCACAAAAAATAACGGACTTACGATAACTTTCAACTAAAAAGATCAACATTTAAAAAAACTGCGTTTGTATTCAGAATTCTTTCATAATGTGTCTTGTTTTCTAGTAGATTGTCAGCCAATACTTCAGTTCACAATAACATTATATTTTAAAGTAACTTTGTTAGTAGCAATAGAACGTAAATGTCCAAATCAGATATAATTTATTTATCTAATACTGTTATTGAAGTGTAATTGCTTTAATAAATTTTATAAAATGGACCACGCATTATTAAGATCGTTGATGTTGTTGTTGTTTTTATCAACATTTACTTGACACCGAATTTCACCTCAGTCATCGATCGGTTCCTAAACGACGAAGTTATGGGGAAACAGACATAAAATAGCATATATACGAATCAAAGTTAGACCCTACTTCGTTTGAAGTCGGTTAAAATTAAAGATGGAAGGTAACGTGTGATCCGTAACAAAATGTTGTACAGAATGCATACGAATGGCAATCAAATTATTGTTTGCTGTTTTGATTGATGAGTTCATTAAAATAACAATTTGCATTAGTTCTCTATTTGATATCTGTTAAGGATACTCGATAAAAAATGTTTGTTTCGCTTTGTTTTGAAAGTACCACGTAGGTATATCGCGTTAAGTGAGAAAACTTTTTAAATTATACTCCGAGCCATGCGTGCTCGTGATGAGATGTTATAAGGAAAGTTGACTGCGATGTCTTTGTACAAGTTCGTTTCAGCCAATATTACTTAATTTCTCATTACTCAATCGTTCTTGTGAGGCGACTGTTCTCAAGTAATTAACTTTCTCTACCATCATTGTTTCGAAGAAACACAATGTTCTTATTTTCCTAACGTCTGACGAGTTTCGAAATTAAAGCTGTAAAATTAATGATAAATTTTCACTAAGATGGGAAAAAACCAGTTCGCGCCTGCCACAGTCCACTCATTTTTAAAAAATAATATATTACGTTACCAGTATCCTATGTAGTAACAAATTCAATGTACTCCAATAACAATACCCGCAGGAAAATATTTCTGAGCATCGTGTATTTATTACATACTAGCTGTGCCAGCTACTTCGTTCGCGTGGAATAGTTGCTTCGATTAAAGACATTTTATGGCTAATTTTTTTTACACATCCCGTTGCTTTTAACATAAATTTCTAAAGATTTCTACCGTTATCCAGTACTAAGTATAGCCTATGTTACTCAGTGATAATGTAGCTTTCTAATGAAAAACTAATTATTAAAATCGGTCCAGTACTGTTTGAGTACGCCGCGTACGCATCTGAAACCTACTGAGATGAAAAATTATTACATATTAGTCACATCGCAATGTGTTATAGCCTATAGCCTTCCTCAATATAGGCTCTAACCAACACAAAAAAGAAATTTTTAATTCGAACCCGTACTTCCTGAGATTAGCGCGTTCAAACAAACAAACTCTTCAGCTTTATATATAGATTAACATTACAGTGCACAATTTCAACCACATTTCTTGAAAAGGAAATTACGATCAGCGCGTAGTTATGACAAAAAGGTTAGATGCGATATTGCCGTCCGAATGTATAGCATTTTAAGCTCATATTAAGTTTCGGAGCTCACGGGTAACCCGTGATATAGAGAAGTTTTTGCGTCAAAACAATTTCCACGGGCTCCTGAGTGAATTCCGAGAGCAATAAGCGACCCGCCGGTCCATATAACACCAGATATCAAGTCGAGATTGTTTCGTGTTGCCAATTTAACGGAAACGGATGGACGATACGTTTTATTAACGAACTGAGGTCGGCTGCTTTATTATTTTCCTAGACCACCTTATGTTTCGGCCGGCGGGAGTGTTTTATATAAAGTGTTAATTTTAAACTTTTCGCCGGCAGAAAAATGGCAGAAGATTAGCTTCATTCATTTTTGGTTGTTATGGTAACTGTAGCCAAATAAAGTTTTTAAAATATATTTCTGGACACTGCGAGCCAACAAGTGAATAATTGATAGCTTTATCGGAATTCGGGTCGGTCGCTAAAATATTCACCGAGAAATCAAAATTGGCGAGGCTGCGATTGCTTCAAAATTAATATCTAACATTACGCGCATCTTCCGTTGCCATTTTATGCCGTAACGCGACAGCGTAAGGTTTAAAATAATAACGAGTGGAAGGACAAAGTTCCCATGAAAACGGTGGAGGCTCGAATATTGCTTCCAAACATTTCTACGAGACCCGCGTCCTATATTCGAAAGCTTAGAAGTAGTAAAAGTTTATTTACCGTTTCACCGCGTAGACCGGAGACCCCTGGAGCGGGGCTCCTGAACGCTTCGTTACAAATGTCAAATTGCATACGTAATAACGCAAAGGTTTCACTCAAAATTAAAAGTTTACAGGTAACTGACTTGAAAAACAGTATTGTACCGAATAATGTACTGAAACAATCATTACTCATTAATAAAGGGACCACTCGTGTCGGTTTAATGAAAAATTTAAATACTTATAAGGCAGGCCGTAGCGTCATTCCCAGCCGGTTCGGGCAGTATGAAAGTCAAACGTTCGAAAAATCTGGACGACACTGGACTCATCATTAAAATTACGAAACCAATGTTTCAGTTAATATATTAATATATACAGTACGTGTATTTAGGAGTTTGAATGATTTCGTTCGGAATACAATTCGGAATAGTAACGGGAATTCGGTATTCTTTTAGTATAATCTATGAACTACGTGAAACGTCCCCACATGTGATATATATCGATTTATGGGTCTCGAGACATTCTCAGAGATGGTGAAGTTACTTCTCAATTCCTCGAGGATACAAAGGAGTGAAACGTGAAAAAAAAAAGAGACATTTAGAAATTTGACGCTGACTAATTTTGGAGATTACTTTAGACGCTTTTTTATATACATACCTATATAAAAAGTATTTCAAACACAAAAAAGTGTAAAAAACATGTTTAATATAACACGTAGGACGTTTTATATTAAAACAACGTCTCTTTTAATATGTTAATGCAGTCTACCAAACACAAGTAACACTATATTACACAAATGCAAAACCCTTCTCATGGTCGGAAACCGAGGGATTTTCGTGATTTATTTCAATGAGGTTTTTTACTTGACAAAGGTCACTTAATACCGCTAAATTTCCTCTGGAGTTCTTCCTAAATTTAACATTAAACATACTATATTCAAATGTATTACTCACTTTGAAAACAAAAGCAGTGTGTAAATTGAAATGAAAAACGTAATGAAGGATATCGCGTGACAAAGTTCGCATTCAGTCCACATTGTGGTCGTAGCGAGTAAATTGAAAAAGTGAATAAGGCTTCACATTATTTATAACATATAAAGCTCATTCGCTAAACTACTTGTTCCGTTCCCTCGACGTCTGAAGTCGATATGAATCTTGAGAAATCTCTTGCAGACCTTCCCAAAACGGACCCGGAGCTGAACGGCTTGAAACGACGCTACCGGCCCGGGATGAAGCTGAAGGCGGAATGCATCAGTCACGACTCGATGCCTCCAGCCAATCTCTCGTTCTTCGTCAACAACGAGCCGGTGAGTATTGCGCGCGTAAACTTATTTCGCTCACGGTATTGTGGCTGAATTTCGGGCGTCATCGAATGTCCGCGATCGAAGGCTTTAATATTAATTCGCATTGGCAAATTTGAATTCACCATCAGCTGTGTCATTACGTATGCGTTTGGGACGATCGCAATCATTCTCGCCTCGGTGGCTTCGGTACAATGGTGCCACAATTATTTCCTTAATTACGGTCTTCTAAGAATAGAAGCTTAAATGTGCCACTTAAAAATGGTAGCATTCGCAAAAGGCATTTATATCTGACTGAGTGAAAATGGAGAAAGCGTGTAAGTCTCGCAGAACCATTACACTATAATGTATATAAAGTTAGTTTTTTCGTAAATTTTGAATGTGAGATAAGCTTTAAATTACAAATATAGGAAAAAATAACTTGTGGCGCTCTAGGCTCTCTCGCAGCACGTATGGCACCGAGTGGGCGGAGGCGAAAACGGCAGCCTGTGGACCGCCTACAGCACGATCCAATTCGTCGTGCAGAAGCATCACTTCGTGCGAGGCAAAATTAAGGTAACCGATTGACACGTTTCATTTAGAGAAGTCGCTGTCGTTTGCTTAAGACAATCGAATAAATACAAAACTTTTTAGACTACAACAAGTTTATGTATGTTCTCGCGACATCTATCACGTGCGGGATAAAAGTCCGTGCCTTCTCGACGCAACGCCATAGGTATGCTCTTGTCTTTCGCTGTAAACAAAACCCCTATCTGTATTTATGTGAGATGGACACTGAGATTCCGAATGAATTGCAAATGCCCGCCGCTTTTTATTTCGTGTTAGCGCAAGCGTGGAAAACGGGAACATACATCAAGGGGGTTTTCTAGTGCTTTCTTTTTTGTACAAATATAAAGAGTATCCGGGCTAATTAATACTGGATCGATTTATTCGTTAGAACGTCCACGCAAACGAACGACAATAATTTATGGACGGAGTAACAAACTAGTAATTTAAATTTATTACAATCGCAATTTGCTCAACTTTTAATATAATTTCAAGAAACATTTTCTGTTCCGATAACCTTCTTTATCCTATTTCCATAAAGTCAGCCACGACGTTCAAAGGCGTAAAAGTGCGCGACCTATAAACTATAAACGGCGTCGGGCAGCTCATGAAGCGGTGACAGCTACTTACCATACGTAACTAGGACGTTCCTATTTCCACTCGACACTCCGAAAAGTCGTGTGACGCTCGAAGAGGTTATTTATGTGTTTTATTTATTTAAAATTAACAAGCCGCGTCACCGCTTACGTGCAAGATACGTGCGGCGAACCTACTTTTTCTGTAACCGCGACACCAGGTCTTCTAATACCGTCTTCTACACTTATAAGTAATAATTAGTGATGCAACGGATAGTTGTTTGGCCGGATACCGAATTCGATATTCGCCGTTGGGCCGAATAAGGTATCCGGCCGCCGAAATTCTGCCAGCCAAACGATACCTATGTATATTTTAGTTTGGCGGCGCGCGCGTCGTGCAAGTATCAACCTGTTACGTATTGTTCTCTCTTTTTATTTATATGGTAACTCTTATTTTATTTTATTAAAAATTAACATACGATACGCTACCATTGGTTGAATGGATTTTGATAAGTTTAAATTGTACGTTAAAACTAATAAACGAATGAAAACTTTATTATTTTTACATGTTATTGCACATGAAGGCACTATATAATTTAAAAATCGAAAAGAAATTGAAAAAAATTTTGACTCGGGCAGGAATTATACTATCAGCGTTCCGTGCTGTTCGACGATTTCTTAAGCTGCAAATCATAAGACGTTGAACCTTAATACACAAGTGTTAAGGTTGAAATTACATTGCACGAGAGGTGCATGTATCAATAAGTTAAAAAAATTCGACGATGAGGTGTAGGACTCGGTAGCTCAATTGGTAGAGCAACAGCTCGGAACGTTGACGATGCCGGTTCAAGTCTTGCCCGAGTCGAAAATTTTTTCAATTTATTTTCGATTTTTAAACTAATAAACGAATATTGGTAATTTATCAATTATCAATTTTTGTAGTATACATACTAACATTTTTCAAAATTAAATAGCAAACAGAATCACTATTCGGTATCCAGCCGGATAGTGCGCAACTAGTTCGTAAGGTGTAAGGTATTCGGCCGTATAGTAAAATAATGGCCGGATAGGCCGGATACGGAATAGTAACCGGATATCCGTTGCATCTCTAGTAATAATGATATCAATCTTATCATTCTTCCCGCGATCATCACAGTGGCGTAGTGTTTTGGTGTTTTTTTTCTATAACATATTTTGTTTTTAAAATGAATTGTACCAAATGCAATGAATCTTTGACGGACTCGGTGTCGTGTGCGCAGTGTTCGGGTGCTTATATTACGTGTGTGTGGGGTTTCGGAAAACAGTACAAGAAAATGGGCCCCGAGAAGCGAGCGGCCTGGCGGTGTATAACGTGCCGCGCCGTGGTGTCTACCGACAACACTACAAACGCTGAAATTTTGAGGGAATTAAAGAACTTGAAATCTGAATTTAATAGTTTCAAATTGGATCTTGATACGGTGAAAAGGGACACTCACGATACAGTGATGCAGTGCGGGAGTTAACGTTGAGTTGGACCAGTTTGGAAACGCGAATAAATCTCATCGAAGAACGAATGGGCGAACTGGAACTGAAAATAACTAAAATCTCCACCGACTGTGACAGTTCTAGAGAGGAAGTCGCTCTTCTCAAATAAATCATAACCTGAGACCAGTTCTGGCTTGAACAATGTTGAAATTTTAGGAGTGCCAAGCAAATCAGGCGAAAACCTACACAACATAGTGAGCGACATTTGTGCAGTGACGGGTTTTCGGCTTGAGCCCACCGACGTCGACACAGTTCATCGAGTTAGACAATTCGCAACTCACGACGGGCAGGCCCCGGCCCCCGGCCATGTGGTACGTTTTACCCGGCGCAGACGCAAGGACGAGTTGCTTGCAGCCGCCCGCGCGCGCGCACGGTGACAAGCCATAGTAGGGCCCCCGTCCAAATTACGGCACTCACTCCATCCAATAAGCTGTTATTAAAACGTGCCCGCGAGTTAAAAAGTGAACTGAATTATTCCTATTTGTGGGTTAGGGACTGTAAAATTCTTATGCGTAAACACGAAAAGTCAACCATTATTCGCATTTCACAAGAATCAGATTTGTTAAAGATTAAATGACTAGTTCTACGTCAATATACTATTTCTAGAATAACATTTATGTGCATTATGAAGACTCTTTTGTTGTTATCAATCTAGATGTAAACGTATGTAGTGCTCATCCCAACCCATAGTATAAAACCATTAGTTTTACCTACGTTACTTGCGTATTTATTATTTGTTTTCACTCAATTCTTTATATGTGATAGCTTAAATTCGTTTAATATTTACTTCCAAAATGTGCGGGGCCTACGTACAAAATCTAATTTATTTTTTGCCAAGTCTAAAGTCATTTTAATAAATGTCTCGCCGAAACGTGGCTTACGAAAGATTTTAAAGACGCTGAATATTTAATAATAAGTAATGTTTATCGGGAATAACACGGTAACGAGCGTGAGACGGGAGCCGGGCCATCGCGGGGCGGTGGTGTGTGCGTGGAGCGGGGGCTGGGGGCGCCGCGACGATTGGTGCTGTCACAGTCGGCCGGGAGCTTTGGGTGAGCGTCGACGCGTGAGCGTGCCGCTGCACCGTGCTCCTCCGCGATCACCGCATACACGAAATTACAAAAATGTTTTCTGCAATCGTTGTTTTACTTCCCGCATAATAATAACATTTGGCCTCGTTACAAATGTTTTTTGAAAACGCCGCAAAACTTATATTAGACAACCCTAATGATGTTTTTATTCTTCTCGGAGACTTTAATATATCTAATGCGATTTGGGAACCGAGTAATGACGTTTGTACTTATTTTAATTTATATACAACACTAAACGACACTAAAGTAAATGCCTTGATGGACTTTATGAATTTTAGTAATATCCGCCAATTTAATAATTGTCGCAATATAAACAATCGGGTTTTAGACCTCGTCTTGAGTACTATAAATTGTAAAGTAAAGCCAGCTAATCCTACCCTTGTCTTTGAGGATCTCCACCACAAGGCACTCGATATTCGGCTTTCCGTCTGTAATATTCGATATATTGCCGAGAAAAGCAGAATTAAACGGTTAATCAGCGGCCGAATTGACAGCATAAAAAGAGAAATTGCCAGCGTTAAATGGGTTGAAGAATTATCATCGCTAAATATTAATCAATCTGTAGAATATTTTTATACATTTTATAATAATCTAATGATTAATTTTGTTCCATCCCGTGTTGCATCAGTATCTACAAATTCCCCCCTTGGTATTCTAAAGATTAATAAAAACTATACGTAGAAAATTAAAAATTCATTCTAAATGGAAACGTTACAAAAACCCCCGTGATTATTTAGATTTCAAATTCTTACGTGCTAAAGAAAAGTTGTTACAAAAACAGTGTTATACTAATTTTATCAATTTATCGGAAGAAAATATTTGTGCTTCACCTAAATATCTTTGGTCGTATGTAAAATCTAAACAAGGCGTAAACAATATCCCTACTTATATAAATTACAATAATTTTACTTCTGAAGATGGTGATACCATTTGCAACATGTTCAATGATTATTTTAATTCGGTTTTTGTTCAAATGATAATCTTAGTCAATTATCCAAACTTAAATCATAAACATTGCAACTTTGCAATGCAAATTCTAGACAATCTTTGGTAGACATTTCCCATTTTGATATTCCCGAAGACTTGGTTAAGGAACATTTCGACCAGTTAGACGTTAGCAAAGGTCCTGGTTACGACGATGTTCACCCATTCCTAATTAAAAAACTTAGCTCTGAACTCTCTGTACCTTTAACCATAATATACAATAAATCAATTACTGAAGGCTGTTTCCCAGATATTTGGAAAAGAGCTTTGATAACACCTATATCAAAGGTGGGACCCTCATGACGTCAAACAAACAGACCCATATCTAAACTTAGCATACTCGGTAAGATTCTGGAGAAAATATAGCTAGACATTTATGTAATACTGCACAATATATTCCTAATGAGCAACATGGTTTTGTTCAAGGTCGTAGTGTTAGTACTAACTTAATTTCCTTTACAGATTATATTCTAAAGTCCTTAGCTATAGGACAACAGGTCGATGTTGTGTATGCTGATTTTTCAAAGGCCTTCGATAAAATAAAACATTCTCTTCTTTTAGACAAGCTTTTGGGGATGGGCATTCATGGCAATTTCTACGTTGGAAGCTTCTTACATTAATAACCGTAGTAGGCTGTTGCTCTGAAAGGAACCGTTCCAGGTTCCTCCCGATACCCTCTGGAGTACCTCAAGGATCCCATTTGGGGCCCTTGCTATTCACGATTTATATATTTGACCTTCACACTTGTTTAGCAAACACAAGTCATTTGCTTTATGCAGATGACACAAAAATATTTAAAGTCATAAATTCAATTAATGACTGTATTGACCTTCAGAGTGATCTTCAGTCTTTTGAAAATTATTGTTACGAAAATCAATTGTTTCTTAATGTAGAAAAGTGTAATACAATAACCTTTTGTCGCAAAAATAACCCCTTAAAATATGACTACAAATTATTTGATAGGACCTTAAGTCGAGTAACTTCTATTAGAGATCTTGGAGTCACTCTTGATTCCAAGCTACAATTCAATGTTCACATTGAAAAGTCTAGAGCTTTTAAAATATTGGGTTTCATATTAAGAATTTCCAAACCTTTTAAAAAGGCTACAACCTTAAAAATACTATTTAACGCATATGTACGTAGTTTATTAGAATTTTGTAGTGTAATTTGGAGTCCCCAATATAATAATCATATTAATGAATTGAAAAAGTTCAAAACAAATTCTTAAAATCGTTAGATTATAATCAGGTTCGAATTTCGTAAATTATGAATTGAGTTCCAAAGACACAACATCAAGTACTAAGGTACGCCGTGACTATTTAGATGTATTTGTCTGTACAAACTAATACATAGCAGTATTGACTCTATACCTATCCTCGAGAAAATCGGTTTTAAAGTCCCCCGCCCTTCTTCCCGCATCAAGGAAACGTTTCACATTCCCACAGCGAGCACTAACTACGTGAAAAATAGTTTCATTATAAGAAGCTGTGATTTTTATAATAAGAATTTGAATTCAGTCGATTTTTTTCTAGTGTATCTTTAAATACAAAACTTGTAATCTAAATTAAACTTGTCGTAGTTACAAAATTATTGTTATTATTTTTTAGATATTTTCTTTTACTGTGTATCTTGTTGTATTTACGTCACGTATATTTAATTAAGTGAAACTTTAGGTCTATTTGTTTAACATTTTAAGTAATCCATTGTTTTTTAAGTGACTGTTTGTTTCTTTTCCAAATATAAATAAAATCAAAACAGTTCATGTAATTACTGAACAACGTTAACAATTGTTTATAGGAGATCTTCCAGACAACACACGGTAAAGAGTAACTGCCCAATGTTATATGTTGGCCTTTTTTCAGGAGCTCTTACGCCATGCTATATACAAAAAGGCTTTGTTGAAGTTTTTACGAATAATTTCTTAAATATTATTTTGGGTTCGGTTAAAACTTTTGATATTATCCCAGTTGTCCCAGTCGAGGAAAGCTAGTTCTATTCGGATGGCTAATTTGGGAAGCTGAGCTGTTCCATTTCTAAAACTTTTCTACACACAGTGATTCAATTCCGCACGTTGAATTGAATGTTTGAAAAGTGAATTTCCAGTATTTGCAAATAGGGTAGATATGATTTCCACGCTACATGTAACCGTTCTCTTTGACCCTAGTAACAAGCAATTAATTTAGATGTATATAAAGTGCTCAATAAGAAAGCGAAAGATTGAAAAAATGACTTCCGTTTAATTGCCGTTTCCCGGAAGAGGGGAACAGTTTACTTTTAATGAGAGCCTTCGCGCAGTCGGTATCTGCAGAGATCGCGGTTCCTCTGCGCTTCTTACGGCAAACAAAATCGAGAGCGATTAAATATTGTCGGACGTGTACTCTCGTTACCAGCCGACGCCGACTTCTCTTGGATATTTCCACTAAATATATAAACTGTACACATTATGTTTGTTTTATTGTCCGTATTAACAATAGTTTTCCCTCGAAATTGTTTAAATTGTAACCTAATTCAGGGGTTTTCGTGACACAAAAGCTTAAATTCATGAAATTGATATAGAGGCCTCATTGTGCCGTAAATGTTAGCTCATTACTAAAACGTAGAACCCTTTTTGTGGGCTCCGAATGGACGCCATCGTCGTTTGCGCGATAAGCTGTCTCGGCCGACATTCCATGAGCATATTCTGAATTAAGTTTCATTAAATTCGTATTATACAAGAATACAACGGAACATCCTAATGTCGCATACTTAATAATTGCACGACTTCGCACATTTGCTGCTTTATTGCCCCCGGACATCAGATTTGAATACAAGATTAATCATTTTTACAATGCACTACAAAATTATTTTAACATCGCTTAAATGTGAGACATTCGTACTGTACTCTCAAAACAATGTATGACATTTTTAATTTTCTCGCTTCAGCTATGCCGGTCAGGGAATTGAAATTACGCGCCGTGAGTAAATGCGCTGATTCGGTAACAAAATGTCGAATATTTGTCGATAAAATCAATACAGTATTTACTTTTATACATATCGTAATAAACATTATAATATCGAAATAATTGTGTCGTTTTAAAAACGTGTTTGAGATTTATTCGAGGTCTAAATTCCTTTATCTGTGTAAATATAAAAGACGAAGTTTGCCCGGAAATTTATGGCACAGAACTATTAGTCTTAAGAAACTTTGAACTTTGGCGAAATGTCTCGGAACCGAGACGGGTGCCGGTTTGTAACGAAGACTGTTATATCAATAAAGCTTTTAACTAACTTAACAAACGCTTTAACAGAAATAATTCCGTATACCTAAGTGCTTATGCGTAGTCGTCCTTCCGCGAGCATCGTGTAAAGGAGAACAAAATCGAGCGCCCCGTTTGTTTCTACGGAGCCTCTGCAAATAAACTCGCGTTCCTTAAGCAATATTTATGAATGTAGAATTATTAGCATATGCGAAGCGAAATGCACCGCTATTTCGCGAGATTTATTTCGTGGCGCACTGAATATGATTTTGTGTTTGAACAGATTCGGTGTTCAGCGTACATATATTCGATATACTTCAGAAGCCACGAGAGGGTGGCGGAGGAGGAGAGGGCGCGCACCACGATCGGCCCCCTCCCGGAGACGAGGGAAGCTATCGTCTTCCCCATACATCGCATCTCTGATAACAGTGAGTATGAGCGGTCGCAACCCTTATTTGGCAGATTATGGGTGGCCGGACTCGAAAAGTATTTTCATTCATGTCGAAATCTAAATGACTATTTCCCAATATTCCACTAATGACAAATGTACTTAACAAATGTACGACGACCGGAAACAGAATATATGAGAAGGAACCTACTTTTGTGGGATAGGCAATTTTGGTTTTAGCTATAAATCGACGGTAATGAACACCTGCCATAGTCTGCTAGACATTATGATTGATCATTTTGGATCAATCCATCTTACTGCGAGGGACTGATTCCGATTAAATTATATATTCCATCTCATGTATTTATTCTCCGCCTAATGACTCTCTTTATGTGGGCCACGAGGCAGTCAGGTTGAAACTTAAAGACAACAGAAATCATACGGAACGAGCTTGGCCCTTGCCGATGTGGTTCAATGCAAAGCGATATCCAGTGTGTATCTAGAAGACTTTTCAAGTGAAAGCTTTTACTCAGAAATTCTATCATTGTATCTCTTATTATATTATATGATATATTATTTTGTCTCAGATAGTAAGGGCCTTGCAGAATCATTTTAAATAAAATACACGGTCACAACGCAACATAAATCCACCTGACTAATTTCATTGAGGTTGTTTAAGTTGACACGAATAGAAATATATTCTTCAATGATAATTATATAGTATTATAGCTTTAAGAGTAAAGGTTTTTTTGCGATCGTAGGTTTGGAGCATAGTTTCGATTGCTATAATTAGTTAAAATGGCGGTGTCACGATCGATCCCGATATCAATTTCGCTTCAGGATTTTGAATAATACACCCATTAGGCCAAATGTTGCATAATTGCATTGCGGACAAAGCGCAATGCGTACAGCCCAAAATTCAATTCTGTCACACAATCTAGCATTACATCGGGATCAAACGTTTGAATTTAAGTACTCAGTGACCCGGTGGTGTTAATCGGGAACACACTTCACATATTTAGAATTTTGATGTTAATGGGAGTTGAATCATTTTGTCTTGCTATATCACGCGTAATCTTTTTGCAGATGGATCTGAAAATGTAGGCGCGTGGTGCGGACCGGAGTACAGAGTGGCAGGGATCACATTGATTCTCACCTTCGTCGTCAGATAAGCGATAGCAATACACGTCTAGTTAGGCGCGTACGATCTGATCACAATGGGTCCTTTTTTTCCAACCAACTAAATAAATGGCAATGTTGAATCGTGCGCCGCCAGCGGTAAATGCAGTTCCGCTGTAGCGCGGTTCCAGAAAACAGAAAAACGCTTCCCTTTCTTTGTTAAGCATATAGTAAATGACGCTCAGAACACCTTTTGTACAATTGTTTTATGCCATAATTAGTTTGTGCGAAGTATTTTTGTACCAAACGTATTTTGTAAATAAATGATGCTATTATAATGACCAAGATTAAATCGAACTTCAATAGTTGTCGATGCATTCAATGTGCCCGAGGCGAGTACATAGCTTTCGTCAGTATCATCGCATCATTTCGACAGCTGTCTCAAGCAGATTAACTGTCGTATTCGGAAATGACTCAGCCTAGTGGGCAGGGAGAGCTGATTAATCCCTGTCGTCTTTAAATAATCCGATTGGTCAACTATCCTCATAAACCTCTTTTCTAAACGGTTTTATTTCGCTCGACCCGTACGGAGTTTATTTATTTGGGTCAAAATTAGAAATTGAAATTTTAGTACAATTCCGTTGCCAGATTGATCTGAAATTTCGTACTCACATTTAATTTAGATGACAATATAATCAATAACATTATAAATCCAAGATGGCCACCGATACAAAATGGCGGAATACATTTTTTTCCTCATCCCACATATGGGTATCAAATGCTAACTGTAACACGGTGATGTTGCAGTGCACAAAAAGTAAAACCGTTTAACTTAAAAGTTTTTTTTAAGTTGATACTTGTTTCCCTAGGTTTTTGTACTCTAGGTAAAAGAGAGAACTCAAGGCGATTAGCATTCCTAAAATACACATTGAACGTTTTCATTGCACCACTCGTGATGCCCACGCGTGCGTCAGCGGTCACATTCCCCCACACATTGCTGTTTTCTAATTAAACTTTTCTACATACCCCCATGTGTCTCTTTAGCTTATTCTAACAATAATAATCTCCGGCGTTTCATACTGGTCTTGTTTTATGCAAAGCCAACTACGAATCGATTGATCAAATCCTCCATTAACGCAGACATACTAGCTTGGCAGGCGGTTGCGTTTTGGCAGTATTCCCGTACAAGTGTCAGTGCTATATAGAACAAAGGATTAAACGCCAACGAATGTGTGCTTTAATTATCACATTACACATTGACGTATCGTGTGCTTTTGCGACTATGTCGCGGGCCCACCTAGCGTATGTAAGGATGTTTGTCTCTTTTTCGTGCTTAAACGATGTAACTGTTTTTGATGTTATGCCAATGTAATACCGACAACCCTGACATGAATCAGACTACTTGTAACACATTGACATATGCTTGCCGAATGAACACAGATTTCGACGAAGTATTTCGAATCACTTAACAAGATCGATGTCATAGTATCTTTTGATTGTATAAATAACTAGTAATAATATCCTCTGACTAAAAGTTCTCCGAATGAATTATTGCAGATATAGATTTGTTAATTAGAGTAATATTTAGATGTTAAATGTAATAATTGCAACGATCGCCGCGTTTAGACGCGAAGTACACCGATCGTATTTGGTTCTACTTGTACTAATTGCTCGGAGCCGTAATCCTCTCGAAATGATTTCCATCTCATTTATAATACAATACGGCAAGTCGTGTTCGATTTCTCACCTGAATTTCCTTCGGCGAAGAGGGACGATTATCTGCGGATATATTTTGTACGGAACGCATTAACTTAACACTTTTAGCGATCGCAGTGAGAATAATCAACTATTCTGAACTAAACTTATCGTCAGTCGCGAATCATTTTTCTTTTTCTTATCGCGGAGTGGCTCCGAGTTTACCCTTTTCCGGATCTTATGTAAGCGAGGGTATTTTAATTAAGTATTTTATACAGATCTCTCTGAGTAAAAACAAACTCAGTATGTAAGAGCTCCGGGGATCGAGAGAACGAGACTAGGGAGGAATTTTTATATTAGTTTATATAATTGAGTAGTTATGAAACTCGCTCTCATTTTCCTGAGAGACTACACTACGCCTCGCGCGGATTGAGAACCCTTTTTAATTTACACATTAACTGCAGATTAATTAAGGCAAATAGCCTTCGCAAATATTAACCTTGGTCCTGAATCTCCGGTTTCAATGTACACTCTCATTTACATTCAGCTGCATCGAACAATTGGACGCGACAGTGTCCTATTTAACAGGTAACTTATTGGTTCCTATTGCGAATCGTTCTTCGAAGAACGGCTGCGAATACGACGCGAGTTCCAGTTCGCGGCCGAATGTAAGAGAGTCTTTTAAAAGGAATACTATTATTGCTTTCTCCTACAAATATCGATTGTGATCAGATAGTACCGAATCATTCCTGTTGTACTGAATTCATAAAAGCGAAATTCCTCAAGTTTCTACGACTGAAAAATTCTTCTCTATATTTGGATCGTTGATGCCTACTTCGTAGTTGTGCCAACCCGAATTTATGTATTTCATTAAATGAAATGCTGAAAACGAGACATTCACTTTTATTTAATTCCCGCTAAAAATTGTTACTAATATATATATATATCGTATATTTTGCTCAAATAATAAATATATTATGCAACAGGTTTTTTTATTAGTCGTCTTTCACAGGTAAAACTCGCCACTTTCCAGTACCACATTGGATAATATACAATAGGTAATGCCCGAGGAGTAGTCGTTTTGGATTAGCAGATTGTTTTCCTTTTTAACCGAACCAGTCTAGAAATAGTTTAATTAATCAAAGTGTAATTACTATTTTTTGCTATTAGTATCGAATAAAATTCGACACAAATTAATTACTCGATACGTTGATCAAAAGCAGAGATAACAAGCGATGGTCATCATACTGACGTAGTACTTAACTTAAATGGCTCTCATTAGCATCGAAGGAGCAGCTATTCCAGTGTATTCGAGGTTTAGACGAAAGTCTCCGTCTACCGCTTCGCCACAATAAACGGCCAGCGAGCGAATTAATATGAAATTTCAGGCCACACGTTACCTGAGACCTCGGTTCAACCGGTGTTACGGCGCAGACTTATTAAACTTTAGCAATAGCTACACTTGCGGCCTATAAATCTTGGCCTAGGTACGCTAATTTTATATTGCGTTTCTAGAACGAGAGTAATAATTATTGTTATACGAGTAATACCAAAGTAAAGATGGCATCCGCAAAGAACATTGCTCCGTTTGACATTTAATTAATACGATTGAAACAACGTCGGCCGTACCTGCTGGCAATTTAAAGTTGAAATCCGCTTAACTCTTATGAGTCTAAGTTGAAATATTTATCGGATTAAAGGATTAACATCTCCGGATTTTGCCGGGACAGACCGACGTGACGGTGCAATGTCGAGGTACATTTTTATAATGAAACGAGTTGTATATCGAACGAAGTAATGATTCATTACGTACAGTCAGAAATACAGTTGAAATGATTCGAATCATATCGAGGTCGGCGCCTCCCTTACCGTTTGGAGTTCTCCAAGAAAATAAAGTCGTATTTATCCAGCGGGGAGCTCACAATGAATACTTCAAGTTTGAATTCGCGGTTATTTATGTAACGATAGCGTCCCCAGAGAAAAATGAGTGTGAGCGGTGAACCCTCGGTTCCGAGTTGCGATCTATTAAATTAAAGCAATTTATAAGTCGGCTTACGGCGAGCGCCCCCCGCCGCAATGCGCAACGCGCCGTTCACGCTTCCGCGGAAACGACAAAGATCGCGATACGGAATGAGTCCAAATATTTTTATGTATAATGGGGCAGTGTGCACGCCGACTTGCAAACTTTACCCTCGTCGGCCACCCCGAGGGGAGGCCGTTTTATCGTCGTCATGATTATCAATAACATCGATCTAGTGTATCTCTGCTAACACCGAGGGTCTACGAATTTTATGTAACGCGGATGAATATATACGAGTATGTCCATTAAGCCCCCGGACGTCATATTAAGATTGATTTCTAAGGCGGATAAAGTCAAGTGAAAACTCTGGCTCAGGCGAATACACTGACATTCGTAACTGCAGAAATACGATTCGCATATTGTGATTTATTGTTGAATATCACTTCGACGTAAATATTTTTCATTTGACTAAATGCTATGGTACAAGAGTAAATGTTCATAGGATATAGATCTAATAGAATACACGGAACGACAGGCATTTGAATACTTTGTAAGAATTTTAATTTAAAGAGTCAAATTTGGACATTACCACGAATAACGATATTCATATGTATACTACATAATATTATGTGCATTTTGGCATATAGGGGAATATGGAATTTATTAAGTAATTTTTTTCCACAGAATCTAATCACACAACAATTTACATCAATTTTATTGCATCTCAAGTAACTATTAAGCGTGCTTGCGCCGGTAAATCATTTGATATGTATCAAGCATGGGGGGGGGGGGGGGGGGGCCGGTTTTTGGGGGGGCCCCTCTCTCCCCCCCCCCCAAAAAAAAAAAAAAAAAAGGCGGGGGGGGGGGGGGGAACGGGTCCGACAGCCGGCGGTCGCCCGATGCCAAGTTGTACCAATGGCCTGTATATATATATATAAGCTTTTAAAAAAAAAAAAAAAAAAAAAAAAAGGGGGGGAAGGGCCTTGTAGGTAAATATGGATGGAAACTTTTGATGGTGTAGCAAACACCAAAATGTAAAAGCTTTTTGAAAAAAACATAAAATATACATACAATGGCCTCGGCGCTCTATAAGCTTAACAGTTATATCTGTGGGGTATATTAGTTCGATGCATGATAGCTTGAATAATAAAAATTCTACTATTATTATAAACGGATAACACTTATTCAATATTTGTCCCCTACTAAGTTGTCACATCAATTACAGTCAGAATTATAGCTGCCTAAGTCACTCAGTAATCGAAGATCCTCTGCTCGTAGTTCTCTTCGTTCATTCTAATGATAGGAGACGCTAGCAGATCGCGCGAATAATGAGTTTCA